AGATTACTATTCTTTCATGTTACTCGATTAATATAATTCTTCTAATTTTTATTTCAAATTTTTAATCTCTTATTAACTTTGTTATTCTTATTTTTCGAATTCCATTTATGATAAATCATTTTATAATTATAATTATTCATATAAAGATTTCTAATTTACTAATTCATATTCTAATTTTAATTTTTCATCTTAAGATTATTGTTCTTATGTACGATTTTATAATGATTATTATTCAATTTATGATTTCAAAATTTGAATTTCTAATTAGTTTTATTTATCTCTTTCAAATAATTACTTTTCTATCTCTCCATTGGATCTCTCAAATAATTCTAATTGCAATTTTAAATTAATTATTTCCTATTAACTTTCCAATTCTTTTTACTAAAATTAATCTTCCTATTTTTTACTTGTTTATTCTAATAATTTGATATTTTATTGCAAATTTATAATCTATACCTATACATCTTATTCTTTTTTTTGTAATTACTATTCTTTCAAGTTACTTGATTATTATAATTCTTCTAATTTTGATTTCAAAGATTAAATCTCTTATTAACTTTCTAATTCTTATTTTTAAGATTACTATTCTTTCATGTTACTTGATTATTATAATTGTTCAAATTGTGATTGTAAATTTTTAATTTATTCCTATAATTCTTATTCTTTTTTGTGTGATTACTATTCTTTTACGTAACTTGATTATTATTATTCTTCTAATTTTGATTTCAAATTTTAAATCTCTTATTAACTTTCATATTCGTTTTTTTGTGATTACAATTCTTTCATATTACTTGATTATTATAATTCTTCTAATTTTGACTTCAAATTTTAAATCTCTTATTAACTTTCTAATTCTTATTTTTAAGATTACTATTCTTTCATATTACTTGATTATTACAATTGTTCAAGTTGTGATTGTAAATTTTTAATTTATTCCTACAATTCTTATTCTTTTTTTTGTGATTATTATTCTTTCATGTTAATCGATTATTATAATTGCTCAAGTTGTGATTGTAAATTTTCAATTTTTTCCTAAAATTCTTATTCTTTTTTTTGTGATTACTATTCTTTTACGTAACTTGATTATTATAATTCTTCTAATTTTGATTTAAAATTTTTAATCTCTTATTAACTTTCATATTCTTATTTTTGAGATTAATATTCTTTCATGTTACTTGATTATTATAATTCTTCTAATTTTGATTTCAAAGATTAAATCTCTTATTAACTTTCTAATTCTTATTTTTAAGATTACTATTCTTTCATATTACTTGATTATTACAATTGTTCAAGTTGTGATTGTAAATTTTTAATTTATTCCTACAATTCTTATTCTTTTTTGTGTGATTACTATTCTTTTACGTAACTTGATTATTATTATTCTTCTAATTTTGATTTCAAACTTTAAATCTCTTATTAACTTTCATATTCGTTTTTTTGTGATTACAATTCTTTCATATTACTTGATTATTATAATTCTTCTAATTTTGACTTCAAATTTTAAATCTCTTATTAACTTTCTAATTCTTATTTTTAAGATTACTATTCTTTCATATTACTTGATTATTACATTTGTTCAAGTTGTGATTGTAAATTTTCAATTTTTTCCTAAAATTCTTATTCTTTTTTTTGTGATTACTATTCTTTTACGTAACTTGATTATTATAATTCTTCTAATTTTGATTTAAAATTTTTAAATTTTTTTTGTGATTACTATTCTTTTACTTAACTTGATTATTATAATTCTTCTAATTTTGTTTTCAAATTTTAAATCTCTTATTAACTTTCATATTCTTATTTTTGAGATTACTATTCTTTCATGTTACTTGATTATTATAATTGTTCAAGTTGTGATTGTAAATTGTTAATTTATTCCTACAATTCTTATTCTTTTTTGTGTGATTACTATTCTTTCATATTACTTGATTATTATTATTCTTCTAATTTTGATTTCAAATTTTAAATCTCTTAATAAATTTCTAATTCTTTTTTTTGTAATTACTATTCTTTCATGTTACTTGATTATTATAATTGTTCAATTTGTTATTGTAAATTTCTAATTTATTCCTAAAATTCTTATTCTTTTTTTTGTGATTACTATTCTTTCATGTTACTTGATTATTATAATTCTACTAATTGTGATTGTAAATTTTCAATTTTTTCCTAAAATTCTTATTCTTTTTTTTGTGATTACTATTCCTTCATATTACTTGATTATTATTATTCATCTAATTTTGTTTTCAAATTTTAAATCTCTTATTAACTTTCATATTCTTATTTTTGAGATTACTATTCTTTCATGTTACTTGATTATTATAATTGTTCAAGTTGTGATTGTAAATTTTTAATTTATTCCTAAAATTCTTATTCTTTTTTGTGTGATTACTATTCTTTCATGTTACTTGATTATTATAATTCTTCTAATTTTGATTTCAAAGATTAAATCTCTTATTAACTTTCTAATTCTTATTTTTAAGATTACTATTCTTTCATATTACTTGATTATTACAATTGTTCAAGTTGTGATTGTAAATTTTCAATTTTTTCCTAATATTCTTATTCTTTTTTTTGTGATTACTATTCTTTCATGTTACTTGATTATTAAAATTCTTCTAATTTTGATTTCAAAGATTAAATCTCTTATTAACTTTCTAATTCTTATTTTTAAGATTACTATTCTTTCATGTTACTTGATTATTATAATTGTTCAAGTTGTTATTGTAAATTTCTAATTTATTCCTAAAATTCTTATTCTTTTTTGTGTGATTACTATTCTTTCATGTTACTTGATTATTATTATTCTTCTAATTTTGATTTCAAATTTTAAATCTCTTAATAAATTTCTAATTCTTTTTTTTGTGATTACTATTCTTTTACGTAACTTGATTATTATAATTCTTCTAATTTTGATGTCAAATTTTTAATCTCTTATTAACCTTCTAATTCTTGTTTTTGGGATTACTATTCTTTTATGTTACCTAATTATTATTATTGTTCAAATTGTGTTTGTAAATTTCTAATTTATTCCTAATAAGCTTATTCTACATTTTGAGATTAATATTCACAAAATTTAAATTTTTATTATAATTATTCATGTTAAGATTTCTAAGTTTCTAATTATGATTACAAATTTTCACATTAAATCAAGCTTTGTTTTTCTTTTTCTTTAAATAGTTCTTCTTGATCAATATATTATAATTTTAACTATTCTATTTAACATTTTATATTTGCATTTTCTTATTCAAATATTTTTTCATTTATTTTTAGCTAATTTTATAGGTTTTTATTCAATTCAAAACATTCTGAGTTTTTTGATTATAAATTATTAATCTATTCATATAATATTTTTTCTTTATCTTTAAACTATTGTTCTTAATTTTTATTTAATTCCTATATTTATTAATATTGACTACTCAAAATCTAAATTTCTTATAATTTCAATGCTTCTTCATCCTTAAATTTTTATTCTATAACCAAAAGTTATATTTATAACTATTTATTTATTTTTTGATTCTCTTCATTTTTTTATAAAAATTAATTTTCTTTTTTTTATGATTCTTCTATTTGTTTTAAATATTATAATTCCATTAATTACTTTTAATTTATTAAATTTTAAATTTCTTCATTCATTTAGTCATTTTTTTATTTAAATTCAATTTCTTAACTAATTTTTTCTTATTCTAACTTTAGATTTCTTTAGTATAATTGTTCTACTTCTTTTTTTAAAACTGTTTCTATTTCTAATAAGTCATTTTATGTTTTTTTTGATTACATTTATTCTTAATAGTTTTAATACTTTAATTTTTCTAATTCTTCTAATAAAGATGATTCTTAAAGCTTTTATTTATTCAAAAATTATTCTTAAAGTTACTTTAATTCTTATAATTCCTATTACTCATTTCTGTAATTAATTGACATAGTTTCAATTTCTTTTTTTTAAATTTTTATTTCATCCTCAAATTAACTTTTTTAATTTTATAATATAATTATCTCACTACTTAATTTTTAATTTTCATCCTATTCTCTTTGTGTTATAGAATTTTTTGCAATTTCTTAATAAAGCTATACCTTTAATTCTTAAATTTAGCTTTTTAGGCTTTCAGTAGTATTTTCTAATTCAATATTTTCACTCTTTTTAATTGATTCGACTTGCTATTAAGACTAACTTATAGTTTATTTTTGGATAAGCTATTCAGATTCAACTTTTGAATTACTAATTACATAAAATTCTTACTTCGATTTTGAAAGTTATTCTATTTATCTTTTTTATTTTTATATCATTTATTTTTATTTATCGATTTATTCCTCTAATTATTTATATTTTTCTAAATCATGATTATCATTTTTATTTGTCTTTAAAATTTTTAATTCTTCAACTAACTAGATTTACTATTATAATTATTAAGTAATCTGAAGGTTTTCTTTGTTATAGGTTTCAATAATGTTGATGATTTCTATTAGTTAATGAGATTGCTATTCATGTATTTAAAGGTCTTTTATTTCTATTTCTGCTTTAGCTTTTTACAACAAGCTTTCGTATTTTCTTAACTTAATTTTACATTCTTTTAAAGTTGATTCTCCATCCAAATTTTTGCTATCAGCCAATTTTTCAATTTGTTTTTTCTAATTTTCCTTTTCCTCAAGAGCTAGTGACAAACTTTTTTATAACTCTAGCACTTAATTTTCTCGATCTAAATTAGTCTTTGCATATAATTCAATTTAAGTTCTTAATTAATTTATTTATTTTTCATATTTGTCATTCATAATTTCATTTTATTGTCTAATAGTTTGTAAATCTAAATTTATCTATATAATTGCTTGGAATTACCTCTTATTAATTAATTATTTTTTTCTCTTAAATTTTAATCATCGAGATTGATAAATCCAGATCCAATATCATTTTAATTTATTTTTACTGACATCCTTTTCTATGAATAATTATAAATTTTACTAATCCGATGTTTTCTTTTAGTTTTTTTTCGATTTCAGCTCTTAATTCTTATTCAATAGTTGCTTTTTCTTCTTATAATTTTTTATTATCTTGTAATAAATCACATTTATACTTTCTTTTTCTAAAGCAACAGCTTTTTCTAGTTTTGATATTTAGAATTAAATCTTTTTATCCTTTGATTTCATTCCATTGATTTCACATTCCAATTCAGTTATTTTCTATTCCAATTCAATTTTAGTTTTTTCTAATAAGACTATTTTTTATTCTTTTTCCTTAATTATCTAAGAATTAATAATTGAAGCTTATGCTGATTCACTATCCTATTTTAAAGTTGTTTTAGATTTTGTTTCAATTTCTTCTTAATTATCTGAATTATTTGCATTATCTAAATCTTAAGTTTTAATTTGCTCCAGTTTTTTTTAACTTATTATATCATTTTACAATCTCTATTTTTATATAATCTCTCTAGTATTAAATGTTCCAAGAGTTTTATTTCTAGTCATTGTTTATTTTTTTTAATTCTCAGTTGCTTCTGGTTTATATTTTTCCAATTCTTTCATTAAATCTAAATTTAATATCTTAAATATTTACTTTTATTTCTTTAATTCATAAGGTCTAGTTAATTTTGCAAGTCCCTATTTTACTAATCTAACTTTTTTTTAGATTTTTCCATTTCTTCAAGGTCCTTCTCAGTTTTTTTCAATAATTCATCCTTATCTTACAATTATTATTAAATTGTTATAAGTTAAGTATGCTAAAACCATTGACCTTCTCCTTGAATTTGCTAATTCTAAATAGGTAATTACTTAATTTTATAATAATTTATTCTGTTGCTAGGAATCCAAATATTTATAATTAATTTTCATTTTTTCAATGTCTTCTTCTAATTGAGAGATCTAATCAATAAGTTCACCATTTTTTTCATTTTTTTCTAATATTTATTCCTAATATAGATTCTGTTAATTTACTTATAATTGGAGAATATCCTACTTCTATTATTCTAAATTTATTATGAGTTATTAATGCTATTTTTCTAAATCTCCATATTATAGATTTCTATTCTAAAGATAATCTTTTATGTTGTTAAATTTTTACTCAATATTGGTATAATTTGTTTATTTAAGTCTTCTTTAGTTCTTATTGCCTACTGTAAAAAAATTATCTCTAAATTTTTTCTATTATATCATTACAGTTTTATCCTGAAGATTCTTTTTGGTTCATTATCACATCTAGAATTGAATTCTAGTTTTCTTCTTAAAATTTTCCCACAAAAATGCGGATGTCATCATCATTAAAATCTTCCATAAAAATAAAATTTAATTCTCATTTACTTAAGAAAATTCGCTCATTCATAATATTTAAGTTTAACATTTTTGTTCCTTCTAAACATATACAATACTTTCAATAAATTAAAGAATGTGTTTATATTACATTCATAATGCCAATTGACTATCAATAACAAAAAAAATCGAAACCCTAAAAATAGAAAATAAGTATTAATTGCTTCTTAAAAGAAAAAATTTTTAGAAATTATGAAAACCTGAGGGAATAAATAAATGAATAAACAACAATTAACTCAAAAAAATAAAATAATATAAGAAGTGAAAAACAATTGGTTTGTCTAAAATTAAATTGAAACTTTAAGACCTCTATACTTATAAAATCAAAAAAATTAAAATAAAATCCTATTTGGTCTATTTATGGAAGATATATTTGCTCAAACCAAGCAATTTGCTTTATAGGCAAAAAAAATAGCAAAAACTTTGGAAAATTTTATAATTTAATAAGTAGAATTCTATATCATAAACAATTAGAAATTTGTTGCCTGAAACTTAGTTCAATGAGCTTGTTCCAAGAATTTTGACTATTTTTTTAGAATGATTTGAAAATGTTAAATTATTTTTAATAAGAAATTTTCTTTAGATTTGCATATAATTTTGGAATTATTTGAAAAAATGAAAACAGATGGAGAAATTGCAAATAAGTCTTTATCCAATTAAATTATAAGCTATTCCTAAATTTTTTAGATTTTCTTCATAATGATTAATAAAAAAAATTATCCTTTTTTACTTTTGTTAAATTACCAACATAATTTTAAAAGTAATTTAAAGTTTTAGTCGAAAAATTATTTAAAAAATACAGAACTATACTTTAAAATAAAAGGAAACTAAGAAATATTATGACCATTAAACTTAACAATTAGATTTATTAATAATGAAATATTTTTTCATTCATTATCATATTGAAGGCTATTTAAATTCGAACATTAAAAAATAGTTTTAAATTTATTTAACTTTGAACTCTATATTTTTCTGAAGTTTTTTCTCACTCTAGGTACTTTTGAATAAAAAATTTTATTGCTAAACCATAAAAAATAATTATGAAAATTCAAATGCAACTTATTGATTAAAATCTAATGTTCTTATGGAGATATCTAAATTCTTCAAATATTTTAGGATTAAAAATAAATATTATGTAATAATATTTTTCATTAATATAAAATGTAGTCAAATCATTTTTTATAATTATTCAAGGCCACACAGAATTTAAAAAAATATATTGTTATTTAAAACCTTTAAGAAAAATTTCAATATTAGATATTTTGATAGATGATGAAAAAAAATTGAGTGCTCATTTAAATTAATTTTAATTTTTATTGGAATTGCCAAGTTCTCAAATTTTATAATTATAGTTCTATAGCATTTCAAGTGTAAAAAATTAGTTTATATTAATTTTAATATAAATAATTTGAATGGGTAACAGTGCATCGTAAAATGAATTTAATGCTTAACATTATTAGAATAATTCAGGTTTATCTATAAAAGAAGTAGAAGGGATAAAAAATGTTTTTGATTCTTTGGATCCAAAAGTAAATATCGAAAAAATTCAAAATGTTAGGATGGCCAAATATAGACAGGAACACTTCGAAAGCTTTACAGAGATTCATATGATGCTCCATAGTTAAATAATAAGATTGGTGATAGAGAAACATTAACTTTTGATCAATTTTTTGAGTTGATGAAAACAGATATGCTTGAGAAAAAACGACAATTCCCTGGAGTAGATTTCGATGATGGTATAAACGAAAATGTTTAATGCTTCTTTTGCCATCCTTAAAGACAACATAGTTGAATTCATATATATACATTAAATTGAATTCTTGGTTATATATGTATAAATAAATTTGCAATTTTTTCTTTAAGAAAATATCTATTTCAAAATTTCTTTGTGAGACAAAAACAATCAATTGGAGCTTATTATTTTCTTTAATTAAAAAAAGGATTTTAATTCTTAAATTTTAAGGAAATTTATTAATCATAAGTAATAATTTTAATCTCAAATACTTTGCAAATTTATTTTAGAAGTATTATAAGAATATATATTTAAATAGGTTTTTGATATACGATGATATATATCATTAAATAAATTAATCCTTATTTAACTTTTTTTTAAGCATTTCTTCAACTCTATTAGCAACTAATGGATGATATAACCATTTATCTAAAGCAAACCAGGCTTCAGCTTGAGTTCTTAAGTAAATTAAATATTTACGGATAATTAGGGATTAAAACTTCATAAGTACCAACAACATAAGATCTAACTCCCAAACTTTATAAAAATGTATGAACTGCATCAAGTCCAGGATCATATTTGCATAGAATTACAGTTTTATACCATTTGAAGGCAATTTTAGGCCCAGATTTAGTTCCTGATAATTTATAATAGTCATCTAAATCTTTTAATTTTGCATGATTTAATTTAGTATAATTATCTAAAATTTATTGCATGAAGATCATTTTTTGGTTGGCCATGTAATTATTGTAATCATCAGCATTATCTGGTTTACCTTCATTTATCCATTTATTTGCTAAAGCAACAGCTTCATCATATTTAGAAGTTTTAAATTCAATAGTTTTTGGAGGTAACCCTAAATATAAAAGTAAAAAATACCTTATTAATAAACCCAAGGTTTATAAACAACAATAATTTCATCAACAATTTTTTAAGTATTTATTTTAACATTTGATCTAACCCATTGTAATAAGAATTTGTAGAAATCATCTTCATCAATACTTTAAAATTTAAAATGATCTAAGTATTATCTTAACATTAATTTAAAGTTTTCTTCTCCTATTAATTATTCTAAATAATATAATAATTAATATCCTCTTTCATAAGGGACTGAAGAAGTAGAATCATCAGGATTTTTCCAAATAGTAGTTGGATGTAATGTTTAATATGATTTTTCTTCAGGATCAGTAAAACCTTAAATTGCTGAAATTAAATTAAAATTTCCATTAATAGCTTCAATAATATCATAATCTTAAGGTCTTACGTATTTATATGTTTTTCTTTCTAAAAATACACAAAATCCTTCCATAATCCACATATTTGACCAATTATTACCAGTAACTGTATTACCCATCCAAGAATGGGCAATTTCATGAACTGCAGTTCCAACACCACTTTTATCTCCTACAATAATAACAGGACTTGCAAAAGTTAATAAAGGGTGTTCCATTCCACCAAATGGAAACGATTAAGGTAATATAACTATCTTATAATCTCCCCAAATATATGGACCAATATAATCAGTCATTTTTTCTATGAAAAATGGTAATTCTTCTAATTCTTTTGCATAGTCATCTAAATAAAATGGCTCAGAAATAACATAACAATTTGCTCCAATATGTTTCTATTCAATCTCTCCTGCTACTATACCTATCAAATATGCTGGAATTGGAATATTTAATTAAAATGAATATTAATAAAATGTGGATTCTAATCCGTATTATTCGATTAAAGGTAATGATGCAATTTATTCTCCTGTCATAAATGCTTTAATTAAAGGATTTGTGCTTATCACTGTTGATGTATAAGTAAATTTCACACTTGGTGTATCCTGTAGAGGTATTATTGAACGACAATTATTACTTTCACATTGAGTAAACATGTAAGGTACATTCTTACTATGAGTTTATTCTTTTGTCAAAAAACCTACAGCCCTTGCTCTTTCATCAAAAGCGTATTTAATCCTTAATGTTAAATTTTCTAAAGGATTATAAACTCTATCCAAAACTATATGTAATCTGTCACCTTAAATTAAAGATTATTATTTGACGACTTGGATTTCATATTTAAAAGCATTCCCATTCAATTAATATACATTAAGAATGTCTAATTGATATACATCTAAATCAATCTATTATAAATATAAACTGATACATAATTGGCATGCTTTAAAAACTTAAAAGAAATTTGAGCTGTGCCATTAACTATTTTTTTATCTAAATTTAATAACCATTCTACATGCAAATGGTTCATTCTTACTTCCAAATAATTACTAAAAGTATTTGGATCAACATCCACACTCAAACATTAATGCATCAAGAAAGCAAATATAATTAGTTTAAACATTTTAATATATTTAATATATTTAATAAATATATTAAATTATTAATGCTATATTTTAAGTTCTTTTACTAGCTGAATCAATATCAAATATTTATACTCTTTTTAACATTTTTAATAAGGTTGATACTTTTTTTGAATATAGAAATTAGAATTAACTATAATGAATAAGTTCTTGATATTTATGATTGGTAGTTCTTGTTGTACTGATTTAATTTAATTAAATATGTTGCATATATTTAGAAGAAGTAAGAAATACATAAAGGTTTAGGTTTACATAAGATTGATATTTTTGGATAAAACATCACATTAAATATGAATCAAGAAGCTTAATACACAACTGAATTTGGAGGAATATCCTCTTTAATTATTATTGTTGTTGTCGTGTTATTCTTCTTTTCAAACATCTTGGATTTTTTTGCAAAAACTTAGGTTTTTACAGATGATGAGACTTTAATATCTAAGGATCCATTATTATTAGAACTTAATTCTGAAAATTATATATTCGCTGTCTCAATTGAACAAGCTAACTTTTCTATTAATCCTTTTTTTAACATTTCGATAGAGTAAAGGTAATTTATTCAATGAAATAAGATAATATGACAGAGATGATAATGGAGTTTTAAAGAAAACAATATCATATATATAACTTTAAGAATGCAAATTTGATTAATTTGATAAAGTCTTTTCTAAGCAAGGAATTAATTTTACCGAATAATTCAATACATTGGGATTGAAATATTGGTTATGCCCTAAGTAATTAATTAAAATAACTTTAGAGATGATTTTAAAATACTTTTGAAAGGTTCTTATTCAAGTGAGGAATTTTAATTTGTTAAACTTATAGTAAAATAATGTGAAAATTCAACATCTAATTAAATTCAATCTTGGAATCCAGTTTGTGCTGATGAGTAGGTTAAACAAAAATATTTGGCTAAAGAAGGATAATTTAAACTCTAACTCTACTAAACTAATACAATAATTAATTAGAATAAACCCGAAAATTATTTAACCTAGTTTTTAGATAGTGATATGTATTTTACATTTGTTCCGAATAAACTGTCAAGATAAGCTAATATTTATTTTAGAGAAGCCAAAATTATCAATGATAATAGTCTTTTACCAATTTAGTAATAAATGTATTTTATTGTTAAGAGATCTAGCAGAATCAGCTGTGGTTGTTAGAAAAAATGAAGACTTTAGAGATTTGACAGAATTAGGAAGAGATACAGATGATTAATATGCAATCATTTATTTAAGAAGAAGTTAATTCACTTAAATAATATCAAGAAAGTTTTAAAAATTAGGAGAATTATTGTCTTATCTCGGTGGTGTTGTTTAGATAATGAGATTACTCTTTGGTATTGTTATAGTATTTTGCAATAGATAATTAAGTAAATTCTTAAAATATTTAGTGTTAATTGAATTATCTAATAAATTGTATGATTTTAAAGAAACAAAATTAAAAATAGTAGAATAACCTTCTCCTCCATAAATTACTGGAGGTGTTCCATAAGATACTGCTAGATCTAAATATATAGAAGATTAACTTAATTCTCCTGAACCTGATGTCATTTTAGATGTCAATAATGATATATTCTAATCTCCAAGTACAACAAATATCAAAGGTGCAATAGACAAAATCTTATATGAGTCTAATCCCATCAGATTCTCATTCAAATTATTTCTAAATAAACTTACTTGTGGTTTAATGTTTAAAGATAGGAATGCTATCCTCCTAGAAAAAGCAATTAATAAAATGAATTAAGATTTAGATCTTCATAGCATTTTATATAAAATTCAAGAAATAAGTAAAATAAAGAAATTGTTATTCAATGAATAGTAAATGATTTTATTCAATTTTACTCCTAAACCATAAATATCTCTACATTCTAACAGTAGAGTTCCGTCACGTTTATTGATACATGATTAAAAAAAATCAAGATTAAAAAGATAAAATAATATAGATGGCAATTAATAAGATTAAATTTCATGTTTGCTTTTGAATGTACAATTTCTGTATTAAATAGGCTTATGCATAAGTTAAGGATGAGATTCCAAGTGAATTATTAAGTAATTGCTAATTTAGAATTAATCAAAAATTAATTGAATTGATGATTCAAGAAACAAAGGATGCTGATGTTTCATATAAACATCTATCATAATCACCTAAAAAACCTTTTATATCTTTTAAGTTTTAGATTAATGATTAATAAAATGATTAAGATTAAATCAATGAAAATATTGAAAACCCCATCATTACACAAAAACAATGAAATAAAAGTATTAAGTTTTATATGATAATATATTTTTATCTTCTAAATATTTTTTAATAATTTAATTAATATATATTCAATGAGAAAGTAAGTCTACACTTAAGCATATTTTTTGATCCAAAATAACCACAATTATAGCCATTCATTTGGAGTAAGAATGAAGTATGTTGGATTAAATACATTGATTGGAGTCTATGCTGCAGCTAGATATTATTTCAATGCATTAAGATTGAAAGTATTTATTTTTTTTAAAGCAACTAGTCAGCTAATGGCGAAACTACTTTCGATTGATTGGTTGAAAAAATATGAAAAATATAATAATAAATATCATAAGATATCATTACAAAATCTTAAATCTTTATCAGATGCCAAATAATTATTTTTAGAAAGAATTAATAATAGCATTTCTATCTCCATACATTGATCTGATATCAAATTCTAAAGAAAAACAAAATTTATTTATGTTAATTACTCAAAATTAATAATTCAATTATTATTCATAATTATTATTGTAAATTTAGACATTAGGTAAATCTTTATTAATAAATGCTTTTCCTTGAAGTATTTTAGGCTCTTCAGGACCAGTAAATTATATTCTTTTACAAACATCACTAAAATTTGGACTAAATTATTTATTTAGTAATCCAATAGCTGTATCATCATTATCATCTATCTAAATTTCAGCTTCACTCTTCTCCAAATGTTATTAATCAGTACCAATAAAACAGGAATTCTCTACAAAAGAATTCTATTCTGTTCTTTAAGTATGATTTATATAATTTCTATTCAAAGCATTCAAAAACTGATATCTTTTTTAACAATGTTAATTTTATTGTTAAATTTCCAGTTAATTTTATATCTAATTATTTATTAAATAAGATACCCTTTCAAGATCTAAAGTAACTGGAAGTAAATTTTTTCTAATAATTTCATTACATACTCTATTCCAAGAGGCTAGTATCGCTTCTTCTTCTTAATTTTTTTATCTAAAAGTCTTGTAACCTTAAACCTAATTCAAGATTTAATCAATATCTTCAAAATTAACTAATGTTTAATTTATTAAAGTGCTATTTGGACGTTCATATGAATCAGAGGATTGTAATACTTCCTTAATATCTTGTGTATTTGGAGTTCTCATTTTTATTTTATTACCTTCACTAATTGTTAAATGTTTTCTATCTGATCTATAACTCATATTGTGATGTTCACTCTCTCCAAAATTAGGCACTGATTATATTGTGTCAAGACCTTCACTTGATTCTAATAAAGATTTATCTGGTGTATAATAATCATTCGATTATTCCTCTATGATATCTAAGAAATATTTGATATTCTTTGGAATTCTAGATCTTTTTCTTCTCTTTACTTTCTTTTTCTATGCTTAATTGTTTTATTTTTTTTCACTCTCTTATGTTTTTTAACAAGGTTCACAAAATTCTTAATATGATTTTTTATCACTTTATTGCTCTATTGTGCCACTATTATTTATACTTAGGTTATCTTTCTCTAGTCTTTTACTAATATTTAAATTAGGCGTTTAATTTTCAACAGATTTTTAATCTTAATAATCATCATCTGAATTTTGAGAGAAGTTGAATTATTTCTATACAATATCATAAAAATTTGAAGTTTAATTGTAATTTGGATTATTTTTGAAGCTATCATAATCAACATGAAAATTTTCATCAAATTCATCAATTTCATGTTATTTACTTTTTTTACTAAAAGCAGATTCTCTAACATTATAATTATCAGAGTTTCTCTGACTAGAATATTGATTAATGTGATCATCTTTATTAATTGATATCTGTTAATTTGAATTTTATTAAAAGTTGCGATTAATTTGTTGTTAACTAGTTCTTGTGTTTAATATTTACTTAGAAGATTTGGAATTACTAGTTTGCTTCACATTCTTTTAAGTATATTCTTCTGAATTTCTCTATGACTTTTGTTAATTTTTTTAAATTGATGTATTTGTATTATAATTAGAATTATAATTGGTATTGTTCGAATTATAATTGTTAGTATTTTATTATGAATTAGTTTTAGGTATTTATTATTTATAATTTTATGGTTATTTCTAACTAAAAGAGTTCTAATTTGATTAATCTTATTAATTTAAAGTTGATAGTTATTTTTAACTATTTTATTTAGGAAATAATTTGAATCCATCTTTAAGATTATTTGTTATAGGTTCTTTATTTTATTGATTAATTTTTTATTCGCTTAAAGGTTGTTTTAATTTTTAATCGCTTGGAATAAATTAAGCACTTCCATTAGTATTAGAACTATTTTCAGTAAATTTAATGATATCATTTGCCATTTTCATAATATCATCAGCTACATTTGCTTATAAATCTTATAAAATTTCTTAAATTTTGCTTGGACCTCTTTTATGAGTTGGTTTACGGTCATCAACTGTATATTCAGTTTCATCAGTAAGAGTAAATAATCTTCCTCCAAATCCTTTATTTTAATTTTAAAAATGTTAAGTAAATGTTTATAAAGGTGATCTTAAATACTGAGATTATTAAGATTTTTATGTGCTCTATTAAGAAAGACAAGTTTCTTAACAAGGAACAGGAATATAATCAGTGTCATAATCATTTTCTTAATCTTCTACTTCTTATAATTACATACTGGTTCTTAGGATTTCAAAAACTGAATATTTAAATAACTTAATTTACCTTTTTATTTCTTCTCTATTTCTTATTCAGATTATTCTTCTACTATATTTGTTTAAAATAATACCCTCTTCATTATTAATAAATGATAAAACTTTAACTAACAAATTGTAATTTTATGGAATCATTTGGATAGTTTTTTGGTTCAACATTTCTGCTTCCCAAGTATCCGTTAATAATAAATATATTTATATATTTAATTAATTTTTACGTAAGTTTTAAAGTAAACTAACAAATTGATCAAAAAAGGTTTAACAAAATGATCTACAAATTATAAATTTAATTATTTATTATTTCTATATATATTTATGAATGCAGAAATCTAAAATAATTAACATTGATGAATTTGTTAAAAGGCTTTTTCTTTATAGAAATTAATAAAAGGAATCAATTAAATTCTAATTTTTTTAGTTCATCTTTCGATATCTGATTATATAATTAATTAAATGGAAAGAGTTGAATATTTAATTATATAATTTATAGAGTTTAAATATAAAAAAAGTAAAAAGTTAGAGCAATTATTATAAATTATAGAAACTTTATTAATTTATGAATCAAGGACTTTTCGCATAATGGATTTCAACAAAGCCTTAGATTACTTAAAATCGTTCTGTACCAATCTATGTAGATACTAGCTTTACTAGTACAATAACAATTGATATAAAATAAAATATGCTTATTAGTGATATTTCCAAATTCATTCATTTAGATGGCGAAAAATAAAACTTAAATCTTGTTCTAATACATTCTTCTGTTTAGAGGAGATTATGGGATTATGAAAAAGTTGAAGATGTTTTACATAATTCTAATAGCAAATTAGTGGTTTGCGATTTTTAGAAAAAATAACAGCCCATTGTTTAAAAATAACCCAAATATTTTGGTATTGATATTAGTTTAATGAAGATGATAATTTTAAAGCATACGGAAAACTCTTAAAAAAAAATAAATTGGGCGTTTATGTTGTTACATAAGTCTATTTGTCTTCAACATATTTTGGATTTAAAAATGAAAGGAAAGGTATAAATATTAAGACTATTTAGAGAAAATAAAATTGAGTAGTTTAAATAATGTGAGATTATTTACTTGGTAGAATAGTACAAAATTCGATTTCTAAATTGAAAACGAAAGAAAATTGTATCTTTTTCAAGCATTCAAAGAAAATGACTACTCATATTGGATTAGAAGTATTTCTGAATCTTTGAACGCAGCTTAATATAAATCTTAGCTTTAAAGCTTAGATGATAAAATTTAAATAGCAACTAGAAATTAAATTAATCGAATTGAAGAATTTGCATAAGATTCGCTTCAATAAATAAACATTAGTGGTAATTATTTATAATAACTAAAATTTTAAATCACTGATATTTGTGATATTAATATAATTGAATTTCTTTTAACAAAAAATAAAGATTTAGTTGCAGAAATTTTTAAACAAATTGAAAAGGATTCATATAATTTAATTAAGCCATTAGAATCTTAACCTTAAGAATAACATTTAAGAATATTTACTTCAAGATATCATTCATTAATTGAAAAAAATATTGATTTAGATAAGCTGGTCGAACAGCTAAATGATGAAATTAATTCAGCTTATTTAGGCTTTTTAAGAATATAAAAGATAAGAAATAAAATAATTCATTAAGCTTGTATTTAATTTAAAGAATAATTTGAGGAGTTGACTCCAAAATTTGATTAGTTTTATAGTTGATTTTTTTTAATTAAGAAAACTAATCTATATGAAATATTTAATTCATTTGCTCAGAAGTTGTTTAATCTCAATTCTACCACCAATTTTATATAAAATTATAAATTTTAAAAATCTATAATTAGCATTCAATATTATTTTTATATTAATATTTCAAGTTTCTTCATTTTTTTTAATTAATCATTCTTAATATATAATCTTATTGTTTGTATTTATATCTCCTATTAAGAAATATAATTTTAATATGTTAAGTTTAATTTATTACATAGTCAATTAATTAAATGAGCATCAAATTTATTTCAAATTTTTCTTATCATTTATTAATAAATTTTAGTATTTATTTAATTGATGATAATAATAAATTCATATGGCAAATGGCTTTGGTAAAGGCTTTTATAGGCCATAAAAATTCTTCGAAATTTAAGATATTTAAAAAAATAGTTACAATAATTTATGTTCAAAGTATCTTTCCTCAATCAAACTTTTTATTAATATAAAACATTACATTATTATTACAATACTTCAGGTATTTATTATCCTAAAAAAACTTTGTACCTCTGATCTCTGATGTAAATTGATATAAAATTTTTAGGCTGCTTTCATTCAAGTTTAGAGACGTTAACAAGATACTTAGGCAAATGTTTATAAATGTAGAGTAGAAGATTGCTATTACTAAAAAAATTGTCTTTCTGGTGTATGCACAAAACTTTACTAGATAATTAAATAATATAATGAAAGCTAAGATATTTCAACAGTGTGTTCAGAATAAGTGGTGAATAAAAATGTAATATTTTTCTAATTAAGATTCGAAGCTCATTATTAAATTCATAAAAATATATCACCATAATTTTGAAATAATTTAATTTTATATAAATAATAATATATTTTTTTTAAGATTTAAAATAAATTTTATGTATTATATTTTTTCGATTTGGATTTTGTTTTTATTTTGCTTTTTGAAATTTGATTTAAGCTAAAAATTTTTTATATTTTTGATTTTTTGGAATCATTTAAGGAATTTCATAAAAAGCTTAATAAACTCTATCGCATTTACTGTGAATTTGTTAAACTCCATTTTTCCATTACTCTAAGCATTTCTATTAATTTATCCAATTTTTATGTAATTAATTCCATCCATAATTAAAAGTAAAATCTGGCTAATTTTTTAAATCAAAAGTTGCAGCTAACAAATTTAAAGGAAAAGAATAATTAGGAATTTTAAAATAGTAAAATAGTTAATTGTTGACAAATCTGATATTTCTTTGATCTTCTTAGACAGGATTTTTTTCTCTTTTAAATTGTAAAACTTTTTTTATTTTTTTTAACTTTAAATTTAACTCTTTTTTCGAGCTAATATTTCATTAAAATGTTTTTTTAAAGCTTTTACCTTCGATATCAAATAATTTTAAAAGCTTGTGCAACAAACTTAAGAATTATAAAGTTGTTAAGTTTAATCTTTTTAATTTTAAACTCTAATTCGTTAATTTTTAATTATATCTGTTGATTTTGAGATTCTCCTTATTATCGATTTGTATTTATTCATATTATTAAGGTTTTAAATTTATTAAGGAAGATACTTGATATTAATTACTTAATTGAGTAATATTTTGTTTCTAATTTGTCCTTAACAAAGCTGATTAGAATATTCTCAAACTAAATCATATAATTATTATTTTTTTTTTTTAGCTATTTTATTATGATACTAATTAGCTACCATTTATCTACCAAAAAATGATTAAAATTTTAGCATAGTTTACACAAAATTTTGAAGCAAGTTTATATTTCAATTTTCTTATAATGTAAAAAAATGTAAGCATTTGATTATTATTCTCCAATAATTCTTTCTTTAGAATTTGAAAATTTAGTGTTAAAACTTTCTTGTTTATTAATAAAAAAATTTTTTAATGTTCAAAAAATAATTTGTAAATTTACAAATGTTGAATAATTGTTTTTATGGCTAAACAAAATTCCAAAAATTGAATTATTATTGAAAATTGATGAAAAAGAATAATTCTAGCTCGCTTTTTTAAATTATGATAATAAATGTTGATCACCCTAAATGAATTAAGAAAATTAGATATCAAGTTTTATTCAATGGATTTGAAAGGAAATTATAATTATTATATAAAAATTAAAACTTAATTTTTAAGTTTATTAATAAAGAAAGGATAATTAATTTAATAGTAAATAGAGGAATAGTTATTACTAAATATTATCAAACTCTGGATATATGAACTCATATTGAGATTTGATTAATTCAAATTTGAAGAATTTCAAATAAATTAAACAAATTTTATTTAATCTATAACAAATTGATAAAAGTTATGTTGTTGGATACTGTAGTATCTATTGATTTTAATTATTTTGAAGAGAATATCCTGAAAATAAATAATATGTTATGATTATTTAATGAAATCATAGATTAATTAATTATTCAGACAAATCTTTAATTTTATCAACACTTTTACTGATTTCAATTTCGAAATGTAAGATTTTATAGATTACATAAATGATTGAAGGATTCTTTGTATTAAGTAATTTATTTTGGATCAAGTCATCGATTTCATTTTAATCTTTGTCGTTCAATTCTTCTGGAGACTAAGAATATATATAAAATATAAATTTACATTTAATTTAGCTCTTAAGAAATTGATAACTTCTTCAAATAGTTTTTATCCTAAATCTTGAATGCATTCTTTTTGTTTAATTAATAAGAACTATTCTAATTCCATTTTTCTTTTTTCAGCCTCTAACAATTATTTATTAAGATCCATTTTCTTATAATCAATAGATAATTCAATGAATTGATTTCCTTGATTTGTATCTTCAAAAGTTTCTTCTTGGATAGTGTGAATATCCCTATTTTAAATAGGTTATTCATATCCATAATCAGCAGTGTCATCTTTTCCTTATTCATCATTTTGATCTTCAAAATCATCAGGGTCAGTGTATGCCTAGAGATTTAAATAATAAAAATATTACTCCTTTATCTGAATCCTATTAATTGTCATACTTTTTTTGAAGATTCTATTTTTCTATAGTATTAAATTCAGATTTAAATTGTACTTAAACATGATTATATTCCATATCTACTTATGATTCATTGTTTGTTGTTGGAATTTCATCTACAAATGAAGTAATATCTATGATCTCTCTTTCTGGTTGAATTACTTTTAAATTCTTTTCTTCTTTATAAACAAACTCAGGTAAATTGACTACCATATCAACTTCTTCTTTTGAACAAGATTATTATTTATTTTATTTTGTAGTAATATCTTTAGCTACATCAATTTTATCGGTTTTTCTTAAAGGTTCTTTAACTTATCTAGCAGATTCTTTAGGTGCTCCTTTTCCAACTCTTTTTTTATCAGTTTCTTCAATATTAGAATTAGAAACCTTAGCTTTAATTTAAACAATAGGTTTTTTTGTAGGTTAAACTTATTGACTTGAAAAATTATTAATTTGTTAATTAGATTAAGATGAAATAATAGGAGAAGTAACTGGTTAAAATTCTGCTTTTAATAATAATTCAGGTTTAGAAACTATAATTCGATCATCTTATTTTTATTTTTGTAATTCATTTACTTTATCCCTCCAATCTTTATAAAAATCATCCGTTTTTTAACCTTAAATTTGTTATGGAACAGATGGAGGTGGAATTTATACTATTTTCTTTTATTAAATGGGAGTATCTTTAACAGGTTCTTATTTAGCTTTTACTTCAATTTGTTAATTCTAAGAGGATTGAGGAACTTTAGCTTTAAAAGGTTTACTTTAAGGAGTACTTTTAATTGAAACAGGAATAGGAGTAACAAAAGAAGAAGTTTAGACAATTTCCTTAGGTTTTGGTATAAGAGGAGTTTGAATGATTGCATTTGATTAAAGTTGTTTAGAATTTGGATGAGGTTAATTTAAATTTAATTAAATTCTTAAGTTTTATGCTTATAAAATAAGACCTGTCTAATGTGATAGTTATAATTACTTGATTTTTGTAAAAGTTAAAACGCATCAGGTCTTTAATTGTAATTAGTTTATAAACATTAATCAATCAATTATGCTAATCCTTAAGAATACATTTATCCAATTGGTTCATATTTACCTTTAATAATTTTCAAAACTAGTGCTCCTTAACTATTAGCTTCAAATGGATGTTTAAAAGTACAGAGTTCATAAATTACACATCCTAATGCCCAAATATCACTCTTTTCATTATNCTTAAACATGATTATATTCCATATCTACTTATGATTCATTGTTTGTTGTTGGAATTTCATCTACAAATGAAGTAATATCTATGATCTCTCTTTCTGGTTGAATTACTTTTAAATTCTTTTCTTCTTTATAAACAAACTCAGGTAAATTGACTACCATATCAACTTCTTCTTTTGAACAAGATTATTATTTATTTTATTTTGTAGTAATATCTTTAGCTACATCAATTTTATCGGTTTTTCTTAAAGGTTCTTTAACTTATCTAGCAGATTCTTTAGGTGCTCCTTTTCCAACTCTTTTTTTATCAGTTTCTTCAATATTAGAATTAGAAACCTTAGCTTTAATTTAAACAATAGGTTTTTTTGTAGGTTAAACTTATTGACTTGAAAAATTATTAATTTGTTAATTAGATTAAGATGAAATAATAGGAGAAGTAACTGGTTAAAATTCTGCTTTTAATAATAATTCAGGTTTAGAAACTATAATTCGATCATCTTATTTTTATTTTTGTAATTCATTTACTTTATCCCTCCAATCTTTATAAAAATCATCCGTTTTTTAACCTTAAATTTGTTATGGAACAGATGGAGGTGGAATTTATACTATTTTCTTTTATTAAATGGGAGTATCTTTAACAGGTTCTTATTTAGCTTTTACTTCAATTTGTTAATTCTAAGAGGATTGAGGAACTTTAGCTTTAAAAGGTTTACTTTAAGGAGTACTTTTAATTGAAACAGGAATAGGAGTAACAAAAGAAGAAGTTTAGACAATTTCCTTAGGTTTTGGTATAAGAGGAGTTTGAATGATTGCATTTGATTAAAGTTGTTTAGAATTTGGATGAGGTTAATTTAAATTTAATTAAATTCTTAAGTTTTATGCTTATAAAATAAGACCTGTCTAATGTGATAGTTATAATTACTTGATTTTTGTAAAAGTTAAAACGCATCAGGTCTTTAATTGTAATTAGTTTATAAACATTAATCAATCAATTATGCTAATCCTTAAGAATACATTTATCCAATTGGTTCATATTTACCTTTAATAATTTTCAAAACTAGTGCTCCTTAACTATTAGCTTCAAATGGATGTTTAAAAGTACAGAGTTCATAAATTACACATCCTAATGCCCAAATATCACTCTTTTCATTATAAGGTTTCTCTTCACACATTTCTGGGGATAAGTAATAAGGAGTTCCTACCATAGTTTTAGCAAAGTTATTTTAATCATTTAATAGTTTTGCTACTCCCAAATCTCCAATACGAACTTAATCTTTTGATAAAAATATATTCATTGACTTTATATCTCGATGCAAAACTTTATTTTTATGAAGATATGCTAATCCTAATGTTGTTTAAATCAAAAATTTCCATACTTAATTTTCTGATAATGGTCTTCCCATTTACATTTTTAGTAATTTATGTAAATCTCCACCTTCACAAAATTCCATTACTATACATAACAATTACTTATCTATAAATGATTCATAATATTTCACAATATAAGAACTGTCTAATTTTGATAAAATACTTGCTTCATTCAAAGCTTCATTTTTCAATCTTTAATTCATTTTTGAAATGTTTATTTATTTCATTACATATGTTTATTTATCAACTTTACGTCTTACTTTATAAACTTATCCAAAACTACCCTCTCCTAATTTATTTAAAATTTCAAATTCATTAAGTTTCGATTCCATTAATTTAATAATATAACAAATAATACCTTGCTAAAATCAATTTCAAAGAGGAATCCTTCTAATTAATTTCATTATTTAATTATGTAAAATAAAGACGTCTCAAGTAAACTTTATGTCATTTATCATGACCCTTGTCTAGATGGAATTTATTCTTTAACTGGACTTGTTTTACCCATTCTTGTTAAAATCAAAAAAGATAACTGGACTATTTAATAATATCTTTAATTACTCAAATAACAACTCACTAAAATATCTAAAGAAATACAAACAATCTAATAATTTAAACAAGAAATCCTTTATTAAGATGAACCTATTGAAAATTAAAATATGGGTTTCTTCTATCCTACTATTTAAGATTTATGCTATATGCCTATAAGATTAAGTGAAGATTCTAATGAAGTTTAGAAAATCATCAAATTTTTAAATGAAGATTCCAAATCTTCCATTTTAATTATTGTTGATTATTTTGGAAGAACATGGGAAAATCTATTATTGCTAACTTAAAAATTTTAATATGTGATTGTTATTGATCATCATTAAACATGTGTTAATTCCATTCCAGATTATAAAGCTGATAAATATTAAGTCTTAAATAAAGTCTCAGGAATTGAAAATCTATTTATGTTAGTAAGTATAGATAAGGCTGCATGTTTATTAGTTTAAGATTTTCATGAATAAATATTTTAAACTAAATATACATCATTACTTCCTCCAAATATAGGAACTAAATTTACATTATTTACTAAATATATTTCAGATAATGACTTATTTGTTTTATAATATCCTGAAACAGAACCTTTATAAATGGCAATAATGAGAAGAAGATTATAATTTGACGTTCGTTAGAATCCAGCAATCTTTTATAAATTGTTAGAATTCGACTTTGAATTTTTAATAAAAGAAGGAAAATAATTAGCAATATAAAGAAATAAAAAAGTTGAAAGTTTAGTTAAGAATCGTAAAACTGTAGTATTTGGAAAAGATGCAGTAGGTTATGCACTATATTGTGATGATTTGAGTATTATGAATCCTTTAGGTAATGCATTAGGTATCTTGGCTATGAGATCTGGTGATTAAAATTTAGGTGCTGTTTATCATGATGATAAAACTAACTCAACTTAATATAAAATTCATTTGAGATCAGCTCATCATGATGAAAATGGAGTTTTACTTAATAGATTTAGATGTGATGTTTTAGCAGAATCATTTGGTGGAGGAGGTCATGTTGGTGCTGCATCTCTTTATATGAAAAAAAAAGAATGGAAAAAATTAATGTTTGAATGATTATATTTAATTATTATATATTATTATTATTTATTATATATTATTATTATAGAAATTATGTTGAATTTTATTAGAAATTAATTAATAAATTCATGTTAATCTCATTTTTATTGGTTATTGTCTAACTATAAAATTACCTTTCAAAAAATAGTAAGATGATATTAAACTAAGCATTTGAAAGTTAACTCATGAATCACAAAATAAAAAATAGGAATGTTCTCAAATTGAGATTATCATAAACAATTAACATCAAAAAGCTTCAACTCAAGAAATAATTATACTTTTTTCATTTAGAAAGATAATTTATGTATTTTTGATATATTAATTTGTTTCAATTAGATAGTTCAAATAGAATCAAAAAATTTTAAAATTTTGAATTAAGAAAAGTATCTAAAAATTAGATAATTTAAATAGCCATTTAACATAAGCTATTTAAAAGTAATACCATAATTCATTTAAAATACTAATTAGTGAATTGTTTCTTAGGTATTGATTTGATTATTTTAAATGAATGTAATAAAAGAAATCAAATATCTATTAAAAACAATTTTGTATTGAATTCATAAATATAAAAAAACAATATCATTTCAGGATTGCATTGCAGCGTTGGATTAAAAAAAAATAACTGGATAACCAAAATAGCGATGTTATTAATAGTTCTAATAGTAAGGATTATAGAGTAATGGCATTGGTTAAACACTTGGAATAACTGTTTAATGCCTTGGAATAACATGAGGAATAAAAATTTGATGATCAGAAGTATTGGAGTTTTCATTGACATGTTCAACTTTAATATGACTTAACTTTCTATGATCAATTTCTATCTGATTTGCTAGGAAATCAGGATTGTAAGTATTGTACTTTTATATATATTTTAAGATTAATTACTCTTATTTTAGATCCAGCTTATCCTAAGATACATTTTATATATACTAAATGTATTTTTTTAGCAATTTTCTTGACAATAGAATTATAACAATTTTTAATTTTATTATCAGTTCTTCCAGGCATTTATTTTGAGATACCAGCCCAATTTTTCTTCATTTAGTAAGCCTTAATCATTATATGTTATTTTTCTTAATCAGTAAATGGCTTTCTTTAGTATATAGATAAGTATTACTTATTGATTTAAGGATTAATGACATTGTTGTATCGTTCCCGTATTTACTTTTGATATCTTAAATTTTTTGTGATACTAATAAATTCTTCAGCAATTATTGTCCAATCATTGTTTGGATATTTCCTATTATTATTAATTATTAATACTTTCTTAATTCAATTAATATTTCATCTTCTTCTTATGTCCAAGGAATTTCTTTTAAATTTTGTTTTAATAAACTCATCCATTTAACTAAAAGAAACTATTCAGGAAGTTCTAATATACTTGCTAACTCTTCAAAAACCCCTTTTTGATGCTAAAATATAAATTTCGGCTTCATATATACCAATTCATTGAATTTTATTTGTCTCAATTCAGCTAGTTTAACAACGCACCAAATTAGTAAATATTTATCCTTTTAATGCCACTTACTACGATCCACTTTTTTTGTTCTATGATTTTCTTTAAATGTGATAAATACGATTAAAATTCATTGCTTAAATAATGTTCTAATTGTTAAAATGACATTTTTGCTTTTGGCAACTTCACAATCTACTATAGATGATCTTCATTTAACTCTAACAACTTAGATTCACCTAATAAGTCAAGGAATTAAGTCCAATTTATAGGTTTCATTTAATTTAAATTAATAATCTTTTTTTATTCTAATCTTCCTCTTAAACTAAGGATATTATGATTAAAAATTTTTGACCAGATTGTAGCACCCCGTTTTTAAGCTTAAACTTGTCATTTTATTTTAAAGCTAAGGTCTAAACTTAGAAATATCTAATTTTTAATTTTAATTAATTTTCTAATTAGTATGATAGATTAATCCTAAGGATGATTATTCTTAAAATGCAAACAAAATTATACTTTGAAGAGATAAAATTATGTAAAAGTGATTTTATGTTCATTATTAATTGATGCATTGTATTTATTCTTATAAATACTTGTATATTTTTAATTTAATTCTACTATTAAAACACTCTCAACAGTCTTAAATGAAGTTTCTTTAATATTATTGAAAAAATAAATCTATTCATATTGTTTTAAATATTTTGAATTAGTTAAATATTTATAAAGATTTTAATATATTTATAAAAATTGTTATCAATAACCAAAATTTTGACATAAAAACAGATTAAATTTAGTTTAGCTACCTTATTTTTTTGAAGAAATGGTATTTTACAGTTATTTAGTATTAATTTATATACATTTATAAAAAATATTTTGTTATATAATGATTTTATAAATTCTATCAAGCATTTTGATTTGGACCCACAAGTTATAATTTAACATTTAAAAATGCTTCTTTTGCATCTTTGATTTCTCTATTATCAACTCCTAATGATAAAAGCAATTGATCTAAAAGATTTAAAAGTGTTTCAAATTAAGCTTCTGTTAAATTCAATTTGCAATGTCCTGAGAAGTTTAATTAAGATGATGTCAGGTTTTATCCAAATAAATGTAGTACTACGGAAATGAAATGCTATTTAAATTTCTAAGAATTTATTTAATATAAAAAATACGCTCTAATCAACATTTTATAAAAGGGGTTTAAATTCCTTATTTTTTGAGACACGTTCAAATAACATTGATATTGTTGATTAAGCTGATTATTCTCCACCTAATCTTTAAATTAAGGGAACCTTTTAAATACTTGCATCTAAGATTTTAGCTAAAGATAATAAAATTAATACCACTCCCTCTATTTTCTTAATTTAAGACTTTTATTCCAACAATACCAATAGCAGCAGCAACAGCTGCAATGGCAACGACTGCTTTATTTTTTTCAATAAAGTTTTGAATTTTTTGCATAAATATAATTTTAATATAAATATATGATTAGATTTTAAAAATCACTAGTAAACACTATTCCTAGATTCAACATAGTATATGGCTATGTACCAAAGAGATCTCCTTTTGATAAAACTCATTACATTGATAATTACATACCAAGATAAATTCCTTATCCAAAATCAAGAAGACCAAGATTAACCTAATGGGATGATGAATAAACAGTATGGCCAATTATTCCACCATCCCCAATTCTTCCAAGAAAAAAATTATTATAATAATTAGAATAAGAGGAATATGAAAGACTATAAATAATAAAAGTAATTGCATTTAATAATTAAAGCCTATGACATTTCCTGATTTCAGAGTTGGTGATATAATTTAAGTTAAATGGATTCATAATATGAGTGAACCAACTATGAATACTTATTAAGGTTTATGTGTTGGAAAAAGAAGATCAAATTCATTAGATGCTTCATTCAAATTCATTTTTAGATATTGTGGTGTTGATGTTTTCATGAATGTCAAATAAAATTCACCTTATCTTAAAGAAGTTAGTATTCTAAAAAAAGGATCAGGTAATATTAGGAATAAAGTTGCTTTATTCACAAAGAGATTAGCTAAATAATAATTCATTACTCCTATTTTAAAAAAGGGAAAACCTGTAAGAAGAAAAGATGATCCAATTCGTAAGAGAAGTTCAAGATCTAGAACTTCCTTATCTATGCTTAAATCTATTGTTGATCCATTATTGGTTGAAAAACCAGTTGAAAAGAAAAAAGTACATAAAAAGAAATAACAATTATCTGAAACTATTGTAGAATCAAATGAAAACACTAATAAATAATCATGAGTCTTTTAGTATACGCATAAATATGATCATCATTATTATTATTATTATTTCTACTCTCTTTTTTATTTCATAAAACTCTCAAATTATTTACTTAATATTTATGAATTTATATTCATTGTTTTTGCTTTCAAATATTTCGATTTTATATCAATAACTTCAGTATTATATTCATAAATCTTTAAAACTTCAGGAGATTTCGATTTTATATTTTTTAAAGTATTTTTGTTGTTTCCTTTAATATTCATTGTATAAACACTAGAGCTAGGATCCAATGCTTTTTTAGTTTTATCACATTCAGTAGTTGTTTAAAATTAAGAGAAATCTATTTCTCCATAATGCCGATTGCCTTTTTCAGCTAATTTGTTTTTCCACATAAGAATTTATTATCTTAAATAAATTTTAATATTTTTTATATTAAAAAGAATATTAGTACTTTAATAGGTAAAAATTATTGATTTCCTACATTAAACATTTTTAATTGTTATTAATCATAATCTATCCTTTATTATTATATATAATATTCTAAAGATTTAAGAAATGATTAATAGTTGATAAGAAATTGATTAAATTCAATTTAGTTTATTAAATAATTGGAAAATAAAATATATATAATTTTCAATAAATAATATCTGCTATAATCATCTCTTACAATTAATATCTTCATAGTAGTCATATTCCTCTAATGATAATGAGTCAACACTTTCATCTACTCCAAATGATTATGTTATTCTTTAATAGTCATCATCATAAGTTAATAATAGATTCTATAATAATAAGTCTTATTTACTGACTATTTAGTTGTATCATTTCTTGATTTATGAAAATCATCTCTATCCCCTTCAATTTCATAAGTTTTGTTTCCCTTTTAAGTTTATCCTTTTTATAAGTCTATAGCGTAAGGATTATTTAATTTTTTTCCTATAATCTAATAGAGATCATAATCATATTTCTTATCTTATGATTTTGGTTATTCATCTAAAACAAATGTGTAAGAATCAAATAGTGCTTATTTTTAAGTATTTCCTTTACTGTTCAAAACCTTTTAATTTTTTATTTGAATTTCATCCTCATACTCATAAGCATTACTACCTATATAATTATTCATTTTTGAATTCTGTTAAATTTTTGTTAATAATAATAATCATTCTTAAGGGTTACTTGAAAAAATACTCTAATTTCAAGCCTAAATAATGAAGAAAGAGCATTAATTTTATTGATCGTCCCTCCTTATTTTATAAGCATTAAGAGCTGGCTATTCTTGTTTTATTTAAGGTTAACCGTTGCTTTCTTTTTTTTTATTTCTTAAAATCAGTTTATTCCATTTTTTACTTATTTTCTATTCTTCTGTTCCTGTTTTATTTTTTTTTCTTTTTTATATTATTCTTTATTTTATTAGACCCTTATTAATTATTAATTTATTTCTGCAGGACTGAATTTTTTATCGGACTTTTAATTTTAATTTTTGACAATATAATAAAAATTCAAAATATTCCAATATTAACTCAAGACTTTTTATTTTTTCTGTGATTCCTTTGATTTAATTTAATAGAGCATGTTCTCATTAAAATAAAAAATTTCCTTTTAATCATTAATCTAAAGATTCAATTAACTTTAGAAATTAAAATGAAAGGTATTACTTTATAAACTTCCACATTTAACTAATGAAGTTTCAGTTTCAATATTTGTAACTATTGAATTTTTTAAGATTTTCAATATTTAAGTATTATTCATTTATTAAATTAATATACTCAATCAATTTGATCCAATGATTAATCTTATTTTTTATCTACTTATTTAACATCCTCTTATTTTTAAACGTTGGTTGTATTACAACTTACTTTATGATTTGGCCAATCACCAACTTAACAATCTTTACTACAATACCACACTTATTTGCAACGTGAACATCTTTTAGTAGCTTCCAAAGAACATTTCTGACATTTAAAACCATCTATAATACCTTCAAATACTGTATTTGAATATAGTTCTGCCATTCTCTTGATATCTATTAATATTAATAGTAAATACAATACCTTCTTTAATTGTTGGATCATCAATTTAGAAAAACTCTTCTTTTTATTTCTAAGCAATAGAACTCCAATTTTTATCTTTACATATTGTCAAACGTAATTCAGGCAATTATTAAACAACTATAGTATTCTTACTTTAGGCCTATACTTACATAAGAGATAATTCTTCTAATGATCTTAGCATATCAACTAGTTGAGGTATCTAATCTAATAATAATTCATTCATAAATTTTCTTAGTCTTAGTAAGTTACTCTTTTTAAAATCATTCAATTCATATTTCCTTCTACTTTCAGGATCCATAAATAAATTATAAATTGTAATCCATAATTAAGCTTCAATTTTTGGTAATTTGCTATAATCCTCTTTTTTTAATGTAACCCATTTAGATTATTCAAATACTTCTCTTTCATTATTATGATTAATTCTTAACCAAGGTTTTTCTTCTATCAAGGGAATAAGTAAAAAGAAAAAATCATTATCAACAATAATTTAATGAAGAATGTTGATTGGTAAATGCTTAATATGATCAGTAATAAATCTAATGATGCTTAGACACATCATTTAAATTTAAAATTCAACATTTTGAAATTGTTCATCTATTTCATCTTCTTTCGTTCTATTCTTAAAATAATCTATGCTTTTTTTCTCAATCTTTTTTGCAGGTGGCCTAAATCTTTTTTACAATTCAGTACTTTTATAGTAAAGCTGTTAATTTTCGATAACAATAATCCACTACTTCAAGAATATAACCTTCTGATGCTTCAATCGAAGTTCTGTGAAATAAACATATTTACAGTAGATTGCATACAATAGCTTCATGTTATAATACTGTGTATGATCTAATTGATGATAATTCTGTAAAATGTGATTTCAAATAAGGAAAAACATATTGTTTCCACATTTCAGTCATAATTAAATCATAAATCAAAGGTTTAATTTTATCGAAAGTACAAAAGGCTTCCATAATGAATTCATCAGATCTAGCTATAGCATTTATATGTGCTTAGAAATTGAGTTTTTGTAATATCTCATCCTACGTAAACCATCTTTCTTAATGAGAAATTATTACTTTTTGCATCCCAATTAAGTAATTTCAAACATCTAAAGACCTTCAATATAATGCTCAGCTTCATATGCTGTTAATATATCACTTAATTGAATACTCATTTTATTTTATTTATAATTTAATCAAATATCAAATATCAAATGAATAACAGAATTTAGAAGTCTTATACTAAATATTATATTTATAATTTATTTTATATATATATCTAAAATGTCATCCAAATTTTAAGAAGGGAAATGTTCTTCTCCAAAATTAGAGAACAAAATAAGAAGTAAGACCGTATAAAATGAAAAATTTGAAGATTTAAACATGGAATAAATTTTACTTAAATCTATAAAAATAATTCAAAAACCTTTAATATATAGAAGTTAGAATGATAAATTACTGTTACATTGTATAAAAAATTAAATTATAAGAATTACTTAGTACAATAAAATATTTTGCCCAATTATTTGAATCTAAGTAATAACTAATATTTGATATTGCCGATGCACTTTAATATAAATTTATTCAACGAAATGAAATAATTTTTAAATAAGGTGATTAGGGAGATTTATTTTATATAGTTTTGAAAGGTACATTATTAAAATAATATAATTAGGAATTGTGTCTATTTAAATAAATATTCCATAAGACGATATTTTTGTTCCAAAAGAAGTTGCAACAATATTAGAAGGAGGATCTTTTGGAGAATTGGCTTTATAGAGTAGCTAACCTAGAACAGCAACAAGTATATGTATTACTGATTGTTATTTTGCTACAATTGATAAAAAAACATATAAACAATTAATTGGAGATTATAATAAAAATCAGTTAGATTAAAAAATTGCTTTTTTATCAAAATATCCTTGGTTTTAATAATGGTCATTAAGAGAAATGAAAATGCTTGCTTATGAACTTAATGAAAAATAATATGATTATGGAGATAAGATAAATTTAAAAAATTACGTTGGAATGATTAATAAAGGATAAGTTGAATTAAAAAGAGTTATAGAGAAGAGAGGAATTCAAGATCATCCAATGAAGAATTCAAAGTTAATGAAACATCATTTATCTATTGAAATTTTAGATGAATGTAAAATTATAGGGGAATTAAACTTTTTGGATGAGGATGGAAATTTAAAGTTTATGATTAATAAATTTAATAAACCATATGTAAAAAGTGCGGCTGAATCTGAAATTAAAGAATTTATATAAACATGTTAAAAAAATAAAGGAATTTATGAAGCAATTTGTTATTCAAATCATGTTAGCATTTATTTTTTAAAAGTTAGCACTATTGAAGATAGATTTTATGATTAATTTACTAGATAATTATTTTAAGTAATTAAATTATAAATATAGATTCTATTTATAGATTGAAATTAAAAAACTATTAAATGTACGAATAAAGAAAGCACATCAACTTTAATAAGAATATGATAAGGAATTTTAAGAAAGTTAAGAAGAATAATAAGTGAGAATGAGAATCTCAGGATTTTAAAGTAGAAAAGTCACACCAGTTAAGATAAGTACAATCATTAGAAGTTAAAATAATGAAGATTGGGTGTAAGACTGTTAATATTAGAAAAAGTTTGAAAAGAATCTTCCTCATGGTGTTTAATATAGATACTCTAGAATTTATGATTTGGAAGAAAAATCTTAATACATCAGAGTATTAGAAGATAGATATAACAAATTGAAGACTGAAGAAAATGAAGCTTAAGATAATTTAAAATAAACATTTACTTAAATGAATTGTAGTTATTATAGATTGAAGAGTCATTTTGAAAGATAAAAATATAATAAGTTATTTTTTTAAGCATATTTAAGAAGAAAAAATGAATAAAAATGAAATAAATACATTTAATTAATTATTTAATATGGCAACGAAAAATGATGATGCTGTTCAATATAATGGTGAAGATTTGAAATAATTTAATTTCCCTAACAAATTTGATCATCGACAAAGTGCTGTTCCTGGAAATCCTTGTTATAATTTCAGATTCAGAATTTTTATTTTTTTTACTTACATTGTTATTACTCAATTAGGTGAAATTTTTGGTACTCCAAGTGATAATGTTGATGGTATATGGGATTGGGGACATTTATTGACTACTCCTGTCAATAAATTATATCAAGATCATAGATGGTATTAAACTTTAAATTATTTTAGGTTCTCTGCTATGATGTAGATTTCATCAGCATTTATTTTAGATTTTGCATTTTTTTATGTCTCATTATATTGGGTTTTATATGAAAGAAATTTTAGATTATTTGCAGTTCTTATATTATTCTATGCAATAAGAGCAGTTCATTTAAATATATTCAAATTAGAATATTCACCTAACTATTATTGGGAAGATCCTTTAGTACCAAGTTTAGTTGTTAAATATGGAAAATATTCAGATTTTTTTTATTCAGTACATATATTCAAATAATCTAAGGGACATGTTGGCTTTTTAACAATTTGTGCTCTCGAAATGAAAAAAGTTGGTAAAAACTATATGGCACTTTTTTTCTTCATATGTTCAATCTTTTAAGCCTTTATTGTGATTTCTTTTGCAATTCATTATACTATTGATGTAATCTTATATATTAATCATAGGTACCAGGAGGATACATTTTTTCCCATTACTTTTTCAATATGGTCTGTTATTGGGAGGCTAAAATCGATTTTATCCTTAAAAGAATGGCTGATTGTTTCTCTAGAACAAATAAAACAATTAGAATTGATTATGAAAATGATACTGATAAATAGCAACCAACTGCAATTTGAACATCAATTATTTCTATATATTATATTGTTAGATCATTTGTCTAAGGATTTTCAATTTTATAGCCAATCAACATATTTTAAAAATATTTATATTAATAAACTTACTTATATACTTATCTATTTCTATCTATTATTAAATTAACTAAAAAGTTACTTCAAGCATTTTCTTCAATTTTATTTACTTTTTAAATCACTAACAAATATATTATAATAGATGTTTACACATTATTAAATATTTTAGTTAAAAATATGCTAACCAAAATATTTAACAGAATTTTATCTTAAATAGATTTTGTTAAATCTCTCAATTTTACTTAATTTCTATTCCAAAGTGTTTTATTATATTTCTTTTTATCTTTTTTATAAATCTGATTTTATCTGATAAATCAAATATTTATATAAGAATTATTCTTAATTATTATATAATAATAATATGCAAGAAAGAAATACACATTTTTGTTCAAACTGCCAAATAACTATACCAAATGATTAAGAATATCAGGCCCATTATAGATCAGATTTTCACAGATATAATATTAGAAGAAGGCTAATGAATTTAGACTCTGTTTCATTTGACATTTTTTAAAAAAGTATCATATCATTATAAAAGTAGAATTTCTTGAATCTTAAAGTAATACTTCTTGCTCTTCAAGTTAAGCATAAACTTATTCTTGCTCTACTTGCAAGTATTATATACAATCAATTATTTAGGAAAAACTTTTTTTCTTCAGGTACATATTCTTAACATTTGAATTCCGCTAAACATAAATAAGTGTTAAAAGACAATAGAAAAAATTCAGATTCTTTAGAGAAAAAATAAATTTTAAATTTTCCAGAATAATGCTTATTTTGTGATTATTCTTTTGAAACAGTAGACTAATTATATATCCATATGAATACCGAACATGGATTTTTTATTAGAGAAAAAGAATCCCTTGTTGATCTCAAAGGATTAATCTAATGTTTAAGAAACATTATTGAAAAATAATTTTATTGTTTGTCTTGTCCATCTATTTTTTCTTCATCAGAAGCAGCCAAATAACATATGTTAGATAAAGGTATTTATTATATTATATTATAAATAATTAGGTCATTGCTTTATGCCAAATGAACATTATGATGAACTTTGTCATTTTTATGATTTTACATAAAAAATTAAACAACTTCTTTAACTTGATGAAATTCCAGAATTAAATGATCTATCATTCGAAGAAATTCTTGAATTGAATTCCTTAAAATCTGATTCAAGAATTTCAGATTTTGAAATTGTAGAGTAAACTCCAGAATAATAGGCAAGAAGATCTTAATTTATGCATTATTTAGAAATCTTAAAGTAAAATAAAGCAAAAGTATTACCAAATGGAGAATTATAATTACCAAATGGGAAAATGTAAATAATATTTAAAATTTATAGTCTTGGACATAGGCAATATAAATAATTTTATGATTAAAACCATGTTGTACCATTACCTGAAAAAAATAATCATTTACCATTACAAAATTAAACTTAAAAAGCTATTTAAAATATTGAAAATGAAAGTATTTGAAAATTAATTAATATTAAAAACATTAAAATTATTTGTGTATTTTTATAAAATTCCATTTGATCTGAACATGAGTTTAATAAGCTTGTAAATTTAAAATCAATTTCTTGTAATGATTATTTGAATTAAGTCTTATATATTTTATTTATTCTCTCAATTATTTATTAAATTTATAATTTATTTTTTAAGACATCAATTAATTATGCTATTTTCTCATATTATTATAATAAGTTAATTTAATTTATACTCGAATATTTTAATAAATGTAATTGATTGATATAAATGCATCCTCATGTTTAAATATTATTATCCTCATTGGACATAAATAGAAAAATGATTTGGGTCAGTTTTTAATGATAAATTTTCAAAAGTAAACTTATTTATTAGTTTTTCTTTCATTAATTTATTCAAAAGTTTTTATTTAAATTTTAGTAATTTATTCATTATTTTTTTTGATCAATAAAAGATTTAGTTGAACCAGATTTTTTTGAAATGATTTCAGAATAATCTTTGATTAAAAATCGATGAGCTAAAATTTATTGATTTTCCTATTTATTTTTAGTAAAATAGTTCTAAGTCAATTTTTCATCAAATTACATAAGGTATTAAAAATTTCCAAAAAAATGTCTTTGTCACAAAAATAATGGTATACATTTATTAAAGAATTTTGATAATAGTATTATCTAAATAAGGATGGAAATAAACCAATTTTCATTAAAGTTAATAAAGTTATGAAAAATCAGTGTTTAAGAAAAATAATAGAGTATTGCATTGTAGTAATATAAATTGGCTATATTTTTATATTATTTATTAATGAAATATTGTTATATTAATTGTAGTATTGGGATTCTTATTGATCAATTAACATGTGCAAAATTAAAAATTTATATTCATAATATATAAAGACAACAAATTAATGTGGTTAGGATAGAAAATTAAAAATGCCGCTGGAACAGTCAAAAATGTGACTTCAAATCTATTGTAAGAGAAATAAACAGATTCTGATAAAAAATAGGAATAGACATAAACTTAAACCTAAAAATAATTAGATGCAAATCTTTTGGAAATAGATGATTAAATTACATAAGAAATGACAATTGCTGAGCTGATTTAAAGATTCTAATAGAATGATTGTTTATGTTTGTAGTAACAATTTGATTCTTGGAAAAATTATGAAAATTAATTTTAATTATTGAAATCCAAAATCGTAGGAATCAGAGGAGAATTTAATTAATAATTAGAGCAATACTCATAGGATTTATGGGACAATGCATAAATAGTTGAGAGATAAAAAATTGAATTCATAATAAAAGTATTAGATTAATTACCAATTTAATAAGAGTTTCAATCAATTATAAGTTGGAATTAATTTAATGAAAAATTAAATAAATTATCTGCTGATATCAAATAATTAAGTTAAATCAAATATGCTCCTTTGGTTAAAGAAAATAAATAATTAAAGGTTAAATTATCATAATCATCAAATTAAGATTAGAAAATTCTAGAATTGCAAAAAACAATAGAAACATTAAAAGAAGAGAAAGAATATTCAAAGAAGCAATTCTAAGTCGATTACAATCAACTTGAGATTCAATTTTCGGAATAAATTAAAAGATTAAATTAAGAAATGATCTCTTAAAGAGATTTATTTTGTTTAGAAAAGTAATAATTAAATAAAGATATAGATGACTATATCTAGTAGATTAATTCTATGGAAAATAATAAATAAAAATTCAAAAATTTAATAAATATTTTGAAATAGATCAAACTATTGAAAACTAATTTAATTGATGTTAAGAATTTATAAAATGAATTTTAAAACATAAAAGATTTATTAGAAACTCAATTAATTAACTTTATTCAAAATTAAAAATAATAAGATAATGAAAAAGTTGAATAGTAAGAATATGAAGATGAATTAACAGATGAAGATATAAAGTAAGTTTAACAATTAATAAGAGTTTATAATAGAAAATAATCTGATTAGGGTGATAAAGATATAATTCAAAATAAATAGGAATTATTACCAAGACTTCTAAAATACATTTAACATTTATAAAATGAATTAGAAGTTTTAAGAGAATAACCCACTTGGTCATATTAATAAAATCATAATTCTAGTGAATAAAACTAAGATATTATAACTCTTGAATTATAATAATAATTGAATTAAAAAAGCAATGAACTTTATTAAGTTTAAGCTGAATTGGAGGAATTTAAAATATAAATTGAAACTTTAAATATATAAATGGAAGATTTGAAAAATTAAAATGTAGAGAAATAAACTTAGATTGAAAAAATGTAAAATTAGATGAATAATGATAATTCAAATAGAGAAAATCAACAAGAAAAAATTATATTAAATTAAGAAATATAAACAATAAAAGAAAATAATGAAGAATGTTAAATTATAAAAAGCATCGAAATTGTCGAATAAGATAATTTAATTTAGTAGTCATCTGAATAAAACAATGAATAATAAGATGCTCAAATTAATTCACCCCTAAATGAAACTAAATAAAATGATGTTTAAGAAAATAATGATTTAGGAGATATCATTCAAACAGAGAATAATTTTATAGAAAATTAGTAAAAATAAGAAGATGAATAATAATACAACTAAAATGATCAATCAATATAAACAGAAATAGAATAGTGTGATTAAACTACATAGATATAATTAAAAACAGAAAATCAAAATAATTAAACATCATAATTAATTGAAACAACCACTTAATTTACATAACATGAAATTTAGTTTGAAAATCAAGATACATAGATTAATATAGATACTGGAAATAAAAAAATATAAGCAATTGCTGAATAAGAAAATTAAGAAACTTAAGCATAAATTGACACTGATCATTAAACTACTTAATATACAGTTATATAAGGAGATTAAAATACATAAACTCAATTTGAAATTGAAAATGATAATGATAAATTAATCTATTCAACTGATTAATAATAATAAACTTTCATTTAGTAGAGTGATTAAAATACACAAATCTAAATAACAACAGAAAATTAAGAGACCTAATTAAACTCTCTTACTGAAAAAAATAACTAATTTACTTAGCATGAACTGGATCATCAAAATTAAGTAACTTAAATAAGTATTGAAACAGGAGATAAAAAAATTTAAGCCACTACTATATAAGAAACTTAAGAAACTTAGGTTTAAATTGAAACAGAAAATTAAACAACTTAATATATGACTGTATAAGAAAATTAAAACACTTAAACTATTGAATAACAAAATATTATACAAACAGCTGATTAAAATACCTAAATATCTTTTGAAGAAAATGATCAACTATAGAAATAATCAATGATCTAAGAAGATTAAGAAATCTAAACACTTGAACTCTATAATAATTCTTAAGATTAATAATAATAAAATAAGAGTATAGAAATAAATGAAACTTTTTCATTAGATGAATTAAATTAAAAGATTAAGAAATTAGAAGAATAAATCAATCAATTTTAATAAAGTCAATAAATTGAACAATAGAAATAATAAGATTAAAATAATGAAATTGAAAACTTGACTAAATAAAATTAAACGTTATCTGAATAAAATGATTACTAATAATTGTAAATGAATAATTTATTAATTTAAATTGATAAATTTTAAGGAGAGGGTTTGACTTAATGTAATTAAAGTAATATGTTAATTGAAGATTTATAAACATAATTATATGAATAAATAATTAAAGTTGAAGAATAAAAAAGAGAAATTATAGATTATTAAAATAATTTAATTCAAAAAGATTCATATAATAAATAAATTGAATCAAAAATTGAATTATTATTATCATAAGTAGATGATTTAATGTAAAAGTTTCAAGAATAGTTGAGTATAAACTCAGAATTGTAGGAATAAAATAATTCATAAAATTAGATAATATAAGAATTTCAAGAGAAAAATGAACTTCTCTCAAAAGATATTTGTAATTTACAATAATAATTATCAGAATTATCAAATTAATAAAAGGATATGGAATCAATTATTTCTGAAAATTTAGAATTAAAACTTTAAAATTAATAAATTTAACTTTAATTATAGGATTTGGAAAATAAATTTAGTGATTAAGAAAAATTATAATTGGATTACGAATATCTCGAAAAAATATTTACATAATCTTAAACAAAAATTAAGTTTTTATAAAATTAACTAACAGAAAATTAAGAACTTATAGAGTTACAGACCGAAAATAAACCCTAACTTTTACATAAATCAACATCAATGACTGAATAGGAAGGATTAGAAAATATAATTATTGAACAAAAAGTAGTAGATTAAGAAGAAAATTAAAATAATAATGATGATGTTAAAAATTAATTTTAAAGTTCAACTTAAGAAAATTTAAATGAAATTATTGACTAAATAGATTAAACTGATGATAATTAAAAATAGATTGAAGAAAATGTTGCAAAAATAAATTCGATAAATGAGTAATAGGAAGTAAAAGTAAATGTTGACCACTAATAGGAATATTTATCAGAACTTTAAAATTCATAAAACGAAGGTGAAATAATAAATATATAATTAAACTAATAAAATGGTTAAGAAGAAAATAATTAAGATATTATACAAGATTAAAATTTATAATAGTAAAGTGAAATTAATGATAATGAAATAAATAACTTATAAATGACATTGAATTCTTCACATCAAATAATTGAATAGAAGTTAATAGAAATTTAAGGTTTAGAAGATTTAATAGTTAAAATAAAATAAAATGAATAAGAACTTCAAAAAACAATATAAGAAAAGGAGGAAAAAATAAAAGATTTGGAAATATAATTAAATGATTTATAATTAAATTTGAATGAGAATTAATTATTAAAAGAAGAACTAAATAACTAGATTAATTAATTAAGACAATAAAATGAGGAATAGGAATAAACATTTAATGATTTCTAGAATTTGAAATCATAAGAAATTAAAGAATTAAATTAAAAAATATAAAGTTTGATTGAAGCCTTGCAAAATTCTGAATCGTAATTGAATGAGTAGTAATAGTATGAAAATTAGTAAGCTGAATATGAATAATAATTAAAATAGTTAAAAGAACTTCTTAAGGAAAATGAAGAAACAAATATTTTAAATCAAACTGCATTAAAAGAAGCTTAACTTGAAATACAAACAACTAGTTTAGAACTTGAAAATAGTTATTAAAAAATATAATAACTAGAATCTATTATAGAAAATGATTAAGAAGAGAAGAATTAATTAAAATATACTATATAAGACTTATCTACAAAGGATTAGCTTTTAAAATAAATTTAAATTGATAAATAAAATTTACTAAATGAAAATTAAGTGTATTTAGATTAAATTGAATAATTTTAAGCAAATCTAGACTAAATGTAAAATAAATTAGAATTATTAAATTCTGAGTTCAATGAAGAAAAATTGAAGAATCAAAAATAAATAGAAATAAATAATGAAAATGAAATCAAAATTTATCAGTTTTAATAAGAATATTAATAGATTTCTTAAACTTTAGTTAAATTAGAATAGTAATCTTCAAAAGAGATAGATGGATTAAATGAATAAATACAAGAGAAGGAAAAAGAAATCTTAGCTCTTTAACATGAAATCTAAGTATTATAATAACATGTTGAGGAGTTGAAAGAACAAAATACTTAGATAGAAAAAAATTATGAAATTCTTAAGGAATAGGAGAATATATTAAGGTAAGAAAGATTATAGATGCAATCCTAATTATAAAAAGAAGAATAAGAAAATTAAATGTATGCTGATATGATTGTTGAATTAGAAAGTAAATTTGAGAAAGCGGATTATTAGAAGAATGAGATTTAGAAGGAGAATTAATAAATAAAAGATAAAATTTCTCATTTAGAATAAAATTATATATAGAAAAATGAGTAATATATTGCTTTATATGAATAATCTAATAATTTAAATGATCAAATAAAAGGTAAATAGTAATAAATATAGATTCTGTAAAAATAGAATGAAGAATAAGTAGCTTTTATAAAATAAATTGAAGTTGCATTTGAAGAGATCTCTTAGAGTTTATCTTTAGAAACAGTATAAAAGCTGGATATTAATTCATTAGATAAAATAAAAGCAAATGTTTTATTAAATATAACTTAGATTAGAGATTCTTTTAAAAAAGAAATTGAAAATTTAACATAATAAATTAAGTAGTCTTAAAAGGCAAATTAAGAAGCTAAATAATAATTAAGTGACTATTAATAGAAACTTATTTTATGTGGTACAGAATATTCTAAAAAGGAATAATAGATTAATTAAGAAATTTAGCAGACATAAATAAAATTTAATGAGTAAGTAGAAAGGGCTAATTAAATATATAATTAATTTTAAAAAGCTGAATAAAAGAAAAAAGATTTAGAAAAATAAATATAAGATTTAGAGAAATAAAGGAAAGATTAATTAGATGAAATAAAAGCAAAATAAAGTGAAATAGAGAATTTGAAAAACTAAACAAATAAGAAATAAAATGAAGTAATTGTTATTAGAATTATTATAGATTATTACTTTATAGAATTAATTGTCTAATTTATAATAAGATTTGCAAAAAATGAATGAATAAAATAAAGTGATTGTAAATAAGAATTGTGAGATTCAATAATTAACAAAGAAATTATAATCTTATGAAGAAACAATAGAGACATTAAATTAGAGCATAATAAACTTTCAATTTGTTAATGAGACAGCTTAATAAAAGTTTGATATTAAAGAGGAAGAATATGAAAATAAAATAAAAGAATAAAAGGAAAATATTTAATAATTAAATAAATAATTAGAAGAAAAACATTTAGATGAAGGTGTATAGATATAAATATAAGAATTATAATAAAAAATAAGAAAGAAGGAAGAAATGATAGTTTAATTGTAATATGAGAAGGAATAAATTATTGAGAATTAGAATAAGAAATTTTAGATGATAGTTTAAAATTAATAAAATTTAATAGACAAACGTATAATAAAGGAGGCTTTATTAAATTATTTTGATAACAGAGCACCATAGAAAATAAGACAATCTATCCTACAATAATTATGTTGTATATTGACAATGACAGAATAGGAGGCTGGAAAAATAGGTATATATATAGAATATAAAATAAGGTATTTAAATATAAAAGTTAAATCAATAAGAGATTCAATAGAAATAAGAACAATAATAATAGTCATTAAAGGATAATTTGTTGAGTTTTTTATTAAATGATTGAATTTATTTATTATATTATATGTAATAATGATGGTTAACATATGAAATTGTATTAATGATTAAACAATAAATTATATAGTTAAATAATTTATGTGAAAAATAATCATCAATTTTTATAAGCTTAATTTGTAATTTTTGATTTAGTCATACCTGAAGGTGCATTTTAAGTTTATTCTATTTAAGTAGTTGTGGTTAATAATTTATTAGTAGTTTATAAAGCTTAATAAGGAGATTGGATTTAAAAATTAGTTGTAGTTTATGGTAATAAATTAGTTGTTTATGGCATTTAGTTGGTTTAAACATTCATAATTGATTGTCTTCCTGGATTAATGAAAATTTCTTTAGGTTCTTTAGATTTGCTAGTTTTTTTCTTTTTGGAAGATTCATATGATTCAATTATTTTATATCTCTACTGAGGAGACACTTAAGCTTGTGATTTTTTTTTTTTTTCTTTTGAAACACTTTAAATTTTTGGAGAAGTATTTTTATCATTATCATTATAGAAATCATACTATTATTATTGTCTTCCTCTATTTCTTCTCTACAAATAAGCATCAAAATCTTATTATTCATTTTCTCTTATTAAGCTATCTCTAAATACAGGTTCTCTAATTACAATAGGATCTCTATAAACTACTTATTCCACAGGTGATAGATATGTTTCATAATATACAGGTGGAGGTATATCATAAACAGGAATTTATTCAACTATTCTAGGAGTAAGATGAAGAACTTCTGATTCAATAGGAGGACGATTAAAAAATGCATATCTCTCTAAAACCCATAAAAATCTTGGTAAAAATGATGGATCAATATATAATTAAGGTATATCTACTCCATATTATCTATATTATGGTGTTGCTGTTTCTAGTAATTTAATCAATTTGTCTGCTTCATTCAAAATTGTATCATTCTTCTATCTTAATTCTTCTTCACAATATTCAATAACTTTTTCAATCGATGCTTATGGATTATTTATTGATTCTAAATCCTTTATATTTTATTCCCATCTTATTTTTAAATCTTTTATAGCAGGTTTAACATTTAGATCAGATTAAGGCTCTTCAATCTATGTTAATAGGTAAGTCTTTAAAGTATCAAAATAATTATTCACTATTGCTATAACCTAATCTCGAGCAGAATCTATTAATTTATTTGGATTTGTTTATAATGATTATTTTCCTATTAACTTATCAGTTGTTGTTCTTTCTGATAATTATTAAATTTTATTTATTTGATCACACATTTCATTACAATCTGCAGCTAAATTTTAGTAGATTTCTGAAAGAACTGTTTCAAAAGGTACAATATTACCTAAACAAATATTATTATTCAATTTTACTTTGAGTTTAAGTATGATATTGATTCAAATGATACTAAATACATTTATCACATAATGGCATTAAACATTCTGGTTATCTACAAAAGTATTTTATATAATTATTTGGACTATCTTAATGATAATAACATTAAATCTTAGGCATATTATTACAATCAAATCTATAATGTGGTTATATTTTCTAAACTGAAATCGTTGGCTCATAAATTGATGCTTAAGGAAGTTATGGTATTGATATATTATTCATTTTTAATATTTATTATTTTAGTTAATTTACAACAATTAGAAACATTAATTCAATATTCTTATTCTTCCTCATTAGATTAATAATCATTTAAATGTTTATCTGATAATTCTTCTTCTCCCATTATTAAATCAATAGGCTCTTCCTCTTCTGTAACTTCCTATTTCACATTGTCAACCATACCCTCTTCTTCTACTTCATTATCTTATTCTATTTTCTACTCTTATTCTACTTCCTATTCTTCTTATTATTTTTCATAATTTATATATTGATTCAATACTTCTAAGAAATTATTTAATTTATTATGATTAATTTCAATCTTAGGTGCTTTTATATTACTATAATCTATTTGCTTCAAATCTTCAAAGATTTATTCAAGATATTAATAATATTTATTATTCAATTTCTCTACATCTCCTTAATAATATAAAATTAATTATGTAACTGAGTTTTCATTCTTAAGGTTTTCTAATTCTTATTTTAATTAATCAAGTCTCTTAGAACATACTAATAATCTATCTTAAGCTGAATATACTTTGTTTATTTCAGGAGAAATAGAAAATAAATAAGATCTTAAATTGTTAAAATAACTTCTTATTAAATCTATGATTTGATTCTCTGAAGATTATATTAAACTCATCCAATTTTAAGCAAATTAAAAATTTATAATCCTTTCAATATGATTATGCAATTATCCTATTTTATCTTAAAATTATTCTAAATTATCCGACATTTTTTTAGATACCTCTGCCAAACATTTTTCATAAGAAACTACTTATTTAGTATCATTTTATTCTTAATGTTCCTCTATATGAATATCTAAACAAATTTTGCACAAAGGTTATATACAATCAGACTTTTTACAAAAATATTTTAGTTTTTCGTTTGGATGATAATGACATTAAATTTCCTTCTAATAAAGTATTTATTATTGTTATGGTTATGGTTATTGTGTTGTATTTACTTTTTATTTTTCCTTTGTTTTCATTCTTTATATTTATATACTTTGTTTTTATTTTATGAAAATTATAAAATAAAACCTCTTTATTAAAAAATTTACTTCAGAAACCTAACCTGTAATTTCTTGGTTTTTCAATTTAAATTACCTTTAAAATTGTTTAGTATAAATTGCGTTTGGCAAATTTATAATACATTTTTTTTCTAACAATAAACATAAAGAATATATAAATTTTCTCTTCTTTCAACAATTAGGAGAGTTATTTTAACTATTTTTCAAAATCATTTTTTTAAAAAGCCTCAATATTGTACGAATAAATTTATTTATTAATGGAAAATGATTCTTTTAGTAAATAAATAAATTTATGGAAGAAAAGGTTAGAAAATTAAATTATACTTTTTTTGTTAAAGTAATCTACCTAATAATTGAATACTTTATAAATTTCACAAGTGTAGAGATAATTTCAGAAAGTAATTATAAACTTTCAAAACATTCAGTAAAATAATTTTAGAATTTACAAAAACATGAATTACATATATTTTTTTGAGAAAAATTTGCTTTTCGAAAATATCATAGCAAAAGCAATATCAAATTAAGTTGTTAATTTGATATTTAAATTATGCAAACAGAAAAAATAGAATTTATCTTAGAATTAGCTTAATAACAATTAAATTCTAAGATATTTAGTCAAAATAGAAGTTTTGATGGATATAATAATGTATTAATATTTAGGAAAAAAGTCCATAAAAAGCCTTATCATAACGATCATTTAATAATATTAAATAAAATTTGAAATTTAAAATGAGAGGAAGATCTATCCATAATTAGTAACCTTTTTAAATGAGATCACCACAAAGAGCAATATCTCCAGTGATACAAATTGTTCCTTAAACCCCTTAAATTATGAATTTTGATATTGTTATAAATCTGAAATTGGAAAAAGTATTGATGAGTTTTGAAATACAAAGATTAAATTCTGTATTATTAGATGTAGAAAAAAAAAGAATTGCATTGAAAAATTAGAAGTAAATTAAAATATAAGATTTAAGTTAAAAACTCTTAGAGAGAGAACAAATAATGCTTCTCGAAATATCAAATTAAAAATAACTAATAAATGATTTACAATAAAAAGAAAAAAACAATAGAGATAAATTATATTAGATATAAAGATCTGTTACAATTTAAGAAAATCAATAAAGAGTATATTTTGCATTAATTTTCAGGATCATTTAATGAACGATTAATTAAAGAAGTTATAAGGAGAAAATGTGTTATTAGAATAAAAAATATCATACTTATTGGGAGTAAATCAATTATAAAGTAAAAATAATAATCTAATATTATAAAATTCTGGAAGTTCCAATAGTGTAAAGGATAATTTTTTACCATAAAACTTATAAATTGCGTTTGAGAATTTACAAAACAATATAATTTAACTTAAGAAAGGTAATTTACTATAAAATAAATATGCTAATGCATTAACAATGTTTTCTGAATTAATAAATTCTCATAATAAATTACTAAAATAATAGGAAAATAATAATGATAAAAATGAAGTTGAATAACAATAAATCTAGATATATTTAACTTCAATAAATTAAGATATAGAAGCCTTGAAATAATATGAAACTCCTAAAGCTGTTAGAAGAATGCTAAATAATTAAAGTCCTACAAAATTTAAATCTTTATCTCCATCAATGAGTACTGGAGAAGTGTTTTCAAAAATTATTAGTCATCTAGAACATCTTTAGTTAGATGGTAACAATATCCCAACAATTATAAAATAAATTTCTTTATTAAATTCACTCGTAAGATTAAAGAATTAAGATTTAAAACTTATAGGATCAAATAATAAATTAAGATCTTCGCCTATTCATTATTCTGCTGAAAGATTAAATACTAGTGTAAGAGTATTGACACCAGTCAAATATGTCAGTCCAATAAGAATTTCTCCTATTAGAAGTCATACATTTCATTCCAATGTTGGAATTCCTTAAAAAATTCAAATTATTCATTCTAATAAACCTGATAAAGCATTTATTGATTTTAATTCTTAACAAATAAAAGAATAATTAAAATCTAAATATTTACAGAATGAATAATTAAATGCTAATGTAGAAAATTAATTTTGGAAATAAAAATATGAAGAAGAAATTGAAAAATAAAAAAAAAGATTTCAAGCTGAAAGTCCAGAATCTTAGCTATTAGATCAAATTAAAAAGAATTAAGAATTATTATCATATATTAACTTAATGCAAAATGATCTTCATTAATAAGAATTATAAAATGAGTTAGAATTATAAAAAAAATAGGATGATATTATTAAATTAATGGAAACCTAAAGTTAATAATAACAATAAAAACTACATCTACAAAACTAAATTGATGATCTTTTATAAAATGATTTAGAAAATAAAAAATCTAAATAAAATATGATAATTAAATTACAATAAAATGATGAAGAGATAGAAAGATTAAAAAATAGAATTAACTTGTTATAATTAATGTCTAAATAATAAGATAATTTGAGAATTTAACTTTGCGAACCTCTTTTAATTGAAAAAAATTTCAATCAAGTAGATTAACAGGATCTTTTATAAGAAAAAAATTTAGAACTTTAAGAAAAAATTATAGATCTTTAAGATTAATTGAATAAAATAAATTCTTAACCAAAAAAAACTAAATAAAATCTTATTTAAACAGAGATAAGTGATCCTGAAAAAGCAATAAAAATTAGTCAATTAGAACAAGAGAATTAAAAATTGAAGTTTTAATTAAAAGAAATTGAATTATAGAGAAAAGATGATCTTAAAGAATTTTAATAAATGATTGGAAATGGAGTCTCATAATAAAATATAATAAATATTATGACTCAAAAATAATAACTTTAAGAAAATTTCAGAGTTCAGTAGAATAAGATTGATGCTTTATAATAAAATTAAATTAGATTATAAACTGAATTAATAATTAAGGATAAAAATTAAACAGATTTAGAATTATAATTGTAAAATCAATAAAATCCTACTTAGATTTAAGATTAAACTCTTTTACTTAATCAAATTAATAATTTACAAATAAAATTAGATGAAGCTAAACAATAATATTAGGAATTACTAGAAACTTTGTCATAAAATTTAACACCAAATGGACTGAAAGAGAAAATTTTATAATAATAAGCTATTATTCATGAACAAAACAATTAAATTAGTATTTTGTCTGAAAAAATAGAATAATAAATTCCGTATTTATAAGGATAGTTAGCAGTTGCAAACGAGAAAGTCTAGAATGCAGACTAGAATATTATTTAATAGGATAAAAGATTTAATGATTTGTTAAATAATAAGTAAAATTAAAATAATCCTTAATAATAAATATCTGATGAGGATTTTAAAGAAGTTATTGAAAAAAACTAAGAACTTGAAAAAGAAAATCGAGAGTTACAATAAAAGTTTAAAGAATAACAAATTGAATTAGAATAATAAAATCTTTTAAAAGATGAGATATAAGAAAATATTAGAGAATAAAAATTAGTTAAGTAATTAAACTAAATTCAATAAGATTAAATAAAAGAATAGTAATCTAAAATTAATAAAATGATAGAAAAAGAATTAAAATTCACCCAAGAAATTGAGGAATTAAGATTTAAACTACATAATTACCAAGAACCAAATATTTAAGAAATTTAAATATCTTAAAAAGATGACATTATTTAAAATTAAAATAGTGACTCTAATCTTTAAATTTTATAATTGTAAGAAGAATTAAATTAAATGAGAAATTAAAATTAATTAAAAGAAAATGAATGTAAAAATCTTTAAATTTTACATCTTGAAAATGAGGAATTGAGAACAAAACAAACCTAATTATATAATCAAATTATTTAATTATAAAATTAAATTGAATAATTAGAGTGCATCAAACCATCATTATAATATGATCCTAATGATTAAAAAATAAAATTTGAGACTGATCCAGAAAAATCTTTAGCTTTGAGTTAATTATAATAAGAAAATTAATTACTAAAAAACTAAATGTAAGAATTAGAAGATTAACGTACTGAAGATATAAAAAAGTTTTAGGAAATGATAGAGGATAGTGAAAATAAATAAAATATCATAGAACTTTTACAATCCAAATAAATACTTCAACAATAATTAAGAAATTTACAAAATTAATTAGACAAAACATTGTAAGAATAAATATTGCTTTAAGGACTACTATTTAAGAAAAATAAATAAATTGTTGAACTTTAATCAAATTAAAATGATGATGAAATCAAAAAATAATTTGAAAATTAAAAGTCAATTATAGAAGAATTCAAAGATAAACTTCAATAATCTAAGAATTAGTACTAAGAACTTTTAGAGATTTCATCATAAAATTTAACACCTAATGGATAAAGAGAAAAATTGTTATAAAATGCAAATTAAATACACGAATAATAATAGTAGATTTAATAATTGCATCATTAATTAGAAAATGAAGTTCCATAATTATTAGGAGAATTAGCTCAATTCAAATAAAAACATAATGATTCTTAAACTGAAATAAAATTATTAATGGAAAGTTATTAAAACTTATTAAATTAAAGATCTTAGAATTTACAATAATTAGATTAATTTAATGATTAAAGTTATTCGACAATTAAAAATATTAATTTGTAAGATACGAATTTATCTGGAGAAAAACAAGAAAATAAAAAAAATGATCAAACAAATATCTCAGATTATTAAGATGATTTAATAAGAAAGAATAATTTATTAGAATAAGAAATTTTATTGATGTAGCAATAAAAAATTAAATTTATCTCTGAATTAGAAGATTTACATTAAAAAAATACTCTTAAAGATTCAGAAATTTTGATTTTAAAAAACAAAGTTGCTGAAGAAAACACAGAATTTTGGAAAGAAGAATACACAAAGTTAGCATCTTAAATAAAGAATAACAGCTAAAATTAAATTTTAGAGTCAGAGTAAAATTAAATTCAAATCCTTTAATAATAAAACTAAAAACTAAAAAGTTAAATTTTAGAAATTGAAACATAAAGATAAGAGGATTTAAAAAAATTTTAGAATGTTTTAGAAAATGGAGATTAAGGTAATTAACTTTTGTAATTATTCTCAGAAAGGTAACAGCTTTAATCATCCTAAAGATAAATGTAAAATATAATTGATGAATTATAATAAAAAATAAAATAGAAAGATAAATAATTAAATGATTCTTAAGATAGCTTAACAATCTAAAATTTATGTTATTAAATTTAAGAGTTGTAAAATTAAAATTAATTATTTTAAAAATAATTACAATTATCTAAGGAATAATATAGTTAGCTTTAAGAATAATCTGTGGTCAATTTAAGTCCTAATGATTTAAAAGAAAAACTTTTACAAAATAGCTAAACAATTCACCAATAATAAGAAGAAATTTTAATATTAAAAAATCAAATTTAGACTGATCAAATTAAATCTACAGATTAATTATAATAAACAAATCAAAAATTATAAAATGCTCTTTAAGAAATTTAAAATTGGAAGGAATCAAATTTCAATCTATAAGAAATCTAATAGGAAATACCTCAAATTTAAATTGATGAAGATTTAATAAAAGATATGAATTTGGAGTAAGCTTAACAGCAATTATAATTAGTAGTATAAAATTATAAATAAGCTAACGAATCATAATAGTAGGCTAAAAATATCATAAATGAATAAAAAAATTTGATTAATAAACATGAAAATTAAATAAAAAAATTACAATAATAAAATTTAGAAATCTAATAAGAAAATTATTTATTAAGATAATTAAATTAATCATAAATTAATCAAATAGAAAAATTAAATGACTCTAATTAGACTTAATGTTAAGAAATTATTGATTAACAAAATCAACAAACTGGAGAAATAAAAAAATAAATAACAGAATAAAATTAATAAGTATTGAACATACATGATTTAAAAATTTTAAATGAATTATTACAAAAATAATTAGAAAATTAACTTGATTAGATAAAAATAAATAAGATCGAACATTAAGAATAATTGCTCTAAGCTTAAAACTAAATAAATGATTTATTAAAAAACTAAGTCAAGACAGTTTAATCTTCAGAATAAATATAATTTTAAACAGATCCAGAAAAACTTTTATAATTGAGTTAATTAAAATAATAAAATGAGTCTTTAAGATTATAAATAGAAGAATTAGAATAAAATCGTAAAAAGGATCTATAAAAGTTTTAAGATATGATTGAAAATGGAGTAAATGAAAACTCAATTGTTATATTACTTTCAGAAAAATAAAAATTATAATCAGATTTAAGAGTAATATAAAATAAACTTGATTTAGTTTAATAAGAATAATTAATTTTATAAAGTTAATTGACTTAGAAAACAAAATAACTAATTGATATTCATGATGATATTAAGTAGGATGAAACAAAAAGAATGTAATTATAATTATAAAATTAAAATGATATTCTAAAAAAATAATTGGATAAAACTAAAGAATAATATCAAGAATTATTACAAATCTAATCAGAAAATTTAACACCAAATGGATTATAAGAGAAAATTCTTTAGCAAACAAAAATTATTCATAATTTAGAAGAAAAGGTTTAAAATCTTTAGCTAGAATTAGAAATATAATTACCTTAACTTTCTGGAGAAATAACTTAATTAAAATTAAAATTGAAAGATGCTGTAACAGATGCTTAATTTTGGAATAGTAAATATAATGAGGTAATACAAGTTTAGTAAGAAAATTCAGATGATAAAATTTAATTATTATTATTATAATTAGCTTAATAAGAAGAAAAAATTGAAAAAGAAAAACTAAAATTTGATTAATTATTAAATGAATAGTATAACTAATTGTCTCCATCTTCAGCTTAAGCAAAACTTCTAAAAGCATTATAATAAATTGCTGATTTAGAGGAGAAATTAGAAAAATCTGAAGATTTGAAAAATTAATACTAAAAATAGCTTATAAATTCAAATTAATTTAATCAAATTGAAGAAGAATTACAAAGTTCTAAAAAATAAGTTTAAATGTTAGAAAAAGTTAATGAAGTTTAAGTATCTTAAATTTAATTTTATAAAAATTAACTTTCTGAATAGAATCAAATATCTCCAAATTAATAAATTATTGAGCAACTTTCAATTGAGAAACAAAAATCAGAATTTTGGAAAAAATAATATACAGATATAATTAGTTAATAACAGATTTAAGAAAATTTACAATTTAAAATAAATTAAAAAGAAGATGAATTAATTTCATAGTTTAAATAACCCTAAGATTAAAATTTTTAAGATCTTTTAAATGAAATGGATAACTTAAAATAATAAAATATCTATCTTTAATAATTAGTTATTAATACTCAAAGTAAAATAAAAAGTTAATAAACAAAAGAAAGCATATAGGAGAATCCCTTAAATGATATAGATAAATAAGATTTAGAATAAAAAAATTAAATTTTAGCAAATTAAGTTGAGGAATTGAAAAAATAGAATGAAAAGTAATATTGTAATATTATAAATTAGTATTCTTGTATAAATGAATAAAGCCCTTAGTGGAGATGATAAAACATAATAAATTTCTGAATTGATTGAGAAAAATAATCTTTTAAGTTTAACTAATGGTAAGCTTCTTATTGATTTAGAAGCCAATCAAAAGGAACTATTAAAATATTATTAATAACCATAAAAATAGGATGATATGATAAATAGTTTTGAAAGGTCTGAAAAATATTAAAATGAAAAATAGAGAAGTTTTGATTTATAAAATTAAGTTGAACTATTAGTATAATAATTAGATTTTTGGAAATAAAAATATTAATAAGTTTTGAATGATTTTAGTCAATAACATTCACCTAATAGTTTATAAAATTAGGTTGCTGAATAAGTATCTCAAATTCATCAATAAGAAGAAGCACTTTTTATACTATAATAGACTACTGATCAAGTTAAAATTCAAAATGAAGCTAAAATAAATTAACTTTAATTAGAAATAGAGATTATGAAAAACGAAAATGAGAATATATAGAAAAAGTTAACTGAAGAATAAAATATTTTCGAATAGCTAAGTCAATAGAAACGCTTATAGTAAGAAAATAATGAAAAATAGATTAAATTTTGGAAAGTTAAATATGAAGAAACTTTGAAAAATACAATTGAAAATCATGAGGGAATTTAAGCAATATTGTCTTAAGATGAGGAAGCATTTGCAAAATTAAATATTGATTAAAATTTAAATTAGTTTAATTTAAATTCCGAACTTATAGATAGGTTAAGAGTAGAAAATTAAAAATTTTAAAGTGAAATTGTATTTTATAAAAAAAGAGTACTAGAATTAGAATAACAATAACAGAAGATAGAACCAAGCTAACAAGATACAATATAGTCAAGACAATATTAAATTACTTAGTTAGAAAGAGATTTATAAAAAGCAATATAAAACTAAGAATATTGGTAAGTAAAATATAATGATGCTGTTAAATAAAATATTGAAAAAGAAATTGGTTTGAAAGGAGATACTTAAAATTCAGTAAGTTTTTGGAAATAAAAATATGATTAATCAGAAAAAAGTAGATAAGAGCTAATATAAAAACTAATTGAAAAAGATGAGCAATTAGAATATAATATGTAATCTTTTTAATCAATGCTTAAAGATGAATTAAAAGAGGAATTAACAAAAATTAGATTGTAAGAAAGATAAATAATACAGAAATAATAGTTAGATGAGAAACCTAAAAATGAAATAAATTTAATTGAAAAATTAAAGTAATAACATGAGATTGAAAAATAATAATTAATATAAGAATTCTTAAGAAGAATAGATTAATTATTAATTAGTAATGTACAGAAATATCCTGATTCTGAAAATTGGAAAGAATTGATTCTTAAATATGAAAAATAACGTTAAAATGAACTCTATGAATTAAAATAGTAATTACAGATTTTATAAAGATCATAAATATAAACTTAAGATATTGAATTTTATGCTGAAAGAAGAGCTTATGAGAATACAATTAATGAACTCAAAAACAGAATTTAAAATAGTGATTAATAAGAGCTTTTTGATACTATAGAATATTAAAGAAAAGTAATTTAAGGTCTTGAAGATTAGATATCTCTATTATAGAATGAAAAATTGCAATTAAATAGGCATATTTAAGAATAAAGCTAAGAAATCGATATGTTGAGAGATAACATTTAAAAATATTAAATTCAATCTGATAATAGAAAAAAATAACGACTAGAAGTAATGGAAGCCATTTCTGAAATGAAGAGAGATAGAACTATAGAAAGAGATTCTCAGAAATCTCCTTATAAATCAGTAAGACCAAGCTAAAATAGATAATCTTGGAATATATATCCTCGCGAATATTTGAGACCATCTAACATAACTTAATAGTATTCCTAAATTAAAGAACATCAGTCTCCTATATAAAGAATCCCTTATCAATCAACATAATTCCTATCTCCTTAATAAGAGAATTTAGAAATACCAGCTAAATTATAAGAGCTAGATGAAATTAAGTATAAATACTAAAAGGCATATAATACTATTCTAAAATTAGAAACTTAAGTTGTAGAAAAGTTATAATAAGATGATATTATTATTCAATGAATTATCTATATATAAACCTTCTTATTTTAAAAACAAAATTTTTATAAATATCAAAACTTTACTCTGTTATATAATTATTTCCCAAATTAATTATAAACTTCTGGATCTGCTAAATCTAATGGGTTAGGATAAAAGGAAGGCAAAACTTTATTCTATTCTAGCATTTATAATACTATGATTATGCATTATCAATTATAATTTACCTATATATCCCTATTTCTTTAAATATTTTATTTATTCTTAATCTTTTTCATCCTTACATTCTCGAAATATCCATTATGCCTCTTTTAATTTTTACATTCTTTCTAATCTTCTTTCATAAGTAAATGAAATTTATTTTAAAATTCTCCTATATAAATATATAACTTCATTTGATTATTCAAATTCATAAATTTCCATTATAGCTGTTGTCTAAGGCAATAATCCAAGCCTCTTACGAATAAAATTCATAAATATAATTATTAAAATTAAATTAAATGAATTGGTTTCATTTTATAATTAAAGAAATTATAAACATAATATAAATCAATTAAGGATGTGTTATTTTTACTTTTGCTTAAATTCTTAGTATTTTTCTTAAAAAAAGCAGACTATTTTATATATCTTGAAATTAATTTAAAAACAATTTCCATTTAATTATATTGTAATGAAATTAATATAGAAAATTAATCATCTATAAAAATGAATACTAAGTTATAAATTATATTATTTAATGATAATATTTGAAAATCTTTTATCGATATAAGTTAAATTTAATATCCAAAATTAATATAAAATATAAAAGATTATAGTTTTAATGTTTGATTTCTATTCTAATTATAATAATGAAGAAAATCAAATATTTAATTCACATATTGTATTATAAAAGATTTTTTTTAAAATTTACATCAAAAATTGGCATCAACCTTTCTTAACTTTTAACTTGTATAAGGGAGAACACATCATTCACTTCTATTTATTTACAGTTTGAATTAAGTATGTTTAAACTATTTTTTTCTGTTGATGTAGATACATGACATTATCTTTTTTATTTAAAGAATTTATCTAGATTGTTTCTAGTGTATTGAGAAATACTAGAAAAAAGTTAACTTTTGTCTCTTTATAATGATGTCTATATTGTTGGCAAATGAGTAATTTTAGTTTGAGATGTACCTTCAGTGGCAGGCATTTTTTTAATTATAAATCTATGTCCCTTTTCAACAATATCAATATTAAAATGTTTATGTAAAATTGTATTAGCCCAACTAGATCTATATGGATTCTCTATCTAAATTATATTATATAGTATTAACTTTTTTGACCTTAATTAAATCTTCCAAGCTTCTCTTACTTTCTATAAGTATCAATATTAGATTGATCTAATTATGGGTCTTTTGAAAATTATAAAAAGTCAATTGGTTCTGATAATTCAGGAATATATTGAGAACTCTAATTAAAGATGTTTGTCTGTTTCATGTTTGTTTAATTTTATAAAAAATTATATATTGATTTTTGGATTTGTAATGAAGTGTTTAAAAATCCTTTATAAATAAGTTAAGATAAAAAGATTTAAGTAAATAATAATTTTAGATGCATTTCAATAAATTTTATAAATATTTAATGTTTCAAAAAAATCGAGTAGATTTAATGGATCTGCTTAAGCAACTGGTATCCAAGAAAATAGTTAAGATGGAAGCCATTTGACTAAACACTCTTTACCATTAAAATCAAATATGCATGCTTGTTCTTGATTTTCTGTGTTTTAAGTAAAACCAACAAATTACAATTTTTCATATAGTAATCGTTCAGCAACCTTATAAGAATAAAATACTGTACTAAATCTGGATAATTTTATTTAACCATTTGATAAGGAAGTATAGCGGAATCAGGTTTGTAATGATGTACTTTTTTAAAGGAAAGCCAAACTCTTTCATTTTCAATTTTAATGATTCCAATTGGTTAAGAAGAGGATGATTTATCATAATGAATATAAATCTATTCTTACTAATCTGATTCTTCTTTCTTCATAATGAAATAAAAAAATTATAAAATATAATATTTTTATGTCTTTTTTTCAAGACTTTAACAAAGTGAAAGTATAAAATATACTAAATTAAGAAATAATAAGATATTTTAGAGCTTTAAGATTTACGTTAAAAAGATGGAGAGGCTTAAGTAATTAAGTTAACTTAGATGGCATAAGCAAGAATACGTAATTTTGAAAAGGTTTATCATTATTTGAACGAGGAAGTATTTATATGATTTTAAAAAGATAATTAATAATAGATCTCAAAAAGGCATGGATGATATGTATTTGATTGAAAAAGATTTTTATTAGACCAGTATTAGTGAAAGAGGCAAAAAATGATTTAGATGAAATGTTAAAAATAATATCAGAGATGCAATCTATTCAATTATTTAGAAAAACAGAAAATGTAATAAGCATTTATATTTACTGATAATTAGTCATAAAGATAATAAACTGTTTAAAAATTGATCTAAGTATTCTAAGATTCAAATGCAAAATTAAAATAATTAACTGATTAGTTATTAACAAGATAACAAACAAGTTTATAATCTGCAAAAGAATCATTTAAGGATCATCACAGTGATAGTTAAATAAATGTATAATTATTGGATGAGATGTAATATGATGAAGAATTCATTTAAAGAAGAAATAAATAAATAACAGAAATGGGATAGTATTATATTTATACATGTATAGAGTAATATACTAACTAAATTAAATGATGACAGATGGAGCAAGGATGATATAAGATTAAGGATTGAAAATTGATATTATTAGTTCAAATGTAAAAAGTGCTAGAGAAAAGGTTGAAGGAGCTGTAATTGAAGTTAAAAAAGCATCTTAAGTATAATAAGGAAACAATGGAAGAATGTATAATATTATAAAATTTAAGGTTATTTTTTTGTGGCATAATTACATTGATAGTTGTTATTATAGTATTGTTATATAGTGCTAGTTCTAGACCTCATCCAAATCCTAATGCTTAATAACCATAATCATAAAATTGATATTAATATTCATAATATTATTTCACCACAAATGAAATTAAAACAATCCTTTATTGTAGCTGTCAAACCTATCAAAATAAACAAAACTTTAGAAAGAATAGGTAAATTACCTTCCAAATATTTAATGTCTCCAATCTTAAAGGAATAGAAAGATATAAGGCCTTAAGAATTTGAAGATTAAACCAAATTAAATTTCTAATATTAATACCAACCTAACAAAGTAGGAAGATAAAATGATCATTTTTTAACAAATTGATAATATAAGGAATTTGCTTATAAGAATCCTCATGGCAAAGTTCATATATTTAAATACCAAGATATAATTTTTACTTTAGCAGGATCATAATGGGAACATGTTCCTATAAAAAACCTATATAAGTTGTTATTATTTTCTAGACCTTCATTAATAATGTTGTAAATGAAACCAGATCAAATACTTAAAGGTTTTGATTATAAATTTAAATCATCAAAAGATTATATAAATTAAATAGTAAGAGAACCTGATGAGATTATGCCTGCTGGTTATCATGAAAAGATAGCAGAAATATTAGAGCATGAAAAATTAGAATTTTTAGAATATTACATAAATAAGGAAAGAATAGATTATGTTAAAATTGCAACTATTTCCAATTATGCTAAAAATTTAATGCTTAAAATTATGTTAGCTGATATTCCAGCTCTCATTTTCAGAGAAACTCTATGCAATTAATTAACACTTCCATAATTATAATAATATTTTAAAGTAGCTTGTATAGCAACACCATAAAATCCAGACATTTATCCAAATACTCCTATGAATGTTGCATATTAAATATTACCTGATATATTTTTAAGAAGATCAGACGAATTCATGACTACTCTTGTAGAATATTTAAGAGCCAATAAATCATAAAAAAGAATATTTGCTTTATTGGGTGATATGTAATCTGATGCAATTGTAAATTTATTAGGCAATAAATCTGCATCTCGTTTAAAATTTGAATTAGAAATCCCAAAAATAAAGAGAACTTTATTTAAAGACTTAACTTGTGAAGATTTAATTGAAAGACATGCAATATTAGATGTAATGTATTATGGTGACATTGGACAAGAAGTTGATCCTGATAATAAGATTATTATTTTCCAGAAACAATGACTGTAATTGATAAATATGGTAATTTATTGATAAAACTTGTCCTGCTTAAATGACGTATTTACATTTGGAAATGCTTAAAAATATTCAATATTCTAATAAAAATATTATAGAATTGGCAGATAAAAATTAAAAGTAGAATATATGGAAAAAGCTTAGATAATTTGATATAATTTGTTTATTTTTTAATCTTTATAATTATTCATAATGTTGTAAAGACCTCTTCAAATTTATATTTCTTAAATAAGTTTAAAATTGGTTTAAACTTTTCATCTTTGTATGATTATAATAATTCATATAAAACTGATTGTGAATTATCAATCACCACTCCCTATTATGCTAATCTTTAATAACATGTTGATCTATATAAAGGTTTATTACTTGATGTTCCATCTGTTAAGATATGAACTTAATAGCCTAATATATATCTTATATTTACTACCATTTCTAACTAAATCCAAACAAGTTTGCTGAACACATACATGTGCTTCCCATCCATAGATAACTACTTGGTTCTTTTCAGGGTATTATTATAGAACTCTCTTTCCATCCTCATTGTACATTGAAAATGTGTGTTTCTCATAATAATGACTTAATGGAGAAATAGTTGCTTTAACTTCGGGGATTGTTGATCCAAAAGCTTTTACATTTTATTCTGTATAAACAACTGGTATATTTAATATGCCTGCTGCCTATAATTTTATGAACAAGGTCATACTTCGTTCATTAATTAAGCACATTAAATTGTTTATCCTGGATTATACATGTGTTTCGGGTTATTAAAGACAGTTTATATATCACAGTTGAAAAAGAGCACTCTATTTCGTAATAATTAACAAATCTTCATAAATATGATATTAATTTTTATAATAATAATTCATCATTAACTTGAAAATATATTTTTAAATTGATATATTTTTTTATTTAAAAAACTTCTTTAAAATTTTCATCTTTTGAAGTTTAAATTAAATGTATAAATTACATATATAAAAGTCCTTTTATAAACAGACCATCTAAAAATTTACTTTAATATTATATTTTAGTATTTCTAATCCTTTATCAAATTGCATAGTTAAAGTGAATTTTCCCTTAAAAATTACTATAGAAAAATCTTCTTTAATTATTATGCTGTTTTTCCAAGAATCTTTGAATTTTATTATGATAAAATTATAGCAATTACATCTATTTTAGCAAATTCATCAAACATGCATATTATATGACTTATAAACAAGATAATCTATTAAATTTGATTATTTATCAATATTTCTTGAAAGCATTCATCAAAAGAAAACTTTTAAAATTGTTAATCAAGCTTATATAAATCCTTGATCAAAACTATGTATAGAGAGACCAGTATAAATTTAACATAAATCTTAATAAAGTATAATTTAAATTTATAAAAGATTAAGCACACTATATGATATCTACCACATTTTAAAATTATATACATTCATTGTTTAATTTAATTAATCTTTATTTGTTCATATTATCCTTGTATATTTTCGATTTCTTCCCATTTTTTTTTTCAAAAAAAAACATTTGTTACAAAGTTTCCTCTGTAAATTCAATCATTCTTAAATTGTTTATTTAATTATTATAATGCTAAACTATTCTATATATTTTATCATCTCTCTGGTTATCTAACTCCAATAAAGCGTCTTCATATAGTGATTCTTGATAATCTTCAGTATCAGCTAATGACTAAGACTCACTAATAAGGTTTGTCATATAAATACCACAGCTCTATGATTTTGCAATTTATTTTTTGAAATTTCTTTTTTGAATTCTTTTTTCTTTTATTTTCTAACTTTATAAATCTATGTCTTTTTTATAAAGGATAATAAGCTTTTATTGTTCTTCTTTTGAGTTTTAGATAAATTGTTAAACCTATCTACTTTTGTGTTTAATCTCACCATCATCATTAGGATCTGTTTTACAACGATCAGAGAAATGAGACATAAATTTAATTTAATTATTTAATATATATTATCCAGTAGTCCTTAGAACAAGAACCAGAGATTTATGATTGTCTTTATCTGACTTCTCATTCTTTAAACTCTTCAGTTTAATGTCTAAAATGCATATCCTACTAAATTATATATATTTTTCAGCTAGTTCATCTTTTAATTTCAATTAATTAAATATTCATGATTATAATTATAAGATTTTATTTTGAAGCTATAAAATTCGATAATTCCAAGGTTTCATCTGTGAAAATAATATTAATTTTAAAAGTACTCTAAAATATCTATTATTTTTAATTGTTCAACAAATAACTAAACCACAAAAACTTTCTAATTAATAAAGTAGAATCCTTTTCCTATTCCTAATTTTAGATCTTAAAGTAGATTCCTGGTAGAAGACAATTTTATATTGCTAATACATTCTATTTAATTTTTTTATTAAACAATTATTATTCATTAATTCGTATATAGATTAATATAACCTAAATATTTTTAATGGTAGTATTCATAAGTAACTTCATTAAAGTAATAATAATCTTTTAAATAAGAATATATTTTAATGATTTGAATTTGATGTTTGGTAAATTGGATAAATGTATCAAATAAAGTTCCTTTCTTGTTTGTATATTGGAATAAAATGTCTAGAATCTGTTTAATTAATTGATTTTCTGTTTTAGCAATCAATAAATAAAGAGAAAGAATTACAAATAATCATATTTGTATATATTGGAAATTAAATTTAAATGAAAACTTGTACTAAATGATTTGATTCTAAATTTGATTTTTAGCAAAATTATTGAATAGAGTTCAACTAATTGTAAAATGAGTCAGTTATAATTGTTTATCTTTTGTGTGTAATTGTATGAGTTTATCTTGTATATTAGTGATTAAATTCATTAAAAAAAGATTTTTATTTTAATTTAAAATGGTTATCAAGACTGATTTGTGTTCTTTTAGTGAATGGCGTATTTATCCTGGACATGGACGTAGATTCGTGGCTAAGGATGGTAGATTATTTTACTATTTGAATCAAAAGAGTAGAGCATTTTCTGCTAGAAAAGTACAATAAGCATTTTAAATTAAAGATTAAAAGCCAAGAAATTTAATGGACTGTTGCATGGAGAAGATTAAATAAGAAAATTAAAACAGATGAAGGAGCAAAAAAAAGAAGAATTAGAAATCTTAAAGTCTAAAGAGCTATTGTTGGTATCTCATTAGAAGAAATTAGAAGAAGAAGAAAGGAAGATGAAAGTAAATTGTGATTTTTATTTTTCTTTAAATAGAAACAAGAAAAGCTTAAGCTGAATAAGCCGCAAGAGAAATCAAGGATAGAAAACAAAAATAAATTGAGAATTAGAAGTCATAAAGAAAAGGTGTAACTACAACTCAAAAAGCTGCCTAAAAAGCTGAAACTAAAGCAGCATAAAAGGCTGCAGCTAAAGGAGCAGGTAAACCAAAAGGAAAGAAATGATAAATTATTAAATGTACATTAATAATACAATATAAACTGCCTCATTTTGGAAAATCTATAGAGAATTACAAAGGGATATTTAACCTATATTAAATAGTATATCTCCATGTTAAAGGAATAAAGCAAGGTCATTTGATCTTATTTCATAAAGTATGTTAATGGAAGAAATTAAAATCACACCCATCATGAAATTAAGAAAAATTATTAAATCTCCAAATATTCTAACATAATTCGGAATTCCATATAAAAGAGTTTCTAAAGTTGAAAGAGCAGATATTTTACAAATTCTATCATAAAGAAGTCTTGATATAAATGATTCAAATATTTAGCCAAAAGGTTAAATTAGAAGGTTCACTTATCATGAATTTTTAGGATAAAAATAGAAACGATTAAATCATTTAGTACCTCATACTTAAGTTTATTAACATTCTCATGAAGCTGTGATTGTAAAGAAAAAGAAAATCAATAGATTGAAAAATTAATACAGTATAATATGATAAAATTAGAATTCTAATAGAGATCCAGACAACGCAAAATATTTGCAAATAAAAAAAGTAAAAGTTGCCCACTTAAAAGAGAACCTAAAATAATACATAAGAAAAAAAAAACCATAGCAGATTAAATTTATTAAGGACCAATTCTTCCTATTGATTTTGAACTTTAAAGGAAAATAGCTTTATTATGTTTTAAAAAAAGAAATAAATTATTGGTTTTAAGAAAAAAAACATATATCCAAGATAATAAAACATTATTTGTACCAAAAGATAAATTATTAAATTTTTAAGAAAATCTTCAAAAGAATTATATATAGAAAGAAGAGCCTTTTGAAACTTCAGGTGAATCTTCACCTTTACCCAACAAAATATTATAGTTTTAACAAACTATAAATTTAAAATCCAAAACTTCAATTCCACAAAAACCATCCTTAACTCCAAGATACAATAATAAAAATAATAATTTTAATAATGAATATTCAACTTTACATAGAAAAACTTCGTTTAATATTATCAATAAATATCTTTAAGAAAAATAGATTAGAAATAAATTTTGTTTCTCTCCTTAAAACTAATAAATTCAATCACCAACATTAAAAGAAATTAATTTATATTTTTTATCATCTAAGAGAAATACTTAAAATACTTCAAAACAATCATAATATACATAATAGAGTTAATTAAGATCTTAAATTTCCATTCATACTTCAAGATCTAATGGAATAAAAGATATTGATGATTTACAATATAATAAATCAAACAAACATTTTGATTATACAAAACTATCTTAAAACACTTCAACCACTCATATAAAAACTTCATCATAAAAAAAAAAAGAATTTAAAACCAAATAATCTTATTTTTTAAAATTAAAACCATATTATTAGTGAAAAATTAAATGTTTATATTTGATATCTATATGAATTTTTCAATAATTTAACTTTATCTAATCATTTCTTGCCCAAAAATCAGGTTAGCTTATTAAATTCATTGCTTTCTCAATTGATAATAATTGATTATTATATTCTTGAGTTAATTTAGCTTTCCATTTTTCTTCAATCTAATTTCCATTATTGATATATTCTTTTTCCTTTTTATAAAACTATTAATCTTTTTTATTTGATTCAATATCATCTTTAATTTATCTTATTTTCTCTTCTGCAACTGATAAATTATATATCAATTCTGCAATATCCCTCTTGAAAATTAAAAGTTCCCCATCTAATTAATGCTTTTAATCTTCATATTCTTTTTATTATTCAGCATCATATGCGATATCTGAATTTTTATGATCAACAAATTGTTTTCTTAAATTATTAAAAGCTTCTAGAATCTAAAATTAATAATGAATTTATATTATACATATTTTTGAACTCTTGTATCTGTATAATTAGCTGATTCTGTTGTTTCTAATAATTCTTTCATATCTATTCCACCTATTAACATAGTAGCAGCAAATATTTTTCTTGTAATAATTTTAATTCTATCGACTTAAATAAATTATTCATTTGCAAAAATCCCTTAAAGTAAAGCTATACACATATCGACTTGTGCAACCATATGTTCATATTATGATACTAGAATCAATATATTGATTACAAGTGTCTAAAAACTTTTCATTTTGCTTTTATCTTGTGAATGTCAAATATTCTAATTGTTTTCTATTTTCTTTTACATTCTAATCTAAATTTTCCAATCTTTTATTAATATTCAAAATGTAATCGTGCATCTGAGAATCTAAATAATCTATATTTCTTGCAATAAATGTAACTGTTTCATCTATTCCTAAATCTAATTTTTCATTTTTGCTAAAATAAACATCAATTGCTTTATCACTAGCAAANCAAAACTATCTTAAAACACTTCAACCACTCATATAAAAACTTCATCATAAAAAAAAAAAGAATTTAAAACCAAATAATCTTATTTTTTAAAATTAAAACCATATTATTAGTGAAAAATTAAATGTTTATATTTGATATCTATATGAATTTTTCAATAATTTAACTTTATCTAATCATTTCTTGCCCAAAAATCAGGTTAGCTTATTAAATTCATTGCTTTCTCAATTGATAATAATTGATTATTATATTCTTGAGTTAATTTAGCTTTCCATTTTTCTTCAATCTAATTTCCATTATTGATATATTCTTTTTCCTTTTTATAAAACTATTAATCTTTTTTATTTGATTCAATATCATCTTTAATTTATCTTATTTTCTCTTCTGCAACTGATAAATTATATATCAATTCTGCAATATCCCTCTTGAAAATTAAAAGTTCCCCATCTAATTAATGCTTTTAATCTTCATATTCTTTTTATTATTCAGCATCATATGCGATATCTGAATTTTTATGATCAACAAATTGTTTTCTTAAATTATTAAAAGCTTCTAGAATCTAAAATTAATAATGAATTTATATTATACATATTTTTGAACTCTTGTATCTGTATAATTAGCTGATTCTGTTGTTTCTAATAATTCTTTCATATCTATTCCACCTATTAACATAGTAGCAGCAAATATTTTTCTTGTAATAATTTTAATTCTATCGACTTAAATAAATTATTCATTTGCAAAAATCCCTTAAAGTAAAGCTATACACATATCGACTTGTGCAACCATATGTTCATATTATGATACTAGAATCAATATATTGATTACAAGTGTCTAAAAACTTTTCATTTTGCTTTTATCTTGTGAATGTCAAATATTCTAATTGTTTTCTATTTTCTTTTACATTCTAATCTAAATTTTCCAATCTTTTATTAATATTCAAAATGTAATCGTGCATCTGAGAATCTAAATAATCTATATTTCTTGCAATAAATGTAACTGTTTCATCTATTCCTAAATCTAATTTTTCATTTTTGCTAAAATAAACATCAATTGCTTTATCACTAGCAAATTCATGATCATGTTTCAAATCCTTTACTTATTCTGTCTAATAAATTTTAATAACTATATCTATACCACTGAATTTAAAACATCAGCTAATTCTTTTAAAGCTGAGTCACCTGAAAAGGCTAATTAACTTAAACTCCATGCAATCTTACCCCAACTTGTTTTCTTATCTATTTCATTATTATCTATTTACTTTCAGTTCTTCCACTCCATCCTATCTACTAATATTAACACAATTTATAGTGCACAATAGCAATATAAGAACAAGTTCCGTTTTTTGAGTTTTCATAAAATTATAATTATTCTTAACAAATTAATATTGATACTAAAATTCTTTATACCTAATATGTATTTAATATATTATTTATATATTATTTATTCAATCACTATTTTATTAACCAATTCTTAAATCAAATGAAAAAAAAATAATCAGCTTTGATGTATCAAAGTTATTCAATTTATTTCACTTTTTCATTTTTTCTTTATATTATTATTGTCTAGAAAACAACCCTTTAAATTCTCATATACAATTTTTTTTAATTCTTTAATTAATTCAGATTAAGAATCTAGTCCTTGATCATTTAAAATTTAATAATTAGTATAGCAATTTTACTTTTGGAACTAAATATGTATAACAAAAAAAATGAGATACCACTTTAGAAATAGCAATCATTACCAAATTTTAATCTAAAACAAAATCAAGAAGTACAATCATTTATAATCAATTATAGGAAGAAATCGATTTACAAAAATTAATTACATATTCAAGAAAATCAAATAATACTCTATTTTTAAAAGAGTATTACTTGACTTAAGAAAAAGCTTACTACTTTATTATTAGAATTAAATTAAGAGGAAAGGATGAATAAAAGTTATTTGAAACAAATCCAGATTTAATATTCGTGTTAAGAAGAGGACTTACAATCTTAAATTTGAATAATAGTTACACTATTTTAAGAAAAGGACTTCCAAAATTTTATGATTTGTATTTAGAAATATTAATATAGAGGTGACTTTTGGAGAGAAAATGCATAAAATGAAAATTAGTTTTTATATAAAAACTAATTACATTAGGCTTATCAGTCATTAAAATTAAGTATTCCTGTAACTATTGTTTAATAATAATAAGAGAATGGAGAAAATTTTTAAATTTCTTTTTCTTCAATTTTATAAACATGGATTATTTCATCAAAAAATGTCTCTATATTTTGTAGGAACTATGAAGATTATTTATTAAATTGCCCTAATAAGGATATTGATTGTCCAGAAAGATTACCTTGGTAGATTGCTAAAATTTGGTTCTCTGATATGATTGATAGAAATGGAGAATAATTATAATAAGATTTAACAGATTTTACATTGTTGGGTGAATTTGTTCATAATCCTTTTTTTATTCACATTATTGAATACTAATAACCAGCCTTAATATTTTTTGCATTAATCAATAATCATGTAATCATCTATTATTTTTTTAAGTAAAGGAATTTTTGTTGTCATACAATATAAGCAGAACATTTGGCTAATAAACATAATCTCCATTTTGTGAAGACTAAATATATGTAAGCAAATAAATAAATTATATTGGATAATCATTTATCAAGAATTTATGATAATATAAAACAAAGTCCTATGTCTATATCAGGAGAAGGTGTAGTAATTTATTTGTTTAATGAATTTGAATGTTTGTCAATTAGTAAAATAAAAACTATAGAATGTATTTGATAAATATATGTGAGATGAATAGCATAAATTATTTAGAACAAAATTGACCACATTAATTTAATACTATTAAGAAACTCAATTAAGTTATGCAGATGTATACTAATAAGAGGCTAATGATTTGAATTAATATGATGATAGAGAGATCACTAGATTTATTGAATTGAATACTCACATATTGTTGAGTTTGCAATAGTAAAGATTTTATTTATTTTAGCTATCTAATAAATATTAAATAGAAAGATATTATTTATTAAGAATAAATTTATAAATTTTGTTCAAAATACTATATGTAGTTTTATACTCAGATAGTAGAATTAACAAAATCCCATAATGTAAAAAATTATGAATTAGACAATATATTCAAATACTTTGACTAATTGGAAAATATTTAGGCGTATCAAAATTAAGATTAATAAAAAAAAAATGAGATCTAAATAGAAAAGAATTTAAATGAATTAATGTAAAATTGATAGAAATATTTAATTCAAAACATTTATTTTTCTAGTTATATAAGTTATTCTATGTCTTTTATAGTTTTTTCAGTCAAATCGTTATTAAAATCTAAATTGTTATTTTCCTAAAATATTATATTTAAATTATTTACAATTTATTAAATATAATCCAATAATTTTGATAATCCTAATTAGTTCTCAAGACTTATTCTTAATTCTTCAAGTTTGCATGCAGTAAAATGACCTTGTGCGTTACTTTTTGTCTATTAAGTATAAAATGTATATTTTTCTAAATATTTTTTTGCCCCATTAAGTAAAATTTCCTACTATAATAAATCGTTTATATTAAATCTTTTAGTTGGATCAACTACTAATAATTAAGTAACTAGTTTTTTGAGCTCTTCTGAATAATGCTTCGGAATTGGTGGATATTATCCCCTTAAAATCTTAATTCCTAATCCTTCAATAGCTATGAGTAAAATCTTGTTTTCAAATACTTTTAGCATCAAATGCATGTCTTAATGCAATCATTTCATACAAAACACATCCTAAACTCCACATATCGGATTTCTGATTATAAGGTTTAGATTGAAAAGCCTCTGGACTTATGTAATAAGGAGTTCCAATAGAAGTTTTACATAATTATTCTTTACATTCTATTTCCTTAGCAATTCCAAAATCTCCTAACTTGATAAAATTATCTTTTGTTATGAAAATGTTCTGAGTTTTAATATCTCTATGTATGATATTTTAATCATGTAGATATTTAACAGCCAAACATAATTGTGTAAACCAATCAACTATAAGGGTTTCATTTAAATATTCATTATTCTATTTATATTCAAGTAAGGTTTGTTCCAAATTTCCTTTTTCAGCATATTCCATTACAATACATAAATTTGAACTTATTTATAAAAAATTACAAATTACATGTTTTCAAAAAATGACTCATAATATTTAATTATACTAGGATGCTTTAAATCTTTCATAATCTTGGCTTCACATATTGCATTCTCTTTTTATTTATTATTCATATTAGAAGTATCGATAATCTATATAAATTAATAAACACTAAACCTTAATGATGCATTATAGTTTTGTATTTTATTAAATAGCCAAATATGCAGCTCCATAACTACCTCTACCTTTCACTTCTAATTTTTGATAATTATTAATAGTATCATTAAATTCATTTTATTATTTTTACTAGGCTTCCTCTACGATTGAAAGAGTGCAATTACTCCAAGAATTTATTTAATCCATTTAATTAATTATAGAATTTATCAATATTTTTTAAAGTTTTCATTGTATCGTAATTTAAACTCAAAGTAAAACTGTTTATGATATAATCGAAAGATTGGTATTAATATTATTAAAAAATTAATGTAGCAACTAAGTTATTTAAATATGTAATAAAATAAATTTTAGTAAATCAAAATTAACACTTCCCTTGTTGTTGATGTCCACTTGATATCTCACTAAATTCTTAAGCAAATTTTAGGATCATGTGATCGATTATTATAGGATCATTATATAATCAACTCAATTCCTACTTATACAGCATTCACAACAATGGTACTTTTGAACAATTTAATTAAACATCATCTTGATATTCCATAAGAGATGAAGGCTAGTCAAGATACAGAGCCTCTTCCTCCATAAAAAGATTCATATTCAGGAGTAATTCATATTAATACTTAAAAAAAAGAATTAGAAAATATTTCTGAGAACTAAAATACAAGATCAACTAAATTTTTAAGATAATCAACTAATAAATTTAAATCTAATTCACTTAGTATCGTTAGTGTTGTAGTTATGAATAAATCAACATAAAAAAAAAATACTACTAAAAAATAAAGTATTGAAGTTGTAAAACTCCAAGAACCAGATTAATAGATTGATGAAAAAGAATAATATTATAGATATCAGCATGAAATAAAATGCAAAATGCTTGAATAAATAGCTAAGTAAATATATTAGTGATATATTTAGAAATGAAAAAAAACAAGAAGAAGATAGGTTAAAATAGAAAAATCAATTAGAATCAATAAACAAATTATAGAACACTAATAATTGTGGATATGATTATGATGGATCAATTTTACCTTATAACAAACCATTTATGAAAGTTAAACTATATCATTTACAATCCAAAATTTTAAAAAAGAAATAGGATAAGAAGAAATAAGATACAAAAAATCCTATTGAAAGCATATATATAAGAAATTTAACAAAAATAGATTTCCATTAGACTGGTTAATAAAAATTTGAAGATGATCTTAAACAAAGCTAAATTAATAAAGTGGAACCTATTATAGGCAGAAATTTGAATGGATTTAGTTAGATTTAAAAACTTGACATATTGAGAACTGATTCTTCATTAAGAATGACAAAAAAATAATATGAAGAAACATCAGAAATAGTTTTTACAGAATCTTATGTTAATTTGCATAAATAACATAATGAATTTGAGAGTAGTATTCCTAGTAATAAATTTGAAAAATTGAATAATTATAAAGTTAAAATTGGATCTTAAAGAGAAGGACAAATAAAATATCAACAGTAATAAAATTATTAATTTCTTTTAACTGAACCAGATGTTGATAGGGAAATTAATTTTGAGAGTGATAAAGAGAGTTAAAAAAAATAAATAAAAAAGAGCTAAAATAAATAATAAAATGCATAATAATTAGTTTCTTTTGAAAATCTTCAAGGAAAATTGCCCACTTTAAGAAAATCATAAAAAAATAAGAGATGTGAGAAAATGAAAAGATCATATACCTAACATAGTTGAATTAATGATTTTTTTAGTGTGATATTTTTTTAATTATTTCTAAAAGTTTATAAGTTAAAAACTTTGTTAATAAATAAAAAGATGGTTTGAAAATAATTATTTAAAGTTTGATGTGATTTTATATGAGTAATATAATCAAGTCAAAAATTTAGGGATATCTAATTATTGTAAATTAAAAATAATAATGGATTAATTAAATTCATGGGGTTATTGTAATCCGACTAATTGGGATGATAAACTTCCAAAACCTTATAAGTATGAAAATAAATGAGTAAGATAGATTCATAAACAAAATCTTAAATAAAATGATACTAAATGAAGTATACAATAAAGTTTTTGAGATCGAAAAATATCGTTCAGATCCAAATTATGAAGGGCAATTAAGAACACTTCCTCCTTAAGGTGTATTTGATATACCTTAATTGAGTTGCGTAAGTCGAGACAGTTCAAGTAATTTAGTTGCAGCTGGAGATACTTAAGGAAATTTAATGATATTGGATTTGAGTAAGAAACTAAGGATAGCTAAGAAAGAAACAAATGGGAAAAGAATAGTGAAAGTATGTTTAAGCAACAGAGATGAAGCAATAGACGATTATAAGAATGTTTGTGTGTAGAAAATCATAATAAATTTAGGATTGGAGTTGTTTAGCATAATGATCCAATTGTGTCTGTATATAGATTCAGGCCATTAGAAAATAAGTTATTGCTTCATCATACTATTACATTATCAAAGGATAAGAATACAATAGGTGAATATCCAGTTGATGTAGACATAAGTTAATATTCTTAATATATAACTGTTACATAATATAATGGAAGTGTGAAAGTGTTTAGGATTCCAGATTTAAAAATAGATTAGTAATCGAATTCAAGTTAAATATCAAACAATAGTGTTGGTGCTCAGAGTCCAAGACACATATAAAGTCAATTCAAGCCATCACCAATAAAAGGGAAAGAATAACCAATAGTAGCTTAGGTATAATAATAGCAGATTTAAACATCACCAATGGATATTGTATGTTCTGAATTGACAGATTTGATCTATTATGTGAAATTTGATGGAATAAAGAAAACTTTAGATTATAATGGAATAATAGCTAAAATTAAATAAGATTTGATAGTTCCAAAAGAAGCTCCACCTGAAGAGAAGCTTGATCCAAAAAAGAAAGGTGCACCTGCTCCAAAAAAAGCAGTAGAAATGGCACCTGTTACAGTTGTAGAAGAAATACTATATGAAGAAAATGATAATGGAGCATAACCAAGTGATGATGATTATCCAGAATAAAAATTTAGAGCAATTGTTGAATTTATAACTGAAAGATTTAGTATTCAAAATGGAAACAAAACATTTAATTCTTATAAATAGCATGAATGTGTAACAGGAATTGTTGTTGGTTGGACTAACACAAAAAGACTTGAATTACATCGTTTCACAAGTGCTAAAAGATCTGCACTTCCAGAATATTTAAGTGCTTCTTTTGGATTACCATCTTAATAATTATTAAAATAATAACCAATTATTACTGAAGTTTAAATTATTTATCCTTTGAGTTGCATAGCAATATCAAAATCTTCAGTATATTTAGCTGCTGGTTTATAATAAGGAAGTGTTTTTGTCTATGATTTAATTTTAGAATAAGAAAGATTTTATTTAGACAAACATATGTATAATTGTACTTAGATTCAATTCTGTGATGATAATAGATTAGTTTCCTCTTCATATGATGGAGGTGTTAATATTTATGATTTGAAGGATGGGAAATTATTATGCAAGAGAACACATTAATTTAGAAAAGGGACTAAAGTTAAAATGGAAGAATAAAAATAAGGATTCTGGAGAATTATTGGAATGAGTGTAAGCCATACTGGAGTTGCAGCAGCTTTAGATGCCTAATAAGAAGTTAGAATTTATGATGTTTGGCATGGTGAAAAAATTGCTAAGCTATCTCCTTAATAAGTTATGGATGATAAATTAAGATCATGGGTTAATAACAAAGCTTTAGTTTCATGTTATAAAAATGAAATCTTAATCTCAGCTGATGTTCTCTAAGTTAATCAATATACAACTTTACAAATCTTTAAAATATTTGATAATTTAGTTAATATATTTCCTGGATTAGCCAATATCTATAGAAAAGGGATTGAAAAAGATAAAGTTATGAATTTGTTTGAAAAAATACCTAAAAATGAATTACAAAATCCTTAATTTGACATCCCTAATCTTTAAGGAAATGGCAATAATTAATTAAGAATCCCTGGATAAGAACGTCGCCCTAGTTAACAAAGAGGAAGCTAACATAGAGGAAGTCAATAAAGGATTGGGTATATCTATTAGTAAATTTAAGATCATAACATGGTTCTCATAAAAGTTCCAAATTACCTCCTGCTGTACCTCCAAGTATTAAAGGAGGTCCTATCTCTCTCATTAATTCATTGCATAAATCTAATCATTCAGATTAATAAGTTGATTTTAATTCCTCTTTCAAAAGTTATCAAGCATCTTCAATGTCTCATAGACTTTCTAAACAAAATTCAAAATAAGCCATACTTACTAAAGAAATGCTTCATCCTGAATAATTCTTACTAGAAAAAGATAAAACTTCCATGCCTCTTTTAATAAAAGAAGACACAAGCATGGTTGAACATTGTCGAAGTAGAAATTCTGAAAGATTAGTGAGAATTGAAAAAGTTAATAGTATGATCTAGAAAGTTGGATAATAATTGGCTTAAGAAGAAGAAAAGAAGAAGCTTCAAGAACGTCATCGTTAATTATCGTCTGCTAAATGATTAATTAATTATGTATTTGTTGTAATGAGCCATTAATTATAAATGTATTATGTTTCAAGTTTAACATTTTTAAACCTATTCCGAGATTTAAGATTCAGAATATTTTCAAAGTGACTACACTCATGAGGAATATAATGTATCTAAAAAGTAATTAGACTTATTAATATAGTAAAAACTATAATCAATATAGAAAAAAGTTCAACAATAGAAACTTTATTACTAATAAATACTTTTTAAAATTATTGATTTATATTGATAATAGAATTTGTATCTTAAAGCTATATCAAATGGATTAATTGATGAAATTGGACAGATCATCCATCAAATATATAAATTTAATAAACTTATATTATATTAGATGATTTCACTGTATAAATACATTAGAATAATCTAATTTATGAACAAAAGTTTTAGAAATTCTTAAATAATAATAAAAACCAGAAAATTTGAGTCGGATGATTTATTTTGTCTAAGTTGCTTTAATATGGGCACTACCAGCTATTCTGATTAATAAACTGATTTTCTATTTGGTTTATAAGATTGGAGGAAATCATGAATGTATAGTTGATGTTGCCTACTCTATAAGTCATTTAGTTGCAGGAGTAGTCTACTTTATATTTTCTCCTATATCAACTCCAGCAAAGATTGTAAGAATAAGTTTAAATTTTAAGATTAATCTATTTCTTGTTGCATTTTGGTCACTAAGGCTTGGGGGATTTTTATGTGTGACAAGAGTAATAGCTGGATTTAAGGATGAAAGATATGATAATATCTTTAGTGAATATAATGCAGATAAATTCAAAAAAGATTTAATGGTTTTTGTGTAATTTATGTTCCAAGGATTAATTGTATTTGTCACTTCTATACCATTATATTTTTTGTTTCTAAATGATCTGACTTGGAAACCCGATAATTTCAATGGTCTAAATGTAATGAATTATATAGCTTTGTCAATCATTCCTTTCAGTATATGCTTAGAAGCAACTGCAGGTAAATAAAACTTTAAATATTTAGATGTACAATTAGAGAGATTTAAGAAATAAAAATAATAGGGTTTAATATCAAGAGAAGAATTAATGGAAACTGGACTTTGGAGAAAGAGTCGTCATCCAAATTTATTTTTTGATTTAGTTACTTGGTTCTGTTTTGCTTTGGGAGCAATTTGTGATCCAATAAGTGTTTGTGCATTAATAGGACCTATTGTTTTATTTTGTGTTATGGAATTTCTCACTACTCCATTAACAGAAGCACATATGAAAAAGAAAAGAGGGGATGTTTATCAATAATATGTTTCACGAACAAATAAATACTTGGTTATGTGATGATCTTGATTTTTTTGTATTATTATTTCAAATAAAACTAAGTTAATCTTTTGGTAATGGGGTTTTTGTTGTTCTTATTATTTCTCTTTTAGGATCTCCAGTTGTTATAGGATTTCGAGATATATTATCTCTTGATTAAAAATCCGAAGTCTTTAATTATTATTTGTAAACCAAATCTGAATTAGAACCTGGTACAGCAAATTAATACAATGAGGTTTGAAGATTTATTCTTTTCGATTTTCTGAGAACTAAATATTTAGTACAAGTAATATGATGATATTAAATAAAAGAGTGCAATTCATAAATTAATATTTAATCTTAAAAAATAAAAATGGCAAGCTTAATTTAAATTGCATCAATAGTGGCAGATTTAAAAAAAAAAGATTAGATGGAATGGCTTAATCAACACAAAGAATTTCAAAAGTATTCTCTTAAGGAATCAGATCTTATTCTTTATTAAGCAGCCAAAGAAAAATGCGCCAACAAATTAAATGAAATTTATCAACACCACTATTTTTAAGTAACTAATTTAATTACCAATGGACTTCCACTTCATAAAACTACTGTAAAAACAACTTAGTTTAGTAATCAAACTTTTAATGTCTTTGATGTAATAATATACAGAAGAAAATCATCGTTTTATATTGTTTATCAACTTATTTAACTGATTAATTAATAAAACACTAAGAAGAAGAAGTTTTAAACTAATTCATGGTTTAAAGATTATTCTTATTTTCCATTTAAGCTAGTTCGTTAATTAAATTATGAATAACTTCATATAAATATAAAATATTATAATATACATGAAATTATTATTACTATTTTTGTTGACTTCTATTTTTGTAGTTTAGAGTGAAACAACAAATATTAATTTAGGTTCACCTTGTTTATGTACTCAACTTTTTGAATAAGATTGCTATAGAAATTAAAATTGTGTTTGGAATAAACTTTAACTGAGATGTGAAATCAAATCAACAATTGAAGAAACTAACACAAAAACTAACCCTAAAATAAGTTCATATTGTTCAAAATTTGGATCTGATAAATGTTGGGAAGTAGAAGGGTGTGCTTACATTTTCAATGAATGTGTTTAATTTACATCCTGTTCTAGTTATCCTTTCAGTGTTTAAGAACTTTGCCAGATGGTTTCGAGTAAGTGTATAACGGATGGTGAAAAATGCGTTGAACTTGCTGATTGTTACAGTTATTAAACTCCCATATCTTGTGTTAAAAATTCAAAAGGAAATTATTGCTTTTGGGATTAGTAGTGTGTTGATGCAACAGATTGTAACAAATTACCACTTTCATTCAAGACTGATGCTTAATGTCGTGAATAACTCTCATATTGCACAGTTAATCCAAGAGGTGGATGTCAGGCCAGTGGATACAATTGTGAAGATCAAGAGTTTGAGATGTAATGCTATTATAATCAGAAATTGGGATTATGTGCATGGATTAATGATAAATGTATGGATCGCTCATGTGAAACTGCTCCAAAATCTATTAGAACTGATATCGCTTGTTAAGAATATTTTGAAGGCTGCACATTAATTGCAGAAGGAGGCTGTAGACAAAGAACATAGTGTAATGATGTGACTATCAAGGAATCTTGTACTTATAGTGCTAATGGATCTATATGTTTTTGGAATGAAGGGAAATGTTATGATAAAAAATGTGAAAATGCCCCATTAAATATTATTTGTTCCAAATTTTTAGAGAATTGTGTTCCAAAATCTTTAGGAGGATGTATGAGTATCAGTGATTGCTCAAAATATGATTTAGATGAGAGTTGTAAGATAGATAAAAATAATAATAAATGTTTTTGGACAGGAAATTAATGTGTATCACATACATGTGAAAGTGCTCCTTTAGAATATGTAACTCATGAATAATGTGCTGCTTTCAAAGAAGATTGCACAGTAAATAACAGTACATTTAAAGGTTGTTCATAGAGAACTTGTGATAATGCTCCAACAACTGCAACGACATTTCTTAAAACAAATTATGAATGTAATAAATATAAAGAAGGCTGCATTACAAAACTAGGAGGAGGATGTAAGTAATTAAATGAATGCAGTGATATTGATGTTGAAATAGCTTGTGTTGTAGATAAATAGGGAAGAAATTGCTTTTTTTATAATGGTGAATGCGCATTAAGAACTTGTGAAAATGCTCCATTGTCTTTTAATAGTCATGAATAATGTTAAGAATTTAATGAGGAATGTACAGTTGCACGAACTAAGATTGGATGTGTTAAGATGACATGTTAAGTTTTACAATCACAAAGTACTTGTAAGGTAGATTTAAATGGTAATCGATGTTTTTGGACAGGTCTTTGTTATGAAAAGACTTGTTCTAATGCTCCATTTGAATATGATTCAGATTTGAAATGCAAAAATTACTTAAGTTCATGTACAATAGCAAATAGCGGTCGTGGATGTATAATTAGACCGAGTCAATGCAATTAATTAGTTCTTGAAGATTAGTGTTATATAACATCAAATGGTTAGATTTGTGGATGGTTTGAAGGAGCATGTTATGACAAAGCTTGTTTTACAGCACCTTATACTTCAGACTATGATACTTATGAAGAATGTGATAATTATTTAAGTGGATGTACAGTTGCAAGTGAAGGAAATGGAGGTTGTGTTCCTTTGGATTCATGCACAACTTATACAGCCTAAAGAAGTTGCCGATTTAATAATTTAAGTTAAATTTGTGAATGGACTGGCAATGCTTGTTATGATAAAGCATGTACTACAGCTCCTTAAGATACAGATCATGATTCAAATGAAGAGTGCGATGCTTATTTGACTGGTTGCATTGTTGCTCCTAGCGGATAAGGTTGTGTTTTAAAACCAAGCAGTTGTGGAATGATGAGTACTAATACTTAATGTACAGAATCTTCTACAAATTCTCTTGGAGGACCCTGTGTTTGGGTTGGAACTTGTGTAAACAGAACTTGTTCTAATGCTCCTGTTTCTACTAGTTATGATACTCATTAAGAATGCTACACGTTTTTATCTACTTGTACTGTTGTTCAAAGTGGCATAGGAGGTTGTATGACATAATTAAGCACTTGTGGCTAATATTCAACATTTAGATCATGTTAATTAGCATCGAATGGATAGAAATGTGCTTGGCAATATAATTATTGTTACAATAGAATATGTTCATATGCTCCTGATACAAATGAATTTGATTCTGATTCAGAATGTTCTAATTTCCTTAGTTCTTGTACAGTAGTCAAGAGAATTAGTAATTTAGGTTGTACTTCTATATTAAATTCATGTTAAGATCTTACAGAACAGTAATGTATCAGAGATAGTAGTAGTAATCTATGCACTTGGGATACAACTCTAGCTACTCCTAATTGTAAAACGAGGTCTTGTTCATTAATGATTGGATATACTTATACATAATAAAATTGTAAGAATTGGCTACCAGGCTGTGTTGTTGATAATTCTTCAACTCACACAAGTTGTATGGCTTAATAATATTGGTGCTTTCAGTATAGTTAAGAAGATAATTGTGAATATTCTACTTCTAATGGTTATTGTACTTGGAATGGCTCATCTTGTGTTACTCGAACTTGCACTACAACATAAAATATATCAGATTTTAATCACACAAATTGTAATAATTGGTTGTCTTCATGTACAGTTGATGCTCCAACAAGTTGTATTTAGAAACCTACAAATTGTGCTGATTATGTTAATTATGATTAATGTTATAAGAATTACTCAAATTATCCTTGTGCTTGGGTAAATGATGCATGTATTGAAAAGACATGTACTAATCACGGTTATTCAGTCATTGTTTTTAATTAAACTAATTGCAACAATTGGCTGTCATCATGTTCTGTTAATCCAGGGAATACTGCTTGTGAAACTACCAGAACCTGTGCTAATTATACAGGAACTACATTTACTCATTCTAATTGTAATTCATGGTTAACTGATTGTACAACTAATGGAAGCTAATGTATTAATAAAACATGTACTAATTATGGTTCGAATGTTACAACCTTCAATAGTTCTACGTGTTCAACTTGGTTCAGTGAATGCACAAATGATGGATCAACGGCTTGTAAGAGTGCGAGAACATGTACTAATCATGGAAGCAAAGTTACAATATTTAATCATACTAATTGTTCTAATTGGTTATCATCATGTACTAATACAAATACAACTTGTACAGATAGAACTTGTAGTAATTATGGGTAGAATATTTTATTTTTTACTCATGGCACTTGTAATGCTTGGTTGTCATCATGTACTGTCACTTGGGATAAATTAGGTTGTGAAACTAAAACATGCACAAATTATGGCCAATAAATAACTACTTTTAATAATACCAATTGTTCAGCATGGCTATCATCATGTTAAGCCAATATAAATGCAACTACTTGTGAATCCACTAATACTTGTCCTTCAGGAGCATTTACAACTGTTGCTAATTGTAATAATTATCTAGAATCTTGTACATTTGTAAGCGGATCATATTGTACTAATAAATCATGCACATCAACATCAGGTATAACAACATTTAATCATAATACTTGCTCTAATTTTTATAAAATGTGCACGAGTAATTAAGGTTCAACTAATTGTGAATGGAGAACCTGTTATAATCATAAAGGATTTATTTCTTATTTCTCTCATGAATCATGCGAGAATTGGTTGTTTTAATGTACAGTAAATAGTACTAATACAGGTTGCACAGTAAAAACTTGCACTAATTATGGAAGTCATGTAACATCATTTACAAATGCAGAATGTAACAAATGGCATCCTTCTTGTAATGGAACAGGGTCTACATGTTAAGAAAGCAGAACATGCGCAAGTGCTCCAACAGGTTATTAATATGAACATTCAAATTGTGAGGCATATTCTTTAAGTTGTACAAAAAATAATGCAACAACTTGTACTACTAAAACCTGCTCTAAAGCAAATTCAGTATTTTCCATTTTTAATCATGCTAATTGTTCAGAATGGTTAAGCAGTTGTACATCTGATGCAACAAGTTCTGCCTGCACAACCAGGACTTGTACAAATTACAAAGATCAATTAAGTACAATAAGCCATGCTACGTGTTCAGGTTGGTTGTCAACTTGTACAAGCAACACAGCAGGTACTGCTTGCGAAGCTAAATCTTGTTACAATCATGGATCTTAAGTTACCGTGATTGACAATACTAATTGTGGAAATTGGAAAAGCGGTTGTGTTGGAGGAGGATCTACATGTAGAAATTCTACAAATACAGTTTGTGGATCTTATATTGGAGCCATCAGTCATGGCGATTGTACAAATTATTTAAGTACATGTACTAATTCTGGAAATACAAAATGCATAGTTAGAACTTGTTAATTAGCATCTTAAGGTAACATTACAGTGTTCAATCATTAAAACTGTAGTTTATGGTATTTAGAATGTACAGCAAACTCGGATGAAAGCAGTTGTTAATACAGAACATGTTATAATTATGGAGATTATATTACTACATTTAATGCAAGTACTTGTTCTGGATGGCTTTATGGTTGTAATGTGAATTCAACGAATGATGGATGTATAAGTGAACGTACATGTAGTAATTATGGATCTTATTTAACAGAATTTACTCATGAAACTTGTAGTAATTGGTTGAGTACATGTACAGTAAATTCTGGAAGTACAGCATGCATAGATAGAACATGTACAAATTATGGAAGTAATGTGACTGTGTTTAATTATACTAATTGTAATGCTTGGCTGGATGGATGTACTGGGACAGGTAGTGTTTGTGAAGCTAGATCTTGTAGTAATTTTTCAACTGGAGCCATTCCTTACACTGAAGCTAATTGTTATAAATGGTATTCTTATTGTAAAGTTAATGATACTCTTACTGCTTGTATAAGTACACGTACGTGTACTAATTATGCTGGTAACATAACTACATTTAATCATTTAAATTGCAATACTTGGTTATCAGATTGCACTGTCACATCAAATAATCTCAGTTGTGAAATTAAAACTTGTACTAATAGTAATATTACTACAGGAAATTTCAATTTAGCCAATTGTAGTTCTTGGTTGTCAGGATGTATTGCTAATATATCAGCAAACAATTGTGAGACTGTAAAAACTTGTGAAAATGCAATATCCAATTTAACTACATTTAATCATTCTAATTGCTCTAGTTGGAAGAGTTCATGTACTTATAATAAAGCTGGAACAAGTTTAACTGGAACTGCTTGTATGGAATTTATATGTTCGAATGCTTAGTTGACTACATTTAATCATTCTAATTGTTAAACCTACAATAGCAGTTGCACTGTAAATTCTACTGCTGATGGATGCACTGATTATTTATGTTCAAATGCTATCAATTCTATATCTTCATTTTCAAACGATAATTGCAAAAACTATAAGCCTACCTGTACTGTAAACAGTTCTTGGAGTAATTGCACAAATAAGAGTTGTTCTAATGCTTCTCGTACATTGTCATCTTGGATTTTCTATGGTGATTACTATCATAGTGATTGCAATGATTGGTTATCATCTTGCACCATCAATAGTTCAAGAAGTGGATGCGAAACTATGACTTGTGCCAATGCATCAAATTCTAATGGCATTACTATAACTATAGACTAAAATTATAGTTGTACAAACTCTTGGATGTCTTCTTGTGAACTGCATACTTCTAATAGTTACTGTGTCAATAAGACTTGCCTTACATATAGAGGTGCATTATCAGCATTAAATTGTAGTAATTATTTATCTGGATGTACATTTTATGGAAATTATGATAATACTACTTCTTGTACTTCTACAATAAGAACATGTGCTAGTGCAGTTACAGCTCATGATTTTGGTTATAACATTGTCAATTAAGCTGGATGTGATTAATGGAAATCAAATTGTGCTTATAGAGGTTCTGGTAATTATGGCTGTGAAGAAAGAACCTGTTCAAATTATGTAAGTGCAAATTAATCTAATCCAACATCTTATAATTAATGCAATAATTGGTTAGCTACTTGCACATATGATAATGCTAATTAAATATGTGTAGAAAAAAGCTGCTCCAACTTTTCTTAACTCTCACCTTCATATAATAATTGTCTTGCTTGGAACTCATTATGTACTATTAATTCAACATCAACAGGTTGTGAGAAAAAAAATTGCACTAATTTTTCATATGTTAATTCAGTCTTTAATGATACTAATTGTTCAACCTGGCAAATCAATTGTAGAGTTAATTCTGCAAAAACTGCTTGTGAAGCAAGTTGCACTACAACAACTGTTACTACATTTAATTTTGTGAATTGTTAAAATTGGGACACTATGTGCTCAGTTAATAGTAATAATACTAATTGTGAAAAAAGGAGTTGTTAAAATCCTTAACTTGCATCATACACTGATACTACCTGCTCATCTTGGTTATCAACTTGTACTAATAATGGAAATTCAAGTTGTAAAGATAGAACATGTTATAATTATGCAACTAATCTCCTATCATATTCATCAATTACTTGTGAAACTTGGTTGCCAATCTGTACAAATTATAAAACATATGGCTGTATGCCTAAAACATGTGATAATTTTGCTGGAACCGTTAATGATAGCAATTGTTAAACTTATCTATCTTATTGCATAGCTAATACGACAAGAACAAAATGTATAACTAAAAGAACATGTACAAATCATGGATCAGCAGTAACAACTTTTACACATGTCAATTGTGAAAGCTGGAATAGTAATTGTACCAATAATAGTAATAGTACTGCTTGTGTTGAAAAAACTTGTAGCAATATAAATGTAAGTGCAGTAATTTAAATTAATTCATATACATGTAATGCTTGGAAATCTAATTGTTCATTAATTAATGGAACTTGCACAGATAAGACTTGTAATAATTCAGGTTTAGTTGGCAGCGATGTAACATAAACAAATTGTAGTGATTGGTTGCCTTATTGTAAAGCAAACAATGCTATTTGGCCATAATATTGTGAATTAAAAACATGCTCAAATCATTCTTTAGGAACTATAACTTAAGCTAGCTGTTAAAATTGGTTATCTTATTGTAGAGTAAATTCTGCAGGAACAGCATGTATGACTTATCGAACATGTAGTAATTATGGAATAAATATTTTAACATTCAATCATATTAATTGTGAAGCATGGATGTCTAATTGTACAGTAAATAGTACAAATAATGGATGTATGAATAAAACTTGTTTTAATACTAATTTAAGTGTTTTCAATGATTAAACTTGTGGATAATGGTTGAATACCTGTAAAGCAAATTCATCAAATACAGGATGTGAAATAAGAACTTGTACAAATTATGGTAATTAGTTAACAAGTTTTACTGCAGCAGCATGTTCTTATTGGTTGTATTAATGCACAAATGATACAACAGTTGGCTGCAAGCCTAATAATAGAACATGCACTAATTATAGTAATTTAATATAAAATTTCACATTGTAAACCTGCTCGGAATATTTGAGTTCATGTGTTCCAGATCTAACAAAATCATCTTGTTTAGCAAGAACCTGTAGTAATGCTTAAGAATTACCTTCATATACTCATTAAAATTGTTCAAATTGGTTAAATACTTGTACTGTAAATTTAACAAACAATGGTTGTATAGATAGAACATGCTAAAATGCATCTCTTTCTTTTTATAATTATAGTAGTTGTTCTAATTGGTTAAGTTCTTGTACAGTTAACACTACAAATAATGGTTGCATTGCAAAGACATGTAGCAATAGCACAGTTATTTAATTTACATAAACAAATTGTACAGCTTGGTTGAATACATGTACAAATGGTACAAATACTTGTATTAATAAGACATGTTCTAATTATGTTGGCACTGTTAATTAAACAAACTGTATGGCTTGGTTATCATATTGTTATGCTGATTCTGTATCTTAAACTTAATGTTATAGTTTGAGGGATTGTTATAATCATAATTTAACTACATTTACTGTTGCTACTTGTAGTTCATGGTCTCCTTTATGCACTGTAAATACTACAAATAATGGATGTATTGAAAAAACTTGTTATAATAATAATTTAACCAAATTTAGTCATGCGACTTGTTCAGATTGGTTATCAACATGTACTGTAAATATGGATGCAACTGGCTGTGAAATTAGATCTTGTACAAATTATGGAAACAATATTGCAGTATACAGCAATGCCAATTGTTCTGCTTGGTAAAAATATTGTCAAGTAACAACTTTGGGTAATGCTTGTGAACCAAAGACTTGTTGGAAAAATTCTGTTGGTGTATTTAATCACACTAATTGTTATGTCCATTTGGATTAATGTACCGTTGCAGATTCAATATCTTGTGGATCAACAAGAACATGTACCAATCATGGTAGCGAGGTTACTATTTTTAATCATGCAAATTGCTAATATTGGTTAACTAAATGTACTGTAAATGCTGCAGGAACAGCTTGTGAAGAAATGACATGCACAAATCATGGAATTTAAGTTACTAAATTTACTCATGCAAATTGTTAAAATTGGATATTTGATTGTACTGTTAATTCAACAGGTACAGATTGTGAATTAAAAACATGTTCTAATTATGGTGCCAATGTAGTTGTTTACAATCATGCTAATTGTTTAGCTTGGTTATAAAAATGTACTGCAAATTCAACTAATAGTGCATGTATCAATAAAACATGTCTTAATACAACTGGAATCAGTACATGGACTTAGGCTAATTGTGAGTCATGGTTAAGTGTATGTTAATTAAGCAAACCTACTACTTGTAAAAATAATGTTTCAAATTGTTCATCAGCTACATATAATCAATGTGTCAAAGATACAAATAATGATATTTGTGTATGGCATCAAAATTCATGCAAGGATAGGGCTTGTAATAATTTTATTGGAACAGCCAATCATATTAATTGTTAAAATTGGTTCAGTAGTTGTACTGTCAATACTACTAATACTGGATGCACTTCTAAACCAACTAATTGCACTACTGGAGGAGTGACTTAAGACTAATGTGTTGTAAGCATTTCTAATGTCATTTGTGCTTGGAATGGAAGTGCTTGTGTAACTAGAACATGTACTCAATATTCTGGTACATTTAACCACTCTAATTGTAACAACTGGTTAAATACTTGCACCGTTAATAGTGCTTCTAATGCTTGCTAAACTTTATCTTCGTCATGTACTTCGTATACCATTTAGGATTAATGTAATTTTACAAATTCTGGTACTGTTTGTTTTTGGAATGTTAATACTTGTGTTATTAGAACATGTGAACATGCTTCTCAAACTTCTAGTTATAATGATCATACAAAATGCAATACATTTTTAAATACATGCACAGTTGCTAGATTTGGAGGATGCACAGATAAATTATCTTCTTGCTCATTATATAAATAATAATCTTAATGTTATTAAAGTTCATCTGGTGTTAAATGTTATTGGAATACTTTAACTTCTTTGTGTACAGATGCTATTTGTACAAATGCAGTTTCAACTCTAACAACTCATGAAGATTGTTAAAATTTTTTGAATACTTGCACAGTAAATACTGCCGGAGGCTGCATTCCTCTTGTAGCATGTAATCTATACACTACTCCTTAGTCATGCGTAAAATCTAATGTTGGAGAAATTTGTGAATGGTAATCCCAAACAAGTACTTGTAATATAAAATCTTGCACAACTGCTGCACTTGATAACACTAGAGATACTCATGAAGAATGTCAAGATTACCTTCCAAATTGTACAGTCACTGCTACAGGAGTTGGTGGATGTGTTCCTTTGAATGAATGCCATACTTATTTATCTGAGAGATAATGTAAAATAAATTAAAGCGGGTCTTTATGTGGATGGAATGGTTTAGTTTGTGCAAATCGTTCTTGTTAGACTGCTCCTCCAACAGTAACATATAGTAATGATAGTTCTTGTTAAAATTATATGGATGGATGTACAGTAGTTGAAACTGGATATGGTTGCATACCTAGAAAAGCAGAATGTTCAGATTATAAAATTAGTAAATAATGTGTAAAAACAATAACAAATTAATTATGTTATTGGAATAAGGAATTACCAATAGCAATTTGTGAGGTTAGAACATGTTTTAATGCACCTATTGATTCACTAACACCTGAATTATGTGAATAACATTTAAATTTATGTTCTTCAAATATGCAGTATTGTAGATTAGAAGAATGTGAAGATCTCTCCTACACAACAGATTTTGAATGTAAATACTTCAATAGTAAATGTACAACTAATGGAACTAAATGTGTATTAAGAAAGAAATGCTCAGATGTATAAAATAGTGCTGGTTGTGTTATGGATGATTAATTTAATGAATGTGAATGGTATAATTAAGAATGTGTGTTAAAAGATTGTTACACTGCTCCAGCTTTTACAACTGAATAGGAATGCAATTTATATAAAGAAGGTTGTACAACTAAATTATTTGGTGGTTGTCGATAAAAGACTGCTTGCACAGAGGCTAATGTCGAAGAAGCGTGTACAACATCCAACATTGGCGAAGAATGTGTATGGGAACATGGCTTTTGTAGAGCTTAAAAATGTGAGGATTTTGATGGTAGTTATGATGATATTTGTGATGCTTAGAAGAAAGGATGTGTTAGTGATGGAACTTAATGTGTGCTACCAAGATTTTGTTAATAAATACTAATTAAAGATTAATGCATTAAAGGTATAGATGGACCATGTATATGGTATGAATTTGGTTGTACACTATTTCTCTCTTGTTCCAGCATTAAAAGTAATTTAGATAGTATATGTAAATCTGCTAATAGTTTATGTACTACAGATGGTCTCAAATGTGTAGGATTAGAAAAGTGCTCGAATTATAAAATATAAGAAGCATGTAAAACTGGTTTAGATGGAAATTGCTAGTGGATATAATCTTAAGAGAAATGTTTATTATTTGCAAAATGTTCTGATTTACCTTATTTAACTCATATTGATTGTCAAAATGCTTCATCGAAATGTACCACAGATTCTTTAAATGGATGTATTGATTTAAAATAGTGTTACAATTATAAGTAGAAAGAATAATGTAAAATAAGTTCTCAACCACCAAAATTGTTAAATAAATAAGTAATTTAAACAGGATAATGTGCATGGGTAAATGGTAAATGTAGAGATTAATTATGTGAGGATATAAGTGGTGAAACTCATGAGCTATGTTAATCTAAACTTAAAGGATGTACTTCTGATGGAATTAATTGTATTACTATGCAATAGTGTTCTTAATATACTGATATTGTAACCTGCAATCTTGCCTTAGGAACTGATGGTAAATGTATATTTTCTACGGATGGTTGCAGAGCTCTCGAATGTACTGATATTAAAAATGGAACTAATCATTTTACTTGTTAGAATTTCAATTCTAATTGTATTTCTAATGGAGAAAAATGTATAAATTAAGTGAAATGTGAATATTTTTCTAATTAGTTTGCCTGCACTTATTTAGGATTAGATGGATAATGTGCTTGGAATGGATCTAGCTGTGTATTGATGAAATCTTGTGAAGATGCTCATTTTGATATGTTAGCTTGTTAAAAAGTAGCTGAATTCTGTAATTGGGTATCATATACTAATGGCACTTCAAAATGTATTCCTCAAACATGTTAAACCATAGGAGCTCTAAATAAATGTAATTATATCAAAGATTTTAATACTAAAAAAATATCTATATGCTTATGGTCTAATTCAATTTGCTAATCTGTTGATCCTATTAATTTACAAAGTAATGAATGCAATATCAACACTTTAAATACTTATAGATGGAATCCACTCAATAACACTTGCGAAGCTTGCTCTCTTTCAATAATCAATAATTCCATTGCTGTCAGCTATCTTCATTTATTATCCATCGCGATAATATATACAATATTATTATGAAATATCATTCAACATAATATATATAGAAAATATTTATTTTTCCATTTCAAAATTATTAACAGCAATGTATTTATCAAAACCATTATCACATTACTTTCCACTTCAATATCCAACTTTACCAGAATTGCCTTAAAGAGAATTCCCTAAGTTGATTTATGACTCTAGATACGAAATAGAAGATAAATATTACAGAAATTAAATCTAAAATCAATAACAGCAAGATTTTACATAAGCTCAATAGGAACATCAAAATATGGAAAGAACTTTTAACAAATACAACTAAGTTTAACAAGATTTTAAAACTATGAATTAAACATAGAGCAATAAATTAAATACTAATTAACAGCATGAACCACCAATTTCTCAAAAATACAATTAAATTACAGATTCAGACATTAGGTTTGTTTCTTATGTGTTTTAGGAAGAAATTCAATTTAGAAAAGAATTCGTTTAAATTAACAAGAAATTAAAACAACTTTAACCAAACCTATTATAATTATTTTTTGCATTCACATCTGATAATCATTATGTAATAATTAATTAAATTTATAGAAAATTGAGAAGTTTAAATTTTTGGAAGTTCTTTAATCTTATTAAGATGACATTAAAGTTTGTGATTTAGAATTGTTATTTAGCTACTTGAATAATTGGAAACGTTCCTAATCTATTACTTATGGATAATTTCTCTAACTTATAATCCCTTATGTTAAATATGATGAAATGCCTGACCCTGCAGATTTAAAGTATCAATAGGATTCCCCTACATAAGAATAAATGGAAATTTTTTGTAGATTAATTTAAATGAAATTATAAATGATGTCTACTCTTGAATACTACAGACAAAAAATTGATAAAGCTCTAATCAATTTAGTGTAGATTTTTGAATTCATAGACCAAGACAAAGATGGATGGATCAAAGCATTTGAAATCACTAAACTTTTATGTAATTTAATTCAATTTATTAATTTTTAGAATAATTTGGCTATTTAGTTACTATTGAAGAAGCTTCACTTGTTTTATAAGATATTGATGAAAGAGGATAAATTAACATCAATCAATTTGTCCATTATTACAAACCAAAATCTTAAGCAATATATTTATGATATATCTATAATAATTATTATTACAATATTAAATTATAATAAAACTAGTCTTGTTAAAAAGATTATATTTTTACGAAAATAAATTATCTAATCAATTATTCTGTTAATTTTAATTTGGAAGCTCTCCATGTTAATTAATATATTCTATGATTTCTGCAAATTGTCTTTATTCAGGTTAATACTTTGGTATATCCTCTCTACTAGTATAAAGTCCTAATGGGGCTATTCTATTTGATTTTAATGGAATAAATTCATCATACTCCTTTCCCCAGTCATTATAATGAATGAATATTTCTTTTTTTCCAATTTATTTTATTGTTGCCACACACCATATAAATTATTAATCCATTATATCAACTTGTTGGTTGATGAAAAAATTATCTACTCTAATTTAGAAATATTCCTATACTATTTAGATTTATTCCATTATTCCATCTCCTGTTATCTATTTTTAAAATGATCAATTTATGTTTGATCTCCATATTAATTAACTAAATCAATGATTCTATTATCAAAACTTTTACAATATTAGAAAGAGTGTGTTTTAATTTTCACTCTGCAAACAGGACATTCCTATTATTAAAATAACTTATTACTGCTTTTCGCATTAAACTATCAAATATACACATTTCACAAAATGCATGCCCACATTAAGTTGTTGTAACTTTTTAGAAGATTTCTAGACATATTGGGCAAATTAAATCTTCAAATTTAGGCCTTGCTTATTGCTATAATTTAATTTCTAAGAGAAAATAATTCGAGTGATTTTTACTTTTTCTCCTTTCATTATAAGCCTAATCAATATTGTCTCTTTTTCGCATCTTTTTTAAAAAACTATCTTTCAATTATTCTTTATTGATCAATTCCAAATTAACTACTTAATCAATATGTTCTTCAGATGCACAAATCATTAGATTATTATAAAAATAATTAATATAATTTAATCAATGATTAATTGAAAAATGCCGCATTTAGATCTGCACTCCTTTATTTTTGTTTTTAAATATTTAATATTTTAAAAGTTTATAGTACTTGTATAATATAAAATATCAAAATTTTATTCATTATTAATGTTCAATAAATCTGACTTATTTTTTTCCTTTTATTGTTTTTAAAAATTCTTAAATTTTTTCATTATCCTAATCCGAATCTTTATGATTAAAATAAATATAGTTTGGTGTTTATAATCTTAATTGTTTTTGTGCTTACTTTAAACTTGCTCTATACGATTTAACTATTAAAATTACGCTCTTTGAGTATGTATGGTAGGGATTCGAAAAGCATCAATGAATTAGTCAAAATAATGACTCTCATATTCCTTTAGATCTTTTTGATAGTTATATTTTATCTTTTAAACTTTTGAAGGGCTTGAAAATTTAATTCGAAAACTAGGGTTCATTCTTAAAGGGGTATGAGGTTATGAGAGTTTTTCATTGATGTTGAATTCAAATTATTTTTATCTTTTCATTTATATTAAAATTTATAACAAAAAACCTAAATTTTTTTCACAAAAATAATTATATGCTTTTTATCTTTATAGATCATTTCTCTATATACGATTTTTAAAAACATGGGCATTCAGACTTTTCAAAATAGGGGAATTTATCAGAATTCCTTAAACAATTTTACCAAATTTATTTTGTTATTGTTTTAAATATCTTAAATTTATCAACTGTTATTTTAAAAATAATTTATTTAACCATCAAAGACCTTAAATCATGTAATTAAATTACAGATTTTAATTTTGACTCTTCAGTTGGATCCAAAGTTAATTTAAATAAATTTTCAAGCAATTTTACCAAACTAATTAAAGGAACAAATTTTTTAATATTCTCTTAATTGTAACTTTTCCATTTATCAAAATATTTATCTTATTCAATTAAAGATTTTAATATTCTATCAGATTAGATTTATTCCATTTATTATAAACTTTATATTTCTTCTTGCTAATATTATTTTTATTAACTCTTTTAATTAGACAATTATTATGTTTGAGTAAATGATCTAACTTAAGATTCTCTAACATTCTGAACATCTTATTAAAATTGCTAACTCTTAATAAAACTTTAATTTACAATAGGATTATGAGTACCATGTTTATTCCACCAAACTTATAATTTCTTTTATGAGATCTATAATTCATGAAAAAATTTAATGCTATCCTTAATTTTGGTTACATTTTGTATAAGATCAAAATTATCATCAGGAAAAAAGTATATGATTTAGGACACTGTTCCAATCAAATTCTATAAACTGATTAACATATTTGGAGATTTTAATAGTAAATCATAATTAGCCATTAATTTAATTAATTTACAAATTATTTCAGAACTTTGTAAATTTAGTTTGCCTATCTCTGAAGATATATTGAATAATATTTAAGTTATTTCCATTAATTTATTTTCCTTAATAGATAATAACTCTTTTAGTATTTTATCACAAAGTGCTGTAACTAGTAAATCAGCCCAAGAACCAACACTAATTGGAGCATCAGTAAAAGTTAGAGTAAACTCTTAATTCTCACATAATTATTTATTTAATTAAGGTTAAGCACTTAATAATTTAAGTATCTATAAAGAAACCTTTTATATATATTTTTTTGAATTAAAATAGGACAATAAAAAGACAACCATTATATTTGGGACTATTTTTTAATTTAATAAAAATACCATTATGTACAGTTCTTGCTGCTATATAACTCAAAAAAATGAAATTGCTTTCAAAATTTGATAATTATTTTTCAAAGGTTCCTCTTATAAATTATTGTTAAGATTTGTAATAAGAATAAAACTTTTATGTTAATTAAACTATAATTCCTTCTAATATTTATTAAGGTAAATTAATAAATTAAGGGAATGGAATGTTAAATAGTGAAAAATGTTCTTTAGCCTTTTTCATCTCTTCAAACTCTTTTCCAAAAGATAATGCATCTTGATATATAAAACCTATATTTGTTACAATAATAAAAATACCTTATCCTCCTATTACGAGTGATGTTAGTTTTAAGCATACATTTTATAGATTCTCTTCAATTTAATTAGGCATATTAACAAAACCTCTTAAAAATTATTTAATTCTTTCAGTTGGAAATATTGAAAATGCTATTATTGATACTAATAGTTCTGGAAAAAATTTAATTTTTTGTAATACTAATAAAGCTGCATTAGGTGTTTAAACAATCCATTTTTGAGATTATTTTAAATTATTATGTTCGTTGCTACTATGTTTTTCTTAATTTTTTTGCGCTTAAAATTATTCATCAATTTCTTCTTGATTATTAGATTGTTTCATTTCATTAGAGTTTTAAGTTTAACTCTCTTTTTCTTCAGTTATTTCTTAGATTTCAATTTCAAAAAAAAACTCTGATTAAAATAATGAAGAACTAACTAAGGCAAATATACAAGATAAAACTAGATATCGATTTTCAAAATATTTAGCTACATCATTTGGATATTTGCATTAAATATTAAAACCTTTCCATATATAGCCAACTTACAATTAGTATGAGTTCCAAACATTATGATAATACTATTTAAAAAATTGTAATAGTGTATCATTCTTTTCAACTTATTCCTTTAAAAAATTAATAGATATAAATTAATACATTATATTCTAAAGCATCAATTGTAAATCCAAAGTGAAAACATAATTAAAATAATCTAATTAGAAGTGAAATTATGAGAGGAGGATCTCGTTCTTAAATTTCTTCATTAGGCTTAGAAATTTTAGTATGCCATAATATTTCTTTCATTTATTCTTTAAACTATCCTTCATATAACACTGGAAAAATTGTTGTTAATATTCTCAAACTATTTTTCCATTATCTATATTAAAAATGAGATTCTAAATCATTTTAATTATCACAAAGAAATTTATGTAAATAATGAATTACTCCTTATATTCTTTTTGGTGATTATTTTAATATATCCCGAATGTCAGATGGATAAAAAGCATTGAGATAATCTTCTTAAGAAATATCAAGAAGTAAAATAGACTTCAATTCTTCTATTATGGCATTTTGTTCATCTTATTTTAATAAATTGACAAATTTTGCCTTTGCATTATTCTAATTTCCCATTTAATTTATTCTAATTAATTAATTTAGATAAATAAATTTATATATCATGATAATAAAGATTATTCAATCTTTTAACATGTCGATTCTAAAAGTTTTAATAAAGATTTCTCTTGTTTTTCTCTTTAAAATTATTCTTACTAAAATAATTAATAAATATATTTTCTTACTTCTAAATCATTTTATATAGATTAATCTAAATCTTAAAGTAATCTTATAGTTGTTTCATAAGATTCTTCTGATATTCTTTTTTCTTCACTTAATTATTCTTATAATCTTAGAATTTCTTCACCAAAACCTCTTATCAATTTTTCAGCATTTTAATCCCTTATTTATTTTTCTTATTCAAAATAATATCTTAATTCTTCAAGTTCTTTTTCAATATTTTCAATTTATTTCTCTTCATATTCTGTTCTTTAAACATTATCTTTTTTTAATTCTCCTTTCATTGCTTATATTTTATCATCAATTTCAGCAAAAATTTCTTATTCATTTACTTTTCTACTCGAATATTCTTCATTTAAAGATAATGAAAAATTTTTTTCAATTAAAGTTAATGATTTCAAACTTTTTTCACAAATTAACTTAAATAAATGTTTATATTTACTTATCTTTAATCTCTTTCACTGTATAATGTTTCTTCTAATTTTTCATATTATTCATATAATAACTAAAATAATAAAAATATGTAAATACTCTAAATTTTTAATTATCATTAATCTCTCCTTTTTGAATTCTCTCCTCAAGTAATTTAATTTTTTGAAAATATAAATCTCTTCTATTCTAAATAAATTAAAAATAAAAAACTACTTTATCATCTTTAACATTTGTTGATAGTCCTTGCAATACACGATTCAATTCGTTAATACGATCTTGATTTTAACTAGGTGATGCATTTCTCTATCATTTTAATATCAAATCTTTACATTTGAATAGTCAGATTCATCATGTTTCTTTGTCGCAGTAGCACTTTTGAACATTATTTTTAAATTTAATTTTAAGGTTAACTGTATTAAATATGTATTATTTATTTTTTATAAATGTAAGACGAAGAAAAAATTTTAGAATAGTTAAAAGAACTTGATAAAGCCTAAGATAAAAATCCAGTAAATAATATAATCTAACTCTAATTAGGTAACTTTAGCATCATTAAAAACTTTAAAATCTGCCATTTATAACAGAGATGTTGATTTATAAACTGTAGTGAAATTAAGAACTTTAAATGAAACTACATTGAAATCAGAAAACATCAAAATATACTTCTGTTCTCTATGTGGTAAAAAGGCAATAGGAGCAAATATTGGATTAGATACTCTACCAACAAGAAGATCAGATAATAGCATTGCAATTAATTTAAAACAAATCTTTATCCGATTATTTTTAAAATAGGAAGGAATCAAATACATAAAGCGTTCTAATTGTATAAATAATCTTATTATTTTAAGCTGTTGAGAAATAATATCGTTGGTGCTGTGAAGAATGTGGTGTACATGTAGCATATTAATGTGTTAGTTATGAAGAAGGTGCAGAATTAATATAGGGTAATTCAGATATTTAATTATCAAATAAACCTTATCTATATGTGCTTAATGATGCAATCGTTTTAAATTAACAATTTTCAAAATTGCATAGTGAAATTGCTAAACTTAAAGATTAAATGGAATATGAATAATTAAAATGAGTCCGCTATCATAGAAAATAATATAATTAATTAATAAAATACATTGATTTATTCTCTATCTTTTTTTTTTTTAAATGAATAAATGTGGTCAAAATAATATAAAAATATATTGCTGCATATTTATCAACTCATCCAAAATAATTAAGACTCAATTAGTAAACGTTGGATAATACAATACCTAAAATAAATGGTAAAATAAATTTAAATAAGGAAGAACCTATTAATAATTAATTAATAAACCTTTTTTCAATTTAGAGATTTCAATTGTATTATAGATTTATTCTCTCTTTCTTTTTTCTTCTGCCTTTATGTAAAATATATTAATATTACTAGTTACAATTCAATTTATTTGATTTTTTGAACACATTAAACTTAATTAGTTAATGAAGTTGGTTAAATCATTGATTACATAGCAGTCTAAGATTCTGTTCTACTATTTGACTATTAAAAATGTAAAATAATATTTATACAAGAACAGATGTATGACTTGAACCTAAATTGGTACCATAAATTGTAATTTTTTTACCAAATTCTTCTTTCAATACACTTGTACATAATCTAATATTAAAACCTGTTTAATTTTGAAAAAGATTATCTATTTCAGCAATCTAACAATATAATTGGTTTTTTACAGATTTCTTGTCTTGTACATTAATTACATAAATTTAGAATTTTTGATTCACGATATGTTTTGAATCCAAATTCTTCCTATATTCTTATGAATTATGTACTTTAGCTCTATCTGTTGTACTGAATTCTACAATTTCTGATTAATGTGGTGAGATTAATCCTCGACTTTGTTTGACAGAAAATAATTCTGGTTTTGTGGATTTTATCTATCAAATATGTTTTTCTTTAACTTTATATGCTAAGTATTAAGATGTGACATTTTTTAAACTCAAATTGTAAGGAATATAAATGTCATTTTTGGATTCAAAGATAATCTCATTTGATGAAACTTCAAGCATATTAAAAATTAAATAAAAATATTCTAATATATTCCAATTATAAATATAATTCTCATAATTATAATAAAATAAGGATTAAATTAAACACAAGAATTAGAATTAAGTTTATTTTTCGTTGTGATTAGCCAAATTCTAAATCTAATGATTAGGATATTTAAAATTTTCAAAATGTTATGTTATAAAGCCTTTTATTGAAATATATATCTCACATATTAATTTATGAATTTTAAGAAAGGAACTTTAGAATTACTTGGATATGAAAACATAGAATGCTCAATTCCAACAACTTTACTTGTTAATTTTTCTGCTTATTTTACTGCTATATAACAAAATCCTCTAAAAAATGAATCTCAAGAAAGTATTTATTACTATACAACCTACCTTAGCTTCTGAAAATGGTTTAATATTTGTTTCAGCAATAAGTCAAAGTAATACTCCATAGATGTCATCTCAATAATTAAGGTCTGTACAATCTAAAAGTTCTAAAGGAAAGATCAGAACATTTTTTCCTTAAAGTAAATAATCATTTCATATTTTAAATAGAATGGCCTGTTCAAAAAGCTAATATGAGTCCATTTTCTTTTTCAAAATATTCTCATTTTCAATCACTAACAAGTCGATATTGGTACTATTTAGACAATAGTAATAATGTTTAAGGTAAAGTTCTACCCTTATCATATATGTTTAGGCCCTTTTTCTTGTGTTGAAATGGATAACTGGTATCGAAAAAATCTACTCAATCCTGATTTGTTGATTAGCTACAAATCTCATGATCTAACTTCGTTTGTGAAAATCAAAGATATCTTAAACGATTCTGAAAATCAAAAATGTGATAAAATTTTACGTCAATTATATAAAAGAGCTACTAGTGCTAAAAGAATAAGTATGTAACATCTTTAAATATAGAAAATAAAAATTCAAGTGCTTCTCCTATAAGTAAGGCATCAACTGAATTATCTTCTAGTAACACAAACAGTTGCTAAAAATCAAGACAACCCATTTGGGGAGTCGATACCGATTATTTTTTAGGTTTTTGAAGTTATATCTAAAAATTTTATATCATTTATCATTTTAAACTAGAAAAAAAAAAATTATTTCATTAATTTTAATTTTTTCAATTTAATAAATTTATTTAGTTCGAAGAACAAACTCTTAAATATAAAAGCAATATTATTGAATTTATAATTATTCAGTCAGGATAGTAACTTTCTTAGAATTCTTCTAAAGGGGGTCGTTCCAATGTCATCGACAAATTATTAGTGAAATTCCTAATATTTATTTTAACTATTACGTCTAATGCTATGCTTATCTATTCTAATTATGATTGATGTTATTAGAATATCTCTGTATTTTATCTTTAGCATTCTCCAATTTCTTTTAAAATTATGGTGCGTGTACTAATGACTGGACTGAGATCATCAAACTCCTATTAATTTCTTTATTACTTGCTGTTTAAGAGATATATTTTCTACAATATAACTTTTAATATTTACCTAAAACTCATCTATTATTAAATTTGTTTTTCCTACATAGGCTCCTATTTAGATTGTTTCTAAGCCAGAATATCCTAAAACTGTTTCTAATCTTGTAGTGTCCCTTACATTATCATCTTTAATAATTTAGTCGAAACTCCATCCTTAAGTCTCTGAGGTGGTTTTTTTTGTATCTCTACTGAATCTCCTTTAGTATTACTATCAAATGAAATCTTATTCCTAGAGTTTCTTATGTTATAATTACAGTTCTATTGTATCGATTTTCTTTTGCAATTTAATTATTTCTTCTGCTTAGGAATTTTTTAATTTTATTGCATTATCCAATTATTATCTAGTTTATAATAATGAATTATGCATTTCATTCCTTTCTTGCATAAGTTATTTAACTGTGCATTCTAATTAATATTCTCTAGAAAGTGGATTAAAACCTGAACTTTCCTATTGTTACAACATAAAAAATAAGAATAATATAATACTATTATTTCTGAGTTTCTAATGTAAACATCAATTACTAATTAATTTAGGTAAGACACTATTATTATTTTTCAGACTCATATTTATATTTCTAGAATTCTATAGTTAAATCTTCCTATTAATTATTTATTAAATTTATACTAATTATTTTTGTAGATTTTATTTCTATTAGATCATTTCACTCTTTTTTTATGTATATGATTGTTTTAGTTTTTATAATTTTTCTCTTTCCTTTATTTAATACATAGAAAATTAATCTTTTACTGTAACCATAATTTAATATATTTCTTAAACTTTCTCTTACTCAACTTAAAGTTATCTCCTTAATTTAGACATTACTTCCTAAATTTGATATAATATATGTGGATCCTCCATTTTATCACCCAACATAGCCAATAGTTTTTCAACATCAGAGATCTCTTCATTTTCTTGTGTTGATTTTATTAATGTTTGTTCATTATCATCAAATTTTATATTTAATTCATCGTCATCAGTTTAAAATGAAAAATTATCAATATCTAATAATTTATTAGATTTTGGTGAAGGAGGTTAAGAATCTATTCCAAATGATACANAGAATATCTCTGTATTTTATCTTTAGCATTCTCCAATTTCTTTTAAAATTATGGTGCGTGTACTAATGACTGGACTGAGATCATCAAACTCCTATTAATTTCTTTATTACTTGCTGTTTAAGAGATATATTTTCTACAATATAACTTTTAATATTTACCTAAAACTCATCTATTATTAAATTTGTTTTTCCTACATAGGCTCCTATTTAGATTGTTTCTAAGCCAGAATATCCTAAAACTGTTTCTAATCTTGTAGTGTCCCTTACATTATCATCTTTAATAATTTAGTCGAAACTCCATCCTTAAGTCTCTGAGGTGGTTTTTTTTGTATCTCTACTGAATCTCCTTTAGTATTACTATCAAATGAAATCTTATTCCTAGAGTTTCTTATGTTATAATTACAGTTCTATTGTATCGATTTTCTTTTGCAATTTAATTATTTCTTCTGCTTAGGAATTTTTTAATTTTATTGCATTATCCAATTATTATCTAGTTTATAATAATGAATTATGCATTTCATTCCTTTCTTGCATAAGTTATTTAACTGTGCATTCTAATTAATATTCTCTAGAAAGTGGATTAAAACCTGAACTTTCCTATTGTTACAACATAAAAAATAAGAATAATATAATACTATTATTTCTGAGTTTCTAATGTAAACATCAATTACTAATTAATTTAGGTAAGACACTATTATTATTTTTCAGACTCATATTTATATTTCTAGAATTCTATAGTTAAATCTTCCTATTAATTATTTATTAAATTTATACTAATTATTTTTGTAGATTTTATTTCTATTAGATCATTTCACTCTTTTTTTATGTATATGATTGTTTTAGTTTTTATAATTTTTCTCTTTCCTTTATTTAATACATAGAAAATTAATCTTTTACTGTAACCATAATTTAATATATTTCTTAAACTTTCTCTTACTCAACTTAAAGTTATCTCCTTAATTTAGACATTACTTCCTAAATTTGATATAATATATGTGGATCCTCCATTTTATCACCCAACATAGCCAATAGTTTTTCAACATCAGAGATCTCTTCATTTTCTTGTGTTGATTTTATTAATGTTTGTTCATTATCATCAAATTTTATATTTAATTCATCGTCATCAGTTTAAAATGAAAAATTATCAATATCTAATAATTTATTAGATTTTGGTGAAGGAGGTTAAGAATCTATTCCAAATGATACATTTTTTTTCTTAATTTAAGGATTTACAAAATGAGTTATTATTTAATCCTATGTGAGTTCCTTTGTTAGAATTGAATCTAATTTAGAAAGTGTTTCTGAAAAATTAACAATACTTTAAAAGGTTCTCTCTTCAATTTCTTTATCATATTATTCAGTCATGAAAATATCTTTTGTTGATTCTGAATCAGAAGGACAATAATTAAATTAATTCTTAAGATTTAGATTAGCAAGGAAAAAATCTAAATCTTATTTTGTTGAAGAAAGTGCTCTTCGAAAATCAAATAATTTTTATTCATTTTCCAAAATTTGAGTTTTTAACTATTCATTTTCAAAAATAAATTTTTAATTATTTTTTAAACATTCAGATAATTACTATTTTAAATGATCTTCATTTAATTTCAATTTTTAAATTTTTTCTTATTGCTCATCAATTCTACTCTAATAATTTATTTAAAGTGCTGCCAACTCTGTTTTTTAAAATTCTAATTCTTCTTATAAATTTACAACTAATTTATGTTCTTTCAATAATTACAAAGATGAGTGTTATTTAGATAATGCAATATTTTATTAAGTTCCTTAGTTTTAATTTCCTTTATCAGATACAATTAAATTTCCATTCTCCACTTTTTCCATTAATTTATTTATTATTTCATCCTAATCTAATATCTTTTATTCTGCAATGTCAAGTAAAGCTTACAATTCTTTAGCACTTTTTTCAGCATTAATAGTAGGTTTATTTTTTATAGCTTTTGCTCTAGCCCCAAACCTTAAAGTACTTAAAGTTTCTTTATCATTATATGAACACATAGAACAAGCTACTACTAGTGTTGTTTTAGCATTTCCTCCAAGTGATTCACTTAATATTCTTGTTAATTTAGAGTCTCTATAGGGTATATGTTCTTTTTTATCAGAAGTTAAAGCATTTATAACCATACCTAAACAAGTTAAAGATTTATTAATATTTTTAGCTTCTTCCAATTGTTAACCAGAAACATTAGTTTTTGCTATTTTTTCTGATCCTGCTAAATCAACAAAGTATAATTTGCTAAGTTTACTGGAATCAGTTTTTAAATTTTTTTCACTCACTTAAATTTAGAACAATGAATGTGATCTGGATGATCTTTCATTCATTCTAGTAGCAGCTATAGTTCTATTATTTGACCCAGTTAACATAACTTATTTCATTTCTTCTGGAGATTAAACTTTAATCTCTGTAAGATTCTATACAAAAATTCCTCTAAGTCTATCTTCTTTAATTTTTAGGTTAGTTTTATTAGTATCTAATAAATCCATAATTTTTTCATTATAAATTTCTAAAAAAGAGACTTTGACAATATATATTAAGTCATCTGATTTACTATGAACAACATCAAATAATTCAGTCATTACTCTTGGTATTAATCCTTTAGTCCTATCATTAGGATTATCAGGTCCCTATATAAATTGATTATTTATAATACTTCCATGGTAAATGTTTTTCCAGATGAAGTTTAACCATAAGCAAAAATGGTTCCATTATAACCATTCATAACACTATCTAAAATTGGTCTTCCTACTTCTTCAAAAACATCTGCTTATTCTGAATCAGGTCCAAATATACGATCAAAAGTGAAATCTGATTTATCATTGGAGCCAAACTAAATTATTGATAGACTCAAATCTCATACTGTAACAGTAATTTATTTTTCATTAAAAGTAACACAGCATTCACCTCCTTATTACATTTCAAGAGCATTAAGTGGTCTTAATCTAGCAACTACTTTGATATTCTATCCTTCTTTCATGTTAAAATATAATAATATATTAAATGAACTTATTTTAGCAATTAAAATTAGACTCATTTCATCATTAATTAGGTATGATAAATTTAAAATAGGTGTTATACAATATTATCTATTAAATACAAATACTATCTATAGAATAAGGAATTTATATCCTGTTTATATATACTGAAAAGAATTTAATGCTATTATGCTATTATATTAGATCTAAAAAGGCTTTATTTGTTTTATCATCTGATTAAGTAAAGGAATGATAATTAAAATATAAAAATCATAAAATAATATATAAATGTAAAATGCATTAATACTGCTATATTATTATATTATTATTATTAAAAGTAGTTATAAAAAACATAATAATTAGTTAAAAAGGAAATAGGGAAAAGTGTGTTGAAAAAAATAAATAATAAATTTATTTAAAAATATGACGACATAATTGGAATTCTTAATAATAAATTAATTTTAGTTATAAAATATACTTATCTTACATTAATCTAGTACCAAGTCTTACAAGAGGAAATAAAAAGAGAGAGTGTGAATTCATATAGGATAATAAATTTAAGTAGAAATGTTTATGTTTAGTTATGGAATATGAATTAGTTTTTAACTTTAAATAAATAATAAATTGTATAATTCATAGGTTGTTTGACAATTAAACTAAAATTTATAACTGTATATTGGATAATATTAATATAATTGTGAATAAACAAAGGTTTTTGTCATTTTGAAGTAGTATTAGATTATTTTAATCAAATAATAAAATAAGTAAATAGAAAATAGAAAAGATGGGTTGTGGTGCTGCAAAACCAATTAAATAACATAGTAAACAAAATTCTCCTTGTTCTCACAAAAAAGAGAATTAGCCATAAGTATCGCTGATGGTAGAAAGTGAAAAAATAGAAACAGATTATATTTTCCACGCTTTGGATCCTTTAGTGAGTAAGTTATTTATATAATAATAAAAATAGGTCGTAGAAATTATATAAAGAAGGCAGTTTCTAAGAGTAATAATGCTAGTCGTATAGTAAAGGTATACAATTGTTTAAATTTGACAATTTCTGAAAAACAAGAATTAGAAAAAATAGTGCATGTTTAATTGCAGATTGTAAGTCTTATCACATATTTAAGAAACATTTAAACTTAGTCAATCTATAATCATATTATTATAATGATAATAAATTATATTTAGTGAGTGAATTTTGTGAAGGAGGCAATCTTTTAGCCTGTTTGGATCATTTTAGTAAACTACAACAATATAAGATGATAGATGTGTTCTGTTAGATAATGGCAGCAATAAGATATTTACATAATTAAGGCATTGCACATGGGTATGTTAAGTTATGGCATTTTAGAAATATCTAATTAGAAAGTATAGTATTTACAGATAGAAGCATGGATAATGTAAAGTTAATAGATTATGGTATTTCTAATTCTTTGAAAGCTGCTTGTTTATAATGGAGAGCAAATGGAGGGATCTAAGAAATATCTTTCAAATCACCTGAATCTTTAAAATAATCAACTCTTTTATCTACTAAATCCGATATATGGTCATGTGGATGTTTATTGTATTTCTTTTTAACTTCTCATATGCCATTTTAATCAAGAGATGTCTAAGCATTAAAAACTGCTATATAAAGAGGAATAGTTAATTTTGAAGGATCTGAATGGATGAATATCAATCCAGATATGAAATAACTTGTTAGTAAAATGCTTAGTTCTAATCCATAAATGAGACCTACAGCATCTGAAGTTATAAATAATCCTATTTTCTCTAATAGAGCTAAAATTATTACTAAACCTAATAAATAACTTTCTAAACATATGAAAGATTTTAAAGTATATCTATTTTATTTCTATTCTAGTAATAATCATAAATGTAAAGTGCTATGTTGAATTATATTGCAGAAAATATGTTATAAGAATAAGATAAAAAAAGATTAATGGAAGAATTCTAAAAATTTGATCTCAATAAAGATGGATAACTTACTAAAGAAGAACTATTAAAAGTTTATAATACTATGTATTCATCTGAATAAGCTACTCAAGAGGTTGAAGCTATATTCTCGAAAATTGATTAAAATGGAAGTGGAAGAATTGATTATTCAGGTATCTTTATTTTATCATTCTTAGAATTTGTTATTGCTACAATAGATTAAAAAAAATATTTCAATAGAGAAAAATTGCTCACTTTATTTCAATAAATAGATAGAGATCATAGTGGATAATTAAGCAAATTAGAAGTTAAAAAATTATTAAGAGACATGCAAGTTCCTTAAGAAAAACTTGATCAATTATCTAAATAGTTAGACCATGATGGAGATGGTCAAATTACTTAAGAAGAGTTTTTATAAATTATGTCGTCTATTGCATGAAATATTTTTTAATTATTTATATTATCATCCTCCATTATATTAATATATTAAATTCATATCTAAGTATTATCTATCATTAATAAGTTATTAGATAAAATCATACATAAATATTTTAATCCGATTATTTTAATCTATTCTTCATAAGAATAATCTATAATTATTATTATTAAAATTAAAAAAACTTCTTCTTAGTCAAGAAAATAAAACAAATATATAGAGTATTTAAAATAAAATATAAAAAATTAAAATTAAAATTAAACTCTATCAAAATTTAGATAAATTAAATTATTAATTCTCTCAATATTTATGTTTCTCAAATAACTTTAATAAAAAATATAAACATGTTCAGTATGAAATATTTCACGGCAATAAAACGTATTATAATATTTAATAACACTTCCATAATTTAATACTATAAATGTGATTTGGGATACTAATTAAATTGTTCAAGTATTAGATCGCCAGGATGATCCAATTTTGAATGAAACTTTAAAAATGATAAATAATCATTAATTAAATAAAGCGATAGAAATATTAGCTTAAAGTATGAATATACAAAAATTTGATTTGTAGTAGAAGAAGATGTAAAAAATATTTTGGATAATAATCTCAAGTATAATTAATAATGAAATTTACATTATTGGTTGTATAAGTGCAATATCAATGTTAGAAAATGATTCAGCATCAGCATTAATTTTGCTATTTGGATATAATTAAATTTTTAAAGGATTAACACAAAAATAATAAGGTTATCTAAAAATTTAGATTCTTAATGGATTAGGCTATTATAATAGAAGAGTAGGATAATTGGAAAAAGCTTTAAAATAATTAGAATGTGCATTAAAAGTGATAAAAAAATATAGTTTATAAGAGGTTGCAGTTACTCATTTAAATTTATCTGTAGTATTGTCTTTAATTAAAGATTATTATTGAAATTATATTAGAATTGAGAAATGAAGGATCATTAAGAAATGCAAAGAATCCAGTTATACAAAATCATAGAGAATATTAATACTATATTAGAAATCATGTATCAATGTAAATATTTAAGTTTCAATGTTGTGTAAATTCTTTAACAATCTCCTTTTACAATGTTGGAGTTTAGGAAAACAATTTTTAAAAACATTAATTTGCATTTTAAGCATATGCATTAAAGTTTCTGAAGATAATTTAGGAATACATAGTTGTCTTACTAATCAACTTAAAATAATTTATGAAGAATTTGCAAGATTAATAGTTATAGTAGAAACTACCTTTACATTAAAAATCTTAAATTTGACCAAATGTTACTAGTTAATATACTTAAAATCTATTATCAAAAAAATTACTGAAAGGCTTATTTAATTAGAAACCAATAGATCAGGTTATTTGATTCGACCAAAATCAAAATTAGCAATTATGAGACAAACTTAAAGTTTAAAATTAAAATCATTTGAATTTAATATTAAAAAATAGATGTCTACTACTACATAATTTAAATAAATTAAATGAAGAAAACTTAAAATTGAAAAGATAAAATAGAAAAGATAAAATCATTATAATTATGTATTTAAAATCTCTGTATTTATTTTATTATATAATAAGCAAGCTTAAAAAGAATAAGAGGAATTAAAAAGGGTTTAAGAAGAAAAATAAAGAATTAGAAGCATTTAGTTATATTAATTCATAAATTCAATCAAAATAATATAGAACTAAACTTTAAGAGATATTAAGGAATCTACTGATTAGATGAAAATATATTTAATACAGATCTATTAATATAGGAAACATTGAATGAAAGTGAACCATAACACTTAGTTGTTATTTAAGAATAAATTAGAGTAACTGAAACTGAAGAAGATGAAAATTAATTCAGTAATTAAATTACTTCAAATCATAAATTATCTAAAGAAGATTAATATAAAAGATAATCATTTACTATAACTCTTGTATAAAAAGATTTTCAAGATGAAACAACTAAAAGTCTTATTAAAAAGATAGAACTGTAATAAAATTCCTCAAATAAAAATAATAATTATTTTTAATTATATAAACAGATTGAGGATTTAGAAATTTTGTATATGGATTATGGAAATCTAATTGAAAATGCTCTAATATAAATGAAAAATTGTAACATGGTTTGATTAATCTTTATAATATTCTATTCTAGTAACTGTTGATCTACTTGAAACTCTTTAAAATAAATTAATATCAAGCCTTCTTATTAATTATTAATAACTTATACTTAAATTAATGTGTAAGAAATTAAATAAACCAAGTTCAATAAGGTTAGATATATAGGAATTAAAATTAAACAATTGTTTTACTTAATTTGCAGAAATTAGTTAAAATTTATAAATTCCAACTACAATCGTTGACATTTAATAATTTAATACTGATTCTATTGCAGCATAAAAATAGATTTACATAAATTAAGAATTTATATAAAATCCTTATTAAGATATTTCTTTAGTTTAAGAATTAGAATAAGAAATTAATGTTGAAAGATATTTCATCAATATTAATAATATATAAGAACTAAAAGATAATAATTAAAATATAGATTTCACTCTTTAATCATAATGATTATAGTATCAATAATAAAATAAATGGAGCTTTAATGATGATAAATATTCTTATCAATAAAGAATAATAATTATTTTAGGTAATTACAAAGACTGATGAATTTAATGTTAATAAAACTAATTTTAAAGTTAAAATATTGAAAAAACAATAAAAAAACCATAAATGTATCTAAAAGGATATTTAGTAAATTGAAAAAATGAAAAAGCTGTGCTTAAACTTCAAACAAAATCAAAAATTTGATCATTAGGAAGACATATGAAATTTAAATTAGATAAAATAACATTGAAGTTGGGTTGGTTCAAGAAAATAAGTGATATATTTAGCTATTATTATAAATTAAAATTAAATTAATAATTTACTCTAAAACTTAAAAAGAATAGTTAACACATTCTCAATTTAAGAAAAAGATTAAGTTGAACTTAATGTAGATTCTATTAAAAAATTTATAAATTTAGAAGGGCATTTTATTTATGAAAAAGGATTTAAAAGATTATATTTATGAAATTTGAAATTCTTTTCTATATATCACTTTAAATAATTAAAATATGATTGAAAATATATATAAATTTTCTTAATACTATTATATTCTAGAAAGTATATAAAATCATTTAATAAATACATAATTTAACTTTATTTATTAACATAGAACTATAATTTTATTTTTCAGGTGTTAAATATTTTAATCAATTCTTCTGAAACAGCAGAAGGAGTGAAAACTCCTAAATCTGTGAATAATAATGTTATTAAATCAGGAGGAGTATAATCACATAATGGATTGATAAGCTAAAAAAATTATAAATTAAATTACATCTAAATTATCAGGCAATTTCAATTTTTCTGAAAAACATGGTTCTTCTTAGCTAAATCTTATTGAATCACTTAAATCTTTTTATGATAATGGAAATAGACGAGTAAACTTAAAACTTTCAGCTAAGACATAAAAAGGTTTCTTTTAAAATTTTGCACAAATAGCAGTAGTATAAGTTCCTACTCTATTTATTATACCTCCATTTTCAACAACAGCTTCTGCCCCTGTCAAAACCATATCTATATCTTCCATAACTTATCCAATAGCAGAATCAAATATTAATTTACAAGGATATCCAATTTCTGTTAATTATCTATATGTTTCTATTCCTTCTGATTTTGGTCTACATTCAGGAATATAAATTTGCATAACTATCCCAGCCTTAAATGCTTCTATCAAAGAATATAATACAACATTTGAATATCCTAATACTAAAACTTTCTAAGATAAAAATTTATAAATACAAATCTATTATTAAAGAATTTTAAGCATTAAGTTTTAATGTTATCTTTAGATCGTACAAGAATGTCAATTTGTTCTTATGAAATTTCTAAAAGTGATTACTTTAAGGCTTCCATACTATCAGCCCTTAAGTGTTGTAAGCCTTTACTAATATAATGTTGATAAATAGTTTAAGTTGATCTTAATACTAATTCTGATCTGCCATGACCAGCTTTAACATTATTAATTAAATATTCTCCTGCTGTTTTTATTTCATGAGTTAAACCTTACATTGTCATCTCTTTTATATTAAAATTGATTTACCTTTACTATTTGTAATCAAATTTATCATCACCTTAATCAAAATGACAGCATAATGTTCCTTAGTTGTTTCATTTAATTAATTATATTCTTCAAGTACTTTATATTAATATCAATACTAAACCTTTTTTTAAAGTCAATGACATAGAATCAGATTTTTATGAGAAACATAAACTCATTAAAATTAAATTTAGAGAATTACTTTTTTGATAAATAAATTATTATTAACAATTGATTATTGCTTTGACTATAAAATTTTCTTATATACAGGTTGTTTTTAAATTCAAATACATTTATAATTAGTTTTTTCAATAACTCCTTATTTTTATTCAATTTATTAAGTAGTAAACTTTTTAAACGTAATAATTAGTTAAAACTGTTTTTCTAAGTAAATGATGTTTAAAGAGGTTTTTCAACTATTTAAATATTTAGTCTATTTTTTAATTGATGATATTAATTTTAATATTAAATAAAAATAGTTTTATTTTATAAACTTATTATTCTCCTTATTTATAATATAAGGCTTAAAACTTTCGTTCTTATTTTTTAAAGATAATTTATTTTATTTTCATAATGATCTGCCAATGATTTCATATTAATCATTTAAAAATATTCTAATATATTATAATTTTATAATAAGATGAATTTTTCAAAAGTTTGATTTAATAAAGCTTTTTTTTAAATATTTATTTATATTTCATCAATATAATTAATAGTAAACATAATTANCTGTTAATTATCTATATGTTTCTATTCCTTCTGATTTTGGTCTACATTCAGGAATATAAATTTGCATAACTATCCCAGCCTTAAATGCTTCTATCAAAGAATATAATACAACATTTGAATATCCTAATACTAAAACTTTCTAAGATAAAAATTTATAAATACAAATCTATTATTAAAGAATTTTAAGCATTAAGTTTTAATGTTATCTTTAGATCGTACAAGAATGTCAATTTGTTCTTATGAAATTTCTAAAAGTGATTACTTTAAGGCTTCCATACTATCAGCCCTTAAGTGTTGTAAGCCTTTACTAATATAATGTTGATAAATAGTTTAAGTTGATCTTAATACTAATTCTGATCTGCCATGACCAGCTTTAACATTATTAATTAAATATTCTCCTGCTGTTTTTATTTCATGAGTTAAACCTTACATTGTCATCTCTTTTATATTAAAATTGATTTACCTTTACTATTTGTAATCAAATTTATCATCACCTTAATCAAAATGACAGCATAATGTTCCTTAGTTGTTTCATTTAATTAATTATATTCTTCAAGTACTTTATATTAATATCAATACTAAACCTTTTTTTAAAGTCAATGACATAGAATCAGATTTTTATGAGAAACATAAACTCATTAAAATTAAATTTAGAGAATTACTTTTTTGATAAATAAATTATTATTAACAATTGATTATTGCTTTGACTATAAAATTTTCTTATATACAGGTTGTTTTTAAATTCAAATACATTTATAATTAGTTTTTTCAATAACTCCTTATTTTTATTCAATTTATTAAGTAGTAAACTTTTTAAACGTAATAATTAGTTAAAACTGTTTTTCTAAGTAAATGATGTTTAAAGAGGTTTTTCAACTATTTAAATATTTAGTCTATTTTTTAATTGATGATATTAATTTTAATATTAAATAAAAATAGTTTTATTTTATAAACTTATTATTCTCCTTATTTATAATATAAGGCTTAAAACTTTCGTTCTTATTTTTTAAAGATAATTTATTTTATTTTCATAATGATCTGCCAATGATTTCATATTAATCATTTAAAAATATTCTAATATATTATAATTTTATAATAAGATGAATTTTTCAAAAGTTTGATTTAATAAAGCTTTTTTTTAAATATTTATTTATATTTCATCAATATAATTAATAGTAAACATAATTACAATCAAAACAATTAAGCAAATAAATTTATTTTAAATAAAAAATTATTCTAATAATTTATCAGGATTGATCAGTGACGTAGAAAACATTTATATAAAATGTCAATGATAGATAAAAAATTAAATAAATAATAATGATATAAGATAACCTTGTGCTTAAGTTAATTTATAATGATATCAAATTAAAATTTTCAGTTGAAGATCCTACATAAACGATTGAATAACTAAAAGAAATTGTATTAAAAAAATTATCAGAGTAAGGAATAAATTTACATTCTCAAAATGTTTAATGTAATGACTCAGATGATTTTATGCTTAATTCATCTGATATAATAGGATAATTGTTAAAACAAAATGACACAGTCAAATTAGTAGAAAAAGTGGCAGATAATATAATATAATAATAATAATAATAAACAATAGAAGAAATACCAATTATTTAATAATAAGAGCCTGCTGAAGCAATAGTAGTTCTGTATGATATTTCAGGATCAATGAGTTCTGCTTTTTTTGGAGATAAAGAGCTTTCTAGAATGGGCGCAGTAAATGCATTTTTTTCTGCTTTTGCTGATAAGACTTTAGCTTTTGAATTTAATCATATTGTTAAATTGGTTTGGTTTGGTTCTTAATTATATGATAAATGTGATTTTACAAGCGATTTAAATTATTTTATAAAATTAGTAGATGATGCAAATCCAGGTGGTTCAACAAAATGTTATGATGCAATAGATTATGCAATAACAAAATTATTAGAAGTAAAATAAAAATATCGAGATATTGTATTAAGAATAATTGCATTAACAGATGGAGAAGATAATGGTTCAACAAGTAAACCTAATTCTTTAGTACAAAAAATCTTTGATCATAAAATAATAATTGATTCATTTGTAGTAGGAGATAATTGTGTAGGTTTAAAAACATTAACTCATGCTAGTAATGGTAGATGTTATTGTCCAAAAGATTTGGGTTAAGGAATGTAACTTTTTGAAATTGAAAGTATATTAAGTACAAGCAGAAGAGAAAAGGTTGAATAACCAACTACTGTTGTTGATTTAGATGCAATCAAAGGTAAACCATTTGATACAGATGGAATGAAAGTTGTAACATTAGATTTATCAAATAAAGTTATTATGAAAAGAGATGAAATTCTTAAAAGAGCTAAAGAAGCAGAAACATAAGATAATCAATTTACTACTACAACTACTGAAACCAAAAAGATTTCAGGAGGTGGAGGTGGAAGGGAAAGAAGAATACTAAAAGAATTAAATGATGCTATTACTAAATCTTATAATGAATGCAAAATATATCCAACTGCTGATGATATTGGAATTTGGAAAATTTTATTAATAGGACCAAAAGGTTCTCCTTTTGAAAATGGGATCTATTAATTAACTTGTGTAATTCCTTAAGATTATCCATTTAAACCTCCTAAAATTTCATTTGTTACAAAAATGCATCATCCAAATATTAGTAAAGCCTCTGGATCACTTTGCTTAGATATTTTAAAAGATTAATGGAGTCCTGCTTTAACTGTATTTTCAGTTATTCTTTCTATTAGAAGTTTATTAATTGACGCAAATCCAGATGATGCTTTAGATAGTAATGTAGCAGCTGAATACAAACATGAAAAATTACTTTATTAATAAAATGTACTAAAAGAAAAAAAACTTTATGCTAGTCCAACAGTACCTGATTTATTGAAGGATGTCTTAGGTTCAGTTAATATTGATTCCTAAGAATACAAAGATGCTTATAAAGATCTTAGCGAATGGATTAAATTGAACACATAATGATTTATCAAATAATTTTAAATAAAAAAATGAACATAATTTTTTTTTGTTTCAATTAAATAGATTATATGCACTATTTGAATGTCCTTTTGGCCAATCTCTTCTAAAGTATTAAGAAAATGTAAAAAAAGATTTATATTAGAAACTTAATAAATTCTAAAGACAATTATAAAGTATAGACATTATTAATATTTCCTCTTTGTTTATAATATATATATATATTTATGACAAGTTTAATTTGATACCATTTAAATTCAATGTATTCATATTCTATAACGCTGAATCTAAATCTGATATACATTCCAAATGCAAATCAATTCTAGCATTTTAAAATTGAATAGATATTTTAAAAACTAAAATTTAAAAGATAAAAAGAAAAGAAAAAATTTCAATAAAAATAATCTTTACTCTTATAAGAATATTCTGAATAAAATTCAAAATAAATAGGAAAATAATAATAAATTCAGAAGCTACAATTTTTTTTAATTACAATCCTTTTTTCTTCTGTTCTATTAAAAAAAAATCTAGATGTGCCAAACTATTTTAGTAGTTTTCATTCTATTATAATTTCTCTAAATAATCCTTTGTTACTAATCCAAAGACTTTTATTTTAGATTTTATAAACCTTAATAGAAAGGATTTATAGCCTATTTACCTGAGATTATATGCTTATTTTTAGGTAAATTTTCCATTGTGAATATAAAATTTTTTGATTATTTTGTTTTAATTATCTTAGAGTAGAGATCAACTTTTTATGATTTTTGTAAAAATCTTTTTAATTTCATTACTTCTAATAAATATTAAAAATTAATACTTTAACTTATACATAATAGATTTCGTGCTGATATTATATAATTCCAAGAAGCTAGTTTGCTAAACTCTAGGTCACCTTTTATTATTTAAATTTTCATACCTAAGACTATTAATTCTTTTTATTAATCAAAAAATTTTTTTGATCTTTGAAACAAATATATTCATGTATTTTCTATAAAAATTTAATTCAAATTGTGAGAGTAAAAATATTTCAAGATCAAGGAGGCAATCTAAAAATTAACTTTCATTTGAAATTTATGGAGGGATGTATTAAAATTCAAAAGCAAAATCTTTACCTTAAAAACAGTATATGTGAGCCAAAATTTAGCTGAGATAATTAGAACAAGCTTCTTTCGTACTTATAACTTTGAAAAAGCTTCCATCCAATATCTTTTATTTCAAGTCTAAAAAATAATATAGAAAATATTTTAGAATAATAATTTAAATAAAAATACTTTTAATTATTAAAAAATGAGCTAAATAGAAATTTGAAAATATACATTTTTAATTTATTATTATTTTTATATCGTTAAATGAATTTTAAGAATGCTTATGATTACTTGCTAAATTTTCAATCTTAAAGCAGTCGAAATACATCAAGAATTATGAGTTAAGAAGATAGTTAATTTTTTTTCTGGATAAAAATCTAACTATAAAAATATTGAATAAAAATATGGAGTAGAAAATTTAAAATCAAACAAAAGAAATCTATTTGAATCAAAAAGCGAAGTCAAAATTAATCTTGGTGAAATTCCATTCGATTTAGCAACATCAATAAATCATTAAAATTTTTAATAATCAAAGCAAAGTTATTGCAATTAATAACAATTATAATAATTATAAGAATCTAATAGAATGGATGATTAGTATGAAATAAACATTCGAACAAATGGACCTGTAAAAGAAGATATTATGTCTTTCTTATAATTATTAGGATGTGTAGAAATTCTTAAAATTGATAATAGCTAAGATAAAGATTTTAATTATGGATAAAACAAGAGTTTTCACCACTAAAATTGAAGTTGAATTAAAACATATTCAAATTTTTTATAATGAACTTTTCAATTTCATTATGAATAATAATACTGCTTTTAATTCTTGAAATTTGATTTCAAATTTTTTTTCAGAATAAATTATGATAAATATTTTCTTTTATAAATGGATTAAAGCAATTTTCAAAAAGACTTGATTGAATCAGAAGAGGCCTTTATAGAATAATTTGATAGAAATTCAGCTAATTACCATCATGGTAATCCAACAGCCGTTCCAGTAGGAGGTTAAAGAATTCCTGATTCGATGCCAACAATGTACCCTGAATAAGTATAAGANCTTTCATTTGAAATTTATGGAGGGATGTATTAAAATTCAAAAGCAAAATCTTTACCTTAAAAACAGTATATGTGAGCCAAAATTTAGCTGAGATAATTAGAACAAGCTTCTTTCGTACTTATAACTTTGAAAAAGCTTCCATCCAATATCTTTTATTTCAAGTCTAAAAAATAATATAGAAAATATTTTAGAATAATAATTTAAATAAAAATACTTTTAATTATTAAAAAATGAGCTAAATAGAAATTTGAAAATATACATTTTTAATTTATTATTATTTTTATATCGTTAAATGAATTTTAAGAATGCTTATGATTACTTGCTAAATTTTCAATCTTAAAGCAGTCGAAATACATCAAGAATTATGAGTTAAGAAGATAGTTAATTTTTTTTCTGGATAAAAATCTAACTATAAAAATATTGAATAAAAATATGGAGTAGAAAATTTAAAATCAAACAAAAGAAATCTATTTGAATCAAAAAGCGAAGTCAAAATTAATCTTGGTGAAATTCCATTCGATTTAGCAACATCAATAAATCATTAAAATTTTTAATAATCAAAGCAAAGTTATTGCAATTAATAACAATTATAATAATTATAAGAATCTAATAGAATGGATGATTAGTATGAAATAAACATTCGAACAAATGGACCTGTAAAAGAAGATATTATGTCTTTCTTATAATTATTAGGATGTGTAGAAATTCTTAAAATTGATAATAGCTAAGATAAAGATTTTAATTATGGATAAAACAAGAGTTTTCACCACTAAAATTGAAGTTGAATTAAAACATATTCAAATTTTTTATAATGAACTTTTCAATTTCATTATGAATAATAATACTGCTTTTAATTCTTGAAATTTGATTTCAAATTTTTTTTCAGAATAAATTATGATAAATATTTTCTTTTATAAATGGATTAAAGCAATTTTCAAAAAGACTTGATTGAATCAGAAGAGGCCTTTATAGAATAATTTGATAGAAATTCAGCTAATTACCATCATGGTAATCCAACAGCCGTTCCAGTAGGAGGTTAAAGAATTCCTGATTCGATGCCAACAATGTACCCTGAATAAGTATAAGAGAATGCATCATAAAATGTAAGGATTTACAAAATTATTTCAACCCTCAGGAGTAAGATTTCGGACCAGAATACAAACAGCTAATGCAATACAAGGAAATCTTAGACTTATTAAAAAAGGTATGTAAAAATATTTATGTAATTAGTCATTGAATAAAATATCAGCTCACCATGAAGCTCTTTTGCGTAACTAAGAAAGTTTAAAAAAATCTGAAAATCAGGTTCAAATTTAAAAATTCTAAGGCTTGATTGATAATGAAAGATCAAATTTAAAAAATACAATTCAATAATTGGAAGGGTACACTTAGTTTGTTTTATAATAAGCAAGGTATAGTTAAATTATTATTTATGATTAGATTCTAAAATAGATATAATGATTTAATATAAATCCTATCTTTAGCATTTAAAACTTATAATACTAAAGAAGAGCTATTTGAGTTTGGTACATTAATAAAAAATATGACATCATTAATATTTAAAGATAATTAGAAATTAACAGAAGATATTAAATTGATTAAGAAATAAAAGAAGTGAATATATTTCACTAATTAAAATTTGTTATTTAATCTATTCAATATTATATTAAGATTTTTAGTATTATAAATTGTTTCTCAAATTATAAGACTTTGAAAAATTTTATATAAAACAAAGAACTTTTTGATGTAGCTGACAATTCTTTATTTTTTCAAAATTAATTTTAAAATATCTTATTTTTTTTAGGATATATGATTGTAATAACGATTTTATAAATAAATTTATTAAAAAGCTTATGGCTAAGAAAGTTAAATATTCATAAATTTTATTTTTATATGCTTAAAACAATCCGACGTAAATTGCAGTCAATAACAGAAAATGAAAATGAAAATTATGAGGTAATGAAATTGTCAGATTTAGATAACAATAGAATTACTTAGAAGGGGTGATTTGACAAAGACAGAACTGGAATTTATGATGAAAAATTTTGGTAATTTAAAATTTTTCGAAGAGTAGAAAGCTAAACTTCCTCTTTATCTTTATACTTAAATCTACAAGAACCTTAATTATGAGAAAGTAAGAGCATATGAATCAGTATTTAATTATGGTATAAGCTAATATTATGACAAGGTGATATGGGATCAACATATTATATAATTTTGAAAGGGGAAGTGGTAGTATTGCTACCAAGGCCACATATTTAAGAAGAATTATTTAATCATCGATTGACAGTTGAATAGTTAAGATAACGAATTGAGAATGAGAAAAGAAAATAATTTAGTGATTTCAATGAATTTCTAACAATAGCATATTAAGACTTTATAAAGGTAAGAATGTTAAAGGCTGGAGATACATTTGGAGAGTTGGCTCTAATAACAAAATCAAAGAGAACAGCAACCATTATTTGTAGTGTAGATAGTCATTTTATGACACTATAAAAAAACGCTTTCGATCGTATTTTATATGAACATCATAATTCTATACATAAATAATAATTAGCCTTCTTTGATAATATAACTTATTTAAATGGTATACCTGATTAACATTTAACTTAATTAATGCATTAAATGATAGAGATTTAACCCAAATTGAACAGTACAATATACAAAGAGAATGAAGAGTCTCATTCAGTATATTTTATAATGACTGGAGAAGTGGAATTATCATATTAAATAAATAATCGATAAAGGATTGTTATATCCTTAATGACAAAAGGTGCAATATTTGGAGAAAATGAAATTCTTAAAGGAATAAAAAGAACTCAAAAGGCTACTTGTAAAAGTAATGAAACAATATTAATGACATTGAGTGCTTAATAATTTCTTATGACTTTAGAAAATCATAATTTAAAAAATGATTGCTCTAAGAAATCAGAGTTAAAAGCAGAAAGACATTCAAAATAAATACTATTAAGGAGAAAGGCTACTGAATCTTTACTTTATAATCGTCCTTCAACAAAAACAATTTTGAATTTAGATTCTGAAATTACTCGTTTTCATTAAACTAGACATATTTCATTGAGTAATCGACACCATCATCCACCTATTACAAGTACAAATTGTCTAATTCCAATCGAAATTCCACATTATGTAAAATTAACACCATAGTCTAAAAAATAAAGTCACTCCATATATAAATTAAGTAACACACATACTAATCTATTGAGAAATTTGTTAAAAACAGAAGGAAGTGAATTAACTTTGTAAAAAGGATCTTCTTACTATTCAAATAGTTCTCAATAATCTCCAAAGCATTGCATAAATATACATATGGAGAGATTAAGAAAATCTAGATAACGATGAATCTTATTTCTAAAATGTATATACATATCAAGCAGAATATATGTTATTAATTAGCTCATCTTGCATCTCATCTACATTTTCTTTGAGTGGTAAATCTTGAGTTTCCCTCAATTTCTATAGAGTTAATAATCCTAAAAGTAATAAGGCGAACATTCCAATGGAACTATTGAGTCCAAAAGCATGACAAAAGATGACATATGAATCCTGGAATATGAAAAGGAATTCAGTCAAAAATGTAAGTCCACAAAATCCATAATGTCTTAATGAAGTAGGGAATATTTCTAAAGCATAAATCTAGAATTATTAAAAAAATAAATTACATTAATAAATCCATAAGCAAAACTTAAAGTCAATCTACACATGACTAAAACCATCATAATGAATGTATATACTAATTTATCATAAAAAGTTATTAAATCACTAGCTGTTTTATTTAAAATTAATAAAGGTAAAGCAGCAATCAAAAAATGAAATATACTTCCTAATATTAAGATAGCTTTGATAACTTCTTTTCTAAGATAATTTAATGAAGCATATCCACTAATTAAGTAACCAGCTGTTGAAACTAATGATAATAGTAAATAAGTGTGATGTCTTTCTAATCTAGAGAATCTTTCAATTTCTTTAGCAGTTTAGAATTATCCCAAAACAATAATACTATACAAATATAGAAGACAGAACATTCTAATTCTAAGTGATTTATATCTAAAGATAGATGAAAAATTGTATCCTTTAGGTTATTCATGAATTTCTTCTTAAAGTAAGATATTCTTCATTTTTTCTTTTAATTCTTAAATTCTAACTTCATCTTCTAATAACCAATTTTCAGGCATTTGTCTCTCATTTACACTAGCAATATAATTAATAGTTAATCTTGCTTCTTCAAATTTACGTCTAATAACTAAAATTCTTGGAGATTCCTACATAAATTTGATCAAGACAGAAAATAAGACTGCTGGCAACCCAAATAAAATGAGCATTGAATATTACCAATTTAAATTAAACATTTCTATAAGTCTAGGAGATATCACTTCTCCAATCCCATAACATGTTAATAATAATGCAGGTCCAAATTTCTAAAGATTCTCACTTGATATCTCAAAAAACAATATCATTGATGAATTAAAAAAGCCTCTCGAAAAGAAATTGATTGCAAATAATGCTACACTCAATATATATGCTGATGGTGATAACATACTTATACAACACACAAATCCCATCATCAATAATGTTTCTATCATTACGGTGCTAAAGTTATTTATATTAAGAATACAATCTGCCTTATCTTATTTCCATTTATTCTCCATAATACAAAGATCCCATACTACCTCCAATATAATAAGCTGTGACCAATATAAATATTTGAATTTTATCACCACATACCATTAAGAAGTATTTTATCAAACTGCCTAAATCTGAGTTATCCACTAAAGACACTTTATTTTCTTTTGTTCCAAATTATTCACAAAATGCTCCCTCAGTACAATTCTCATAATTTAGATCTTCTGATAGACATTTGTATTATTATTGATGGAAGAATAACTCTGTCATAGCTATATGTAACATTCCAGCAATCATATACTATAGACCCATGATTATTAAAGCCCTCCTTTAAAATTAATGTCCATTTCCTGCTTTTATTAAAGCCTATTCAATTGTTAAAACATCAATGTATTTAGGCATTTTTTTGTTTTTATAAAATGTTCAAAAAGAACATCATCAATTTATACAAATGCACATCACTTATAAAACAACAACCTCTAAATGAGATTCTTTAACTTAAGAAATATACCTAAAAGCAATATCTAAAACATCCAAAACCTCACAAAATCTATCCTGGCTCTTTAGAAGATCTTTACTTTAAATTTCATTGTTATGGCTCTAATATGACATTTGATGATCAAATGGATATTCTTTAGAACATGGTTAATCAAAATAGTGAATTCAAAATTCTATCACTTAATGGTGTATAATCAATAATTAGTTCATTAACTAAAGAACTTACAAGTCTAAATTACACAGACACTGATGGTAAATCTCGCTCTTTTTATTTATAGAATATAACATTTCCTAATTTATCAATATACTTCATTAGATTAAGTATTATGACTAAAAATCTTGGATTGCAGCCATGGACAATTACCATAAATAAGGTGTTGCCTTTTTGCATGAAATATGGCATTTAAATATAGTTAAAGACATTTCACAAGAAGCTTTTTGTGATTTTATAGGTTTTGTAGAAAATAAGAGAAACCTTGATCTTTGTGATAAAGAATTAAATAGAGCATATCAACATCTAAGAAAATTTTAGGTTTATGCAACGAAAAATTAAATGCTTGTTGTCATGTAATATTTTATGCAAGCTCTAAAGTAACCTCCTGTATCTTTATCAATATACTAATTTATCTTCTTCTTTTGCATTGATCACTTTACTATTCCAGAATTAAATTTACCCAATAGAGCATTATTTCTTAAATTAGTACAACAATTTCATATTGAACTCAATTAATTCTCTGATTTAAACAAACTTATAAATAACTTTCAAGATTACATTCTATTGATCGATCTAATGTTGAAATATCATGAAGAAATTGATCAACCATTCAGAGATTTATTTTCAGATAGAATTCTTTAACTCTTTCTCAAAGGAGAATTAGAAAATATTACATAACGATTCACTTAAAAATTTAAACATACTAAATGAGAAATTATAAAACTAAAAATGTTTTAAATATGTTAATCATGTTATCTAAATGATTTATGAATTATCTTTACTCAATTTAAAGAATATCAAGTAAAAAAAGTAAGATCTTTTAAGTATATATCAAATATTTGAAAGATTAGAAGATAAAAATTAAATTCTATCAGTCTTAGCCAAATCCAACCTTAATTTAGATGATGTTAATTTTAATCATGAAGAATTAGTAATCTTCCTAAAAAAATTAGATGAAAGTGATTTAGTTTATTATTTGTCAGAATTTTTAGAATCTACTTTAACATATGTTGCTAAAAATATTAATGACTTCCAACCAGATGATTGGTGTTACACATTTTATTTACTTTACAAATATATTGTCAAAGATCACGAAGAACCTAGTAAATTTGATAATGATTTAAATATCTTAAAGTAATATATCAAATTGAGATATATGACAAGTTACAGACAGACAATCCCTATCAATAGTTCATACTATAAAATATTATCAGTAGTAGAAATAGAAGTATTTTTTGCTGACGATTTACTCAATTTATATTGATTATTATTCACATTATAATGAAAAAATATAATAGTTGAAATCCCCTTTCTAAAGAGTTTTTTAATTGTTAAATGGAATAATATACAATAATTTTATTGGCAAAACTAATCCAGTGGACATATTACTATGAGTACACTAACTTTCAAATTCTTTAGATATTTTAATTTATGTGAAATATTTTATTTTTAAATCAAGGGTGCTGAATCCTTTTTTAAATGGAATCACATCAAATCATAAATATTTAAGTATAAATATGAAACTCGGCCTTGACCTTTTAAAGGCTTAAAAAGTTGTTAATTGTGTAGGCCTAGAATATTATTATTTAGTTTAAAAAGAATAATCTATTGAAGATTATCTAAACTTAAAAGGAAAATTAAGACATAATGGAAACTTTAATAATAGGCCACTGAAATTTACAATTATATTTAAAACAAGATAAAATAAGAATAATTAATAGGGTTATAAATAGAAAAATCAAGAGAGTATATATCTTAAAATAAATAATTTTGGTTCTATTGATAATCCAAAAACAACAACTTAATAAACTTAATAAAAAGTTCAATAATTTATTTATTTGTAAATAATTTTTATTAAAATGCATCTATTGAAATAGTTTTAGATTTTTTAAGGAATTGAGTAAAAAAATAATTTGCTTATTAAAATATAAGAATTAATTATTTACATCAGTATTGGATAAATAAAATACAATTAAAGTTATTTCAAAGACATTTATAAATTTAAAATATTGTGTGGTTTTGAAAAGAAGAAAATAAATATTAAATCAAAAACTATTTTGATCATGTTATTTGACTTAAATGAAAAATATGAATAATATTATAATTTTTTAGAAAGAATTATATTAGTATCTAAATTTTAAACATTAAAAAATAATACGTATATTAATATTATGTAAGAATAAAGAATAGAACATAGTAAGTTGGCAATAATTGGTAATGTGGACTCTGGTAAATCAACATTGGTTGGAGTATTGACAAAAGGAATTTTAGATGATGGAAGAGGAGGAGCAAGAGAGGTATGAATTTGAATTTATGCAGCGCGTTTTTAATTACAAACATGAAAAAGAGAATGGAAGGACATCTTCTGTTGCACAAGAAATAATGGGATTTGATGAAAATTTAAAGTAAGTACTTCCTGAAAGATTCAATTAAAACAAAAACAAATATTGGAGCTTAGTAGTCGAAAAAAGTAAAAAAATAGTTACATTTTTGGATCTCTGTGGCCATGAAAAATATTTAAAAACAACAATATTTGGATTAGTTGCTATGATTCCAGATTATTCTTTAATTATAGTTGGAGCAAATATGGGAGTGTCAAAAATGACAAGAGAACATTTGGGAGTGAGTTTATTTTTGAAAATACCATTTGCAATAGTTTTAACAAAAATCGATATAGCTCCTTAAAATGTTTACAATGAAACTATAGAAAATATTAAGAGTTTGATTAGAAGTCCTGCAATAAAAAGAACAGCTGTAGTATTTGATGAAAAATCTGCAATGGATGAAATAGAAAAATGGGCAGCCCTAATGCATGGAAATAATGCTGTTCCAATATTTCAAGTATCTAGTGTGACTGGAAATGGCTTGCAATAATTGGCTCATTTTATAAGTAGAGTGCCAAATAGAGATGATATAAATAAAGCTTATCAAACTGTAAATGATCCATTTTAATTTGATATACAAGAGAATTTTAATGTCCCAGGTGTTGGAGTTGTAGTAAGTGGTATTGTTAGAAGTGGAAAAGTAGGATTAAATTAACATGCTTTATTAGGACCAGACAAAGGAAAAAGTAAAATATTATTAATATTAATATAGCATTCAAACCAATAACTATAAAATCTATACATATAAATAGAGTATCTGTTGAATCAGCATAAGTTGGAGAATTTGCATGTTTTGCTTTAAAACCATCAAAAGCTGGAGATAAATTAGACAGAGCTGATTTCAGAAAAGGAATGATACTAATCGACCCTACTGTTAAACCTGAGCCTGTTATTGAATTTGAAGTAGAAAATTATTAATATTTTAGGCTAACATTCATGTACTCCATCATCCAACAACAATGAGTCATGGATATTAAGCAGTAATGCATTGTGGTGTTATTAGATAAGCTGTTGAAATCAAAAAAATATTTTAACATGAAGTCTTACGGACTGGAGATGTAGACACTGTTAGGTAATCGATTCATTTTAATTTTAAGATTACGCTTCCTTTATGCTGCAGAGTATTTAAAAACTGAATAGATACTTGTTATTAGAGAAGGCAGAACTAAAATATTTGGATATATATCTAAGCTAATTTCAGATAAACAATTGGAGAATGAGAGGTAAATTTAAGTCATTCCAAAATAATAATAATAATAAATTTAATGAGTTTGATTATTTTATTAATTTATAATTAAAATCATTACTCCTTTGGATAGAACTTATTTTTAGTTGTAATTCCTCTTTATAAGAATCACATAATAATCCATGCTCCAAATACAAGTCATATTTTATTAAAACTATATGAAAAATTACATAAAAGTGAATATCAATCATTAAGATAAATTGAAAAGGAAATTCAAAGTAATATTATGTGATTCTCCAGGCTATTTCAAAAAAATATTTATTATACTAAATTTTTAATAAAATTCATATATAAATGAATATATTCAAATTAATTGTCACTTTATACATCAAATAGAAAATAAATTATGCAACATTTACAAAATAATTTCTAATATTTTCTATTTAATTTTTTTACTAATGCTGATAAATATATATTACTAATTTTCGAATGTGCTACTTATATTGTTAGAATTGCTTAATTAAAAAATGAAAGTTTTGTA